GTAGCGTGGGCAGGCCTCCTACTAGGTGGACCGACGATCTGGTAAAGGTCGCGGGAAGAGCCTGGATGCGGGCAGCGCAGGACCGTTCATTGTGGAAAACCTTGGGGGAGGCCTTTGTCCAGCAGTGGACGTCATTTGGCTGAAACGAACGAACGAACGATTCTAATCTCGCTCAAGCTAAAGTCTAGGATATCTTCGCTAAAGTGTCGGGATAATCTCAATCTTCAGTCTAATTACTAGTAGTGCTTCTTAATCTCTTCTAGCAGCTTAGGCATTAACAAAAATGGTTCTACTATCCTCGTTATTCATGTTGGTATAATTAATTTGGTAATCGTAAAGGTAGCAGGGAAACGCTGGACACAGGCCGCTACCAATCGATCAACGTGGAAAGCATTAGGGGAGGCCTATGTTCAGCAGTGGACGTCCTCGAGCTGAAAATTCGTGGGGTTTTGGAGCTGGATTAGCTGGTCGTGGTTTAGACTTCATCAGTCAACATCTTTTGAGCTTCTTTTATTCGGCATTCTACTATTTCGGTGATCGCTTCTTCTTCTACCTCGGTCCCTCACTGTAGAGGATCGCAACCACAGATAGTATTCCTCCATAGACCACAGTCATAAGCTGTGTGGTGATCGGTGATCGCACATATGATTAAATTTCCTGTTCGTCTAAAAATGACGCCTACATTTTGTTTTTTGCAGTTTAAGGTGCAGCTCAGTACAATTTTACAGTTCTAGCATCTTTTGCTAGGCCTTCTCTCTAAATAATGCTTTAAATAAATTGTGAACAGATCTATAACGACGTTTTCTGCTTATTATCCTAACTAATATTATAAATGCGAAAGTAACTCTGTCTGTCTGTCTGTCTGTCTGTCTGTCTGTCTGTCTGTCTGTCTGTCTGTCTGTTTCGACATCAGAAGAATGCCGCAGAGCTCAAGTCTCGCCACGGATTGAGTTTGAAGCGGGGCTACCTTGGATTTAGCACACACGAGCTTAACGAGAGGTGCGCGAGCATCGTGTGACGCGTCTTCAGAGCGTACATATATGACGCAACCGTAGGCACGCTCACTAGCGTCCGCAAAGGCGATCAAAATGAGTTTTGAATTTTCATTCACAGCGAGATGACGTGGAATGCGTACTTTCTCCAATAATGGAAGTTCAGTCAAATAGTTGTTCCATAATTTTGTAATATTAGAGGGCGGTTCTTCGTCCCAGTCAATTTTTAAAACGAAAAGTTTCTGTAGTATGAGTTTAGCGTATAAAATGACTGGCGCGATCAATCCGAGCACGTCAAACTGACGAGCTATCACAGAGAGAATATTTCTCTTGGTACATGGGCGAGGATCAAGCGAAACAGAGAACATAAAGTCGTCGCTAACGGGGGACCACTTTACGCCTAACACCTTCAAGTCACCGGAGTCCTCAAATGGAACATCCCCGGAATATTTATGCGAACATGGCAGCGATTCAAGCAATTCTGGGCAATTACTTGACCACTTGACTAAGTCAGAACCTCCGGCCTTAAACATACCTAACAGCTCATCTCTGAGCCGTAAGGAGCCAGCAACGGATGGCATTGAGTAGCACACGTCGTCCATGTAGCAGTTCTTAACAGCAACTTGAGCGGCAAGCGGAAAAGACATACGTTCGTCCTCGCACAGTTGTCTCACCACGCGCATGGCCAAGAAAGGGCTACAATTTAAACCAAAGCAAACCCGAGTGAAGCAATAAGTAGTGAGAGGTTCGCTGGAATCAAAGCGGTATAAGAATTTAAGGTATTCGCGATATTCTTCATGAACCAAAACTCGTAAATACATTTGTTTTATGTCTGAAGTAAATGCGATTTTGTATAANATTGTATACAATGACGGATTTCATACATTTCCTGTAACATATCTAACAGTTAACAGAATATGAAATCAAGCTCGACAAAATCGAACAAACTGATTGTGTGCAATGAAAAATCAGGCGTTTACAAAAATATTTCTTTAAAAATTTTAACACTTAATGAGAATAAATTTAGAGTATTGTTAGATTATGTTACTCTTTAACCCTTATCTTGGCATGACCACAAATTCACTACGATTTTAATCTTTTTGATATTTATGAGTTAAATATGATCCTAATAGGCCAACAAAAATGTTTAAAAAAATATATTGTTTTCAGTTTTTCAGAAACCAGGTGTATCATATATGATACATTGCCAAGATTAGGGTATAGAAAATAAAAAAGCTAAATTATTAAAAAAATAATATTCAATGAAAAAAAACCTACACAAATAATTTAAAAAGGTAATTTTTAAACTTCCTTATCAAAACAGAAGCTCAGAGTGAAAAGAATATGCCAAATCAAATTATAACAAATAATTATTACTCAGACTGTTTGCTTTTTATACCTACTAATAATGATGAAAGTCATAAAATCGAATAACTTTTTACCATACATAATAGTTGATTATATTTTGTGTATTTTATATTTATCTGCCAATTTTTCTAGTTCTATATTTTCCACAAGAAGCGAAAATAGGCCAACATTGTCATACTTGACGGCATCAGAAGGTCGGGTGGATGGAGTTTAATTTATTTTCATGAACTAATTGCATTCCACAAGCTTGTCCACTCTAATGACCGCATTTCCTACTAATGTAACACTAATCTCTTTTAAAAATATGCATTTTTTCTTAAATTATGATTTAAAAATACATCACGAAGCACTTGGCAATGTAACATATATGATACACCGGCATATAGACGGTTATAAAATCGGCAAGTAGCAATACACACCATCCAAACCAAACGGACAACATAGAGTAATACTTCTTCTGTGAAATACATACAAAAACTAACACAAATATTTTGTGATATCGCCAATACACACATAAACTTACCACGCGTTTGAAGCCAACATGCTTAGGTGATCTATTTTTGACAATAACTGACAGCCTAATGCATTTTTATGTGAAATAGTTTTTGTATCTGATTCTATAATATATCAGGAACGGGTTATGTATAAAATAAATTATTTCTAATGCTTTCGCTGACCTCAGGATTTTTTAAATTGTGATGTATCACCCGTGTTACGATGCCAAGAAAAGGGTTAAATATGGAAATAGACCAAAATGAGTGAGTATTTGCTTTTCATTGAACAATAAATACAAGTTTTTCATCACTATATTTTAAGAATTTTTTTCACTTATATTAATTGCCATCTAATAAGTAAAACCTATCACATTAGAAAGATAAACTTATCAACCTTAAACTGTAAAAATTTGAAGTTACTACGTTGACGCAATCTCATTTTATTTTAAAAACACTGAGTAAGGAAGCGATGTCCAACGCTTTGTATGGGCTCGATCCAGTGTGGTTCGGTGCGATTCCAGCACAAACGCAACGTGCCTGGCCAGACAACTTACCTACTGATCAGGTATTGCACGCGTTCGTGATCTGTTAAGGCGGGATTATTGTGAATAGTGTTTTTAAATGATTCATAAAAAATGGGCGAATTCGCAAGTTCCCCAGAAAAACCAATTAATTCAAGTGTCGGAAGCTTTATGACGGATTTTGCTTGAAAATAAGTTTTATTTTCCGATTTAATTGAGTCAGTAGGAGATGACAACTTTGTAGAAATACGTTTACAATGACAATAAAGTTTTTTTTTTTTTTTTTTTTTTTTTTTNNACAACGAGGAAGCTCTTGGCCTGTATCTCACCTGATGGTAAGTGACGATCAGGCCGAAGGTGGAAGCGAGCTTCACCCGGAATCCTCAACCACGGAGGAACTGGCTATCTTACCTCTAACTGCCGGAACACAACAAGTTCGTCAAATGCATTAAGACTCTGATAATTGGGGTCAGAATCGGGATTGAGCTGAAGTTCTTTGTCTACAATTAGTTCAGTGATTGCATGAAATTCAGTTCGTAAAATCTCTAATGATTCCATGTTCACCAGAAACGATTCCTTAGCAGATTCATCAGAAAAGACAAGTTTAGAATCATAGAAAATATTTTGTAATCGGGAAAATATATTATTCCGCTTAGCGTTAAGTTTTTTCAATTCGACATCCATGTTGTCAACTTTCTGAGAAGCACTTGTACCACTTTTAGGCATAATGTTTTGTTAAAAATAAAATAAGTGTGCAAAGTCCGATTTTATTGAGTGACTGCGACACAACGCAACGAACAATGAAAGCAAGAACGATCACGCGCTATGCGAGCGGTACGGGCGTGAACGAATGTTTGCAAGTTACCTCCGTTTATTAATAAAATTATAATATGGTAGGAAAAACAAGTTATCTGGATTACAGCTTTAAAATGCGTTGTCGAATGTATGAAAGTTATTATTATGTAGGAAATTAGTAAGAACAGCGTACAAATAGCGTATTTACGGGAATATAAATGTATTAAGCGGGAAATATCGGCAAATAGGTGAATAACTTACAGCGTATTTCGATACCTCTGGGCTCAAAGGTCGTAAAGGACAAAGTACGACTTTTCAGGAGAAGCAAAAAACGTTTTTTTATTTTTTTATTCGATAGTAACTTTTTTGTTTTTAGAGCTATTAAAATATGACCTAGGAAGAAAGTGCTTAGAATTCACAGCATTTTCCGAGGAGGTATTGAAAAACTGGACTAGAGCTATATTTACCGAGATAAATTTCCTTTACGCCCTCAAAATTACAATAAAAAAGACCTTTACGCCCCTCAAATATTCGTCCTAGGCAAGTTACTCAGGACGTAAGTCTATTTTTATTTCACAAAACTACAAAACCAAGGTAGTAAATGACAATTTACATAGTTTTATAGGTTTTCATAGGTCGTAACGGAACACCCAGGTAAGGTATTATGCAAGGGTAAATTGATAATTTAGCTTAAATATTTAATGTGTTATGGTATTTGATATGTAATATACCATTTCTTCACATATTTTAAATGAATTATGGTCTTTTAAATGAAATAAAATGATTTTTCGTCGCTTCATAATTTAATGCACACAATTTATGAAACTAATTTAAGCAGAAGTTTTTACGGGCACGAAGCGGTGCACGTTGGAGCCGGCCAGCACGTGCCAGCCCGCCGGCCTATAGAGGTGCGTCACCTTGGCGAGGTGCTGTATCCAGCCCATCTGCAGGAAGCTGAAGGCGAGCGTCTGTGGCACGCTGTAGGCGGGCACGGGCACGAAGCGGTGCACGTTGGAGCCGGCCAGGACATACGGCTGCCCGCGCACCTGCTCCGCCGAGTCTAACTCTAGTACGATAGCTTCGCTTTCCGTGCTCTTGCGGGCTTCTTTGACTGATTGGACGGACGCCTCTGGGACTCTGGAATGAGGCGTTTTTGTGCTGAAAATTAACACATCAGAGGGCGGAGTAATAAGCGATGTTCAGTTGCTCGTCTGAGATTTTGAAAGAAAGAGAGATTTAATCTGTGCATCCATAATTTACGTGTATTGAGCAGCAGCTGCGGAGCAGAATTAGCCACCTGGTCGCAGTAGAGAGATTTGGAGAATCCAGGGGAAGAGTGAGGATGGTCCGAGCATGCAGATTTCATAGGCTTGGGATCTCAACTTTCTTCATTTTACCAGAGGCAATCTTCCTCACTTTATTGACGAGGCCTGATATTAGAACATTTATGTCGTAATCGCCTCTTAAGAATAAGGGTGCCTGTGGTAAAATGAAGGAAGTTGAGATCCCAAGCCTATGAAAGCTGCAGCTCGGGCCACAGGTCGCGCTGGTCGGCAGGCTGCTGGTTACAGTCGGGCTCGGTATACTGACTGGGCCGCGCTGTGGTCCTCGCTGGCGCGCTCCTCGGGCTCCTCCCAGGGCCGGAAGAGGTCGTCGTCGTTGTCCATCTCCACGCCGCGCAGCGCCTCGGTCTGCTGCAGCTCGGGCCACAGGTCGCGCTGCGTCGGCAGAACCGCGTAGTTCTCCACCTGACATGATAAGGGAAAACATTTTAGATGTTAACCTGGCAATAGAACCAGGCCTGTTCATCTCCGCGAGTTTACATCGAAAACAAAATAAGCACGATGGCACCCTACAGGATTACTATTCGACAAGGCCTCACATACGAGCGAGCATTGACTCACGCACGCGTATTCTTGTGTATGATGGAAAAAAATAAAGAAAATGGTGTACCTACCAAATACTGTGCAGTATTTAACTGCCTGAAGACACTGAGAGGTAATAAGTGGTTAATATTATTCATGATAATTTATGCTTAATCATGTATTTCCTCCGCCATTTTCTGCAGTTTGGCACCTCACGTCACACATCATTTTACCGAAGCCAGCCCTATGGCTTCGGCGCACTACCGATCACTGACGTTTGTCAACAAAATGGTGCTTGACTCTTGAGATAAGCTAAATTACACCATATTGTTAATGACATTGAGCACACAATTTTTTAAATACCTTCTCGAAGTAAATCTTCTGTACGTAGTACTTATTATTATTCTGTGTTACGAGCAAAAAAGGTCTAAGCATTTTAAAAAGTCTGCTGCTGTTTTTTAAAGCACTCTTCTGTATTGACCTGGTAGTGGCTGAAGATGGCGAACAGCTTGACGCGCGGCGTGAGCATGGTGTCCCAGCAGCGCTCGCGGATCCAGCGCGTCACCTTGTCCTGCGCGCGGATGCGAGCCTCCGTGGCCAAGCGGAGCTCCTCGCGCTCGCGCTCCGCCTGAGAGAAATATACAAGACTTATTGAACACGTTTACAAAAAGAGAAGTCAGTTCACAAAAGAAGAGATCAAGTAGTTAACTTCGTACTATGGTTCCAGAAGAGTAGAATAGGCCACTTCTACTTTTCCAAGGATGCAGGTGTAACGTATTTTACAACATCCTCGGAACAAACATTCAAACACCTAAGAGGCCAATAACAGGGTTCCTCATCCCGTCTGGTTAGCTCGGGGAGGGCCAAGCCATCCATTTACCACTGGTAAATTAGAGAGGGTGAGAGGGACGTCGACCACGGTCCAGAAGTCATGGTGTGGGCAGGCTCTCCACTGGGTGGATTGACGATCTGGTTAAACCTTTTAAAATGTAATTATAAATGGTGTAACGTCAGTGACTGGCCTGCTTGAGGCGCTCCTTCCTGTGCTCGTGGTGCAGGTTGAACTCGGCCAGCGAGAGCTGGTGCAGCGGGCGCTCGGCCAGGTTCCCCTCCAGCAGTCCGTCGCCTGTACCTGCTTCAGGCGCTCCTTCCTGTGCTCGTGGTGCAGGTTGAACTCGGCCAGCGAGAGCTGGTGCAGCGGGCGCTCGGCCAGGTTCCCCTCCAGCAGTCCGTCGCCTGTACCTGCTTCAGGCGCTCCTTCCTGTGCTCGTGGTGCAGGTTGAACTCGGCCAGCGAGAGCTGGTGCAGCGGGCGCTCGGCCAGGTTCCCCTCCAGCAGTCCGTCGCCTGTACCTGCTTCAGGCGCTCCTTCCTGTGCTCGTGGTGCAGGTTGAACTCGGCCAGCGAGAGCTGGTGCAGCGGGCGCTCGGCCAGGTTCCCCTCCAGCAGTCCGTCGCCTGTACCTGCTTCAGGCGCTCCTTCCTGTGCTCGTGGTGCAGGTTGAACTCGGCCAGCGAGAGCTGGTGCAGCGGGCGCTCGGCCAGGTTCCCCTCCAGCAGTCCGTCGCCTGTACCTGCTTCAGGCGCTCCTTCCTGTGCTCGTGGTGCAGGTTGAACTCGGCCAGCGAGAGCTGGTGCAGCGGGCGCTCGGCCAGGTTCCCCTCCAGCAGTCCGTCGCCTGTACCTGCTTCAGGCGCTCCTTCCTGTGCTCGTGGTGCAGGTTGAACTCGGCCAGCGAGAGCTGGTGCAGCGGGCGCTCGGCCAGGTTCCCCTCCAGCAGTCCGTCGCCTGTACCTGCTTCAGGCGCTCCTTCCTGTGCTCGTGGTGCAGGTTGAACTCGGCCAGCGAGAGCTGGTGCAGCGGGCGCTCGGCCAGGTTCCCCTCCAGCAGTCCGTCGCCTGTACCTGCTTCAGGCGCTCCTTCCTGTGCTCGTGGTGCAGGTTGAACTCGGCCAGCGAGAGCTGGTGCAGCGGGCGCTCGGCCAGGTTCCCCTCCAGCAGTCCGTCGCCTGTACCTGCTTCAGGCGCTCCTTCCTGTGCTCGTGGTGCAGGTTGAACTCGGCCAGCGAGAGCTGGTGCAGCGGGCGCTCGGCCAGGTTCTCCTCCAACAGCGCGACCAGGCGCGCGCGCACGCTGTCGAAGACGCGCAGCACTTCCTCGCGCGCGCGTTTATAGTCCATTGCCTCCTCGTGGACTTTCTTGTCTTCTTGCAGGTCCAGGTAGTTCTCTGATGGGAACGATATTGGCGTATTAGGCACAGTAGTTGTCTAGACTGCGATGAAAGAAACAGTTGTAGTTGGCAAAGTGGAAACGCGTTTTTTTATCCAAATGTTTTTGTAACCGTCAGTTGGCGCTATAAAACAGAAATGTAACCGATATGATCATTACATGCAAAGAAGAACAGAATATACGTGACCGTTATACTTCCAACCCTCTCACTCTGAATTTGACAAAATATGTAATGACAGAATCGTCTACTTTGTCCATGTTAATTTAGACATCTTCCAGTATAGATGGGGTAGTTTTAATCGCTGGTAAACCTTTTCAAATACTGATTGTTCGAATCTATATTTGCTTTATTAGATTATAAAATATAGAAGCAAACAGCACTCACTCTCCCTATCGCCAATGATGATCATGGTCTCCATACTATCGAACAGGCTGGGGCTGAGCTCCTCGTGCACGGGCTCGTGCTTGAGGTCGTCTCTGTCGTGCAGGAAGGCGCAGGCGACGGTGCGGTTGCCGGCCAGGTGGATGACGAACTGGTTGTCGGCGTCGATCACCGCCTGCCGCACGCCCGACTCGTAGCGGTGGCTCATCACTAGCTTCAGTTCTGGTGGAGATTTAGACCTAAAGTACGGCCAACTAGCAGCGATACAAAAGGTCGATACGACTGTCGAGTTGACAATATATTCTGTCTCTTCCCATCTTGTGTATTTGTCGTAATGTCTCGTTCTCCCGCCAAAATATGTCATAGTCAGACGGGTTCACCGATGACATTGGGTTTGTTTACATTTGGTATCGCTTCTCGTTGGCCGTACTTTAGTTCAAACACAGCGATAATCGCGCAATGAGGGTTTTCGCGATTAAAAATCCGCCAGATCCAAATGCTGCATGATTGGTGGATTTTGACATATCTGTCAATGTCACGTCAAAAATAACCAATCATGCAGCATTTGGACCTCGCGTCTACGTATTGCCACCTGGCGGATTTTTCAATCGCGAAAACCCTCATTAAACCATAACCCCACGGTACCGCCTCAGTGCCTTGCCAATAAACCTTTCAGAACCACCCAGAGACCACGCAGTTATCGTGCGTGTCTAAAGCAGGCCTTCGAGTTGCGTAGAACATTCGAATGTTTGATCAAAAGCTGTTGAAACAATCAAATACGATTTTATTATTAATACGGCAATATTTGTTATAAGCATTATTATTATATTGTCCTGTCTACCATTGTTAATCGTAATATCAGCTGCCATATTACTGAAAAATAAATCATTTCAAAGATAGATATATAAACTTGAGAAAGATGTTCTTCTGGTGTTCACTTACCATAGTCCTCGGGGAAGTCATGGCGGCGCAGGATGACGGCGCCGTCGTAACCGTACGTGAGCAACGCACGCGCGCCGAGGTAAGCGCTGAACTGCTTCATGTCGTGCCCCGTGTCTATAATCGGGCCCATCTTCACCGATACCGTCACGCCTTTCTGTACGCCAGGAAAGAGAACCTTGTTACAACTGTGCAAAGTTGTGAATCTCATAACGCTTCACCCGAAAAAAAGCCATTGGTAATGTCTGGAAGAAATTGGAAAAGTACCAAACCGTAATCATTTTGGACACCTCAAACTTGGAGATGTGGTAAGATTAATGAAGAACTTCTTCATGGAGTTTGACTTTGATGCGAGCAATCCGAGCGGCATTATTGTAGTGTGGGTGTGCACTCATAGATAATTTAGCGTGTGCCGATAACACTCAAACGTTAGCGGAAGAATGGCAGGGCGCGTTTTCGTGGATGAAACGATCTATATGGCTACTGTGGCCTAATTCACGTATTTTGACAGTCAAGATCTCGCTGACGTTCAGAAGTCGTCCCATTGAAAAACATTTGTAAATCCGTATTCACAAGGGTCATTTTGATTGAACGATTACTCCATAGGATCGCAACTCAGCGATTTGTTGTTATTGAAGTTTAGTTACGTCGTCCCATTAAAAACAGTTCTAAATCCTTATTCACAAGGGTCATTTTGATAGAACGATTACTCGATAAGATCGCATCGCAACTCAGTGTTTTGTTATCGTTGAAGTTTTGTTACACGAATAAGGTTAAAGCCTGGTCCGTGAGCACGTAGAATCCCGCCCAATGACCCCAAGCCCCATCCCTATCGCTCACGCGTAATTATGTTGCTGTCGCGCTCGCACACTCACTGCGGGCGCCCGTCACACAGTCGCGACAGCAACATAATTACGCGCGAGCGATAGGGATGGGTAGCTTGGGGTCATTGGACGGGATTCTACGTGTTACGGATCAGGCTTTACTGGTACTCACATCGCCGGCCAGCTTGAGCACGTGCACCTTCGTGGTGAGATGCGGGATGGCCAGCATGGTGTCGCGCGCGGCCAGCGGCATGAGCTTGGCGTAGGGGCCCTGCATCTTGCCCGCGAACTTGTTGTCTTTGCCCGTGTCTGCGTTGATGCAGATTATGCGCTCGCCTGCAACAGTTGGCAGGCTATACCAGTGTTCGTTCCTTCGTCTCAGCCAAATGACGTTCACTGCTGGACAAAGGCCTCCCCCCATGGTTTTCCATAATGAAAGGTTCTGCGCTGCCCGCATCCAGTCTACCATACCAGTGTATTTAACCTTTTTCACGACACGACCTCCTAGTATGAATAATTATTTCGCGACCCCCCGACTTTCACTTTTTTTTCATGCATTTTATAATGTTACAAAGATGTTGTAGATACATACAGCATTTACGCATTTGCATAATTAGATTTCGGATGAATCTATCTTAAAACTTATCTATATTAGAGTCGCGACCCACAGGTTGTAAAACACTGGACTATACCCACGGGATATAAGGGGCGTGGCATCGATATGTCACGAGAAAACAGTCTGCAGATATGTCAGAACATGTAGAATTACATATAGAACTTCAGCCACGTATACCTGAGTATTTCTCAAAAAAAATGTACGTAACGAAATAGTAGTAACGAAATAGTAAGGCCATAAGGCTTGTTATACATTGGCGAAATATTGTGAATGCTCTTCATTTATTCAATTCGAAATATTTGTAAGTATGCACCCAAATACGGGGTAATATTAAGGGTTTAGAAATAAAATAAGGGAGTAATCATTCGTACTATTTTAATAAAATTATTTTTGTTCCATCATGTTTATCCATTTTGAGTCGTTCTCTGTAAGCTTTTTGCCTTTCGGCATTGGTTTTTGGCGGCATTCCTAAAAAAACAAAAGAAGTAATCACATAAAAACGTAATCTAAATGATTTGATAATTTTTTGCTGGTGGCACTTCTGTAAAGCAGATAGTATCCAATCCTTTTGTTATTAACGCTCTATATTTTTTGAAATAAATTAAGTAGTGAATATTACTATGCTTAGTCAGGTAATAACAGTATACACTCAGCATTATGTTGTACTTTTTCGTAACGTAACGAAATTCGTAAAAAACGTAACGAAATATTAGACAAAATGAGATCAGAAACAAGTATTTTTTTGATAAAATTTGTTACAGCAAATATAAAAGCTTACTAAATGTTCGTACCACACGTATTACAAAAAATGGTTAAATGAAGACTTACCGTTCTATATAAAATCGCTGATTTTACTGCCTGTTACGAAAAAGTAATCCCACAAAACACACACGTTTTCACTAATTTTCGCGATAGATGTTATGGCGGAGACGTCAGGCCAACAGCCATTCAGAGTGCAGCTATTGTTGTCCGTGTAAAATAAATACGGAATTGTTCAGAAACCATGGGAAAGTAGAAATAAATCGTAACTAAAGAGTAAATAACGAAATAGTAAATGAGAGCGACTCATTTTGTTTTTTTGCTTTAAATTGCCAATTCATTATGACACCCCATAGAAAATCAATTTGATACAGAAACTGCGATTACTGTAGAACGATAATACAAAGAAATTTACAATAATTTAGTTACGTATCGCATTTTATGAAACAAAAATACATGAAAAAGCTAGGGTGGCAAACAGGTTTTTGTATGAAAGGTAAAAAAGGACTATTTTTAAAATATCTAAATATTTGGTAATAAGTAGGATTATAGCTATAATTCTTCGTTATCTTAAAGATTAATATTCATCCTTCAAAATTGTGTGTGTGTTTTTTTTGTGTGATGATTTATAAATATAAAACTTTTGAACTGTTTCAAAGCACACTTTTTTTTTTCAAAATGTACATTTTTTTTGAGAAATACTCACCTAGTCTCTGTATAAAAGTCTCTGTGTAAAAGTGAGCGGGGACAAGAACGGTAATTAAAATCGTACTTTAGACTGCTTTTATCTCAACTTCTTAAAATGGCGTTCATGAAATAATTACAATTATTAATAACTAGCGGCCGTCCGCGACTTCGTACGCGTGGATCCCGTTTTACCCCCTTCCCGCTTTTCTGTTGAAATTTTTCCTGAATTTTCTTTGTTATAAACCTCACGGAGCCCGAGACCTTTCCAACGAATGCAAAACCGTGGAAATCGGTTCGTGCGTTCTGGAGTTACAGCGTCAGGGAGGAAAACCGGACTTATTTTTATTTATATAAATATTGCCCTAGTTTTTTAATTTGGAATAAGGCTAGAGATCACCTCAACCTGATAATGATAGTGATCTAGGGCCTACGCTAAAGCTCGCACGGGCGCACGCATGCGTGTGCGAGAAAGTTCCACACATTTTGGGGTGGTCGTGCGTGTCAGTGCATTAAGAAGCGGACACGAGCATAAAATGCAAGCAGATTGGCGTCAGACGGGACTATTCCCACCTCTGGTTCCCACCGCTTCAACTCCTGTGTGGTCTACAGCTTGACCGCCAATAAAAACCTAACCAGTGAAGGTCAAGTATGTCCCATCACCAGTGAAGGTCAAGTGTTGTGGGCGTCAAACGTCCGAAGTTTCGGCGCAACTTTTAGCGTAGGCCCTAAGACGAAGCGGTTCCAGAACCGTTCCCTGATGACTCACCGATGGCGTACTTGTCGGAGAACAGCACGAGGCTGAAGCAGCGCATGGCGTCGCCCACCTTCATGAGGAAGCAGTCCGCCAGCCCGCGGCCCAGCTCTGTGTACCGCACCAGCGACAGCTTGTAGTCCTCCGACAGCTGCCGGCAGAACACTAGCTATTATTTCTTACAAGCTTTATATTGACTTCACTTGTTAGTATGTGTGGGACAAATCTTGCAACTGATTGACCGATTGAGCTGAAATTTGGTATACTTATGTAAGTACGATGACAATGCAATGTTATGGTACCATTGAGCTGGTCTGATGATGGAGTCAGGAGGTGGCCATAGGAAGACCTAAACGAAACGGCGGAAACTCATGGAGTTTGGGTTCGTTGGATTTGTCTTTTCAAGCACTTTGGTGCTTAATGATCACAGGACAACCAGAGATTGAGATACTAAAAAGTGTAAAATAAAATTATAATTAAAAAAACTTTTTTAAAAACAAGCTTTATTCTGAAATGCAGTTGTACTAATACGAAAAAAATAATTGTATGCAAGGTTCAAAAAATTTCGAAAGCTTGTAGCGCAAACAGAAAAAAAGAGGAATAAATTCTATGCGCGATACAAGCTTTCGAAATTTTTTGAACCTTGCATACAATTATTTTTTTCGTATTATTTTATGCTAGACAAGGCAGGTATTTGACCGCAATCATACCTGGTGTTAAGTGAGATGCAGTCTAGGATGGTACATATCTGCCCTGTAAGTGCCTATTCACTCTCGCCTTGAAAACGCTTGAAAATACTTACTACTAGCACAGAATTACTAATAAGTTACTTCGTAACAGATACATCGGTTCCTAACAAAACGACTAATAACTAAGATTTATTTATTTATTTAATAGGACAACCAACAAGACATACACTAGAATTTATTATTTATATAGATTCAAGCGACGCGCACGCGATGACGTGCAGCGGTGTGAGAATACGTTATGGTTGGTTCAATACTTGCACGTTCGAAGCGAACATACGCTAAGCGGTGGGTAGGTACTTAGCGCGCGAACTTGAGCGAGGGACGGAGGTCTATCATTGTAGTATTTAGGTAGGCTAGGTATTTGTAAAACACCAGCAATCTCGCAGGAATCATAAGCAACAAACGTTTAATTTTGTTCTACGACTTAAAAAATGGCTAGTTTTTTTTATACTAAAATTTTATTAATTAAATTTTCTAATGTTTACACGCCTACAACGTAACTTATGTTGTTTATAATTTCCTATCCATAAATGAATAAAAAACTTATTTCAGGTTATTTCTGAATTCATCCCCTAAATAGGGCTATAAATTCTGAAAATCGACATAGGTATTGTATGATTTATCGGATCACTCATTACAAAAACAATGTGATAAGACTACATACATACACACGGGCGAAGTCGCGGGCAAATTTAGTGTAGTATAAGATTTGTTATAGTAATAAATAATATTAATTCGTTGCCGAACATTCAAAGATCTAGCTAGCTATCAATATGAGCTTGGTCAGGCTGCACGCGTGCCCTCTATGGACACTCTAATAAGATTTCATTTATGTTGCGCGTCGTGTCTTCCGTAAAGATGTATGTTGTAGCACGTGACTCAATAGATGGCGCTGTACGACTTTAAATCGCGATTGCATTTGATTTTTTTCGTTTCTTTTAATACTTCCCTGCATAGTATACAGACTTAATAATCTGGGGGCACAGCCCCCGCCAAGTTGAGTAATATAATTTTTGAATGGCAACGCAATACTAACGTATTGAAGTTGCCAATTCATTAAGATTAGTTTAGTTTCCCTAGTATCCTACTAATATTATAAATGCGAAAGTTTGTATGAATGTTAGAATGTCATGATTGTATGTTACTCTTTCACGCAAAAAACTACTGAACGGATTAAAACTTTACAGTACTATTATTGTTTGTAACCCAGATTATCATAATATAAGCTATAAAGGACAATGACCAAAAATGTATGGAGTGTGGTCCAAATGTCCACCACTAACGAGACCTATGTAGTAAAATAGTCTACTAAATACTGATTCCTTATAACCAAACGGCAATCAAAAATATACTGTCAGTAAAAAGTTATGACTGAATGAAAAGTCATGTTTTTTACCTTTTTATCGGAAAAATGTTCTTGTTATCATTCTATCCATCGCACATTTTGGATTAATCTATGCATGTTATGTCATGTCGCTTAGTGTGCCGTGTTAGATTCTCGCTAAAAGAAAAAAAAAATAAGCTCAGAAGAAAGACAACAATATTGGAATTATGGCCGGGTGGTCGCTTCTCCGCCCCTATTGGTTGTAGGGTGATGTTATATAACCTAAAACCATCCTTGATAAATGGGCTATCCATAACAAAAATAATTTTTCAAATCGGACCTGTAGTTCCTGAGATTAGCGCGTAAACTAATACAATTTTTCATACGGTCATAACTTTTTACTGACAGCTTTAGATTTTTTTTTCTTCCCGTACTGAAAGTTAATCTCTATTTAATGGACTATAAGCCAATATAGGTCTCATTAGTGGTGGACATTTGGACCACTTTTGGTCATTGTCCTTTATGCCGATCTGTGACCAGGGGCGTAGCTACTAAGGGGTAAGGCGGGGCAGTGCCCCCTAAGCTTGGGGGCCCCTGAATCTTTACCAGAAAATCTTAATTGAACTAAACTTTTAAAAATTTCTCCCATTTTCAAAATAAATAGAGAGAAATTCGAAAGTTATACCTAGGGAATTCCCCTAAATTCTTTCTGTGGGTTGGCAGTGTTGTAAATTTGACGGATAGCGATATGTGCGTTTTATTGTGAAGAAGTGAAGAGAAGAGAAGAGAACGGTTAAAAAAAATAATGCTGTATCAGGAGTAAGTAAGCTGAATGTCGATAAATTTAATAAAACCTAACCAGTTTAGATTGCAGTAGGGCCCCATTTTTTATTTGCCCCAGGGCCCTTGGTTATCTAGCTACGCCACTGTCTGTGACCCTAAATTTCACACGGGCGAAGCCGCGGGCAAAAACTATCATCAATCATATTCAGAACTTTGAGACACAAAATATGACTTGAGATAATACTTTTTTCGAGGTAATTTAAATAAGACCTTACTAAACATAAAGTCTGTTCGCCGAAAGTTGATAAAAAAATTTAAATATCAGAGGTGCTAAACTCATTATAAATTGCAGCCCGCTAATTATTTTTGTCGATATAATGAAAAAGTTGGTAGATTATCATTAATATCATTATTATCTCTTTTAAATTTACGGGAATTATTCCGGTTAGGGCATATGTTGGGATACGGATCAAACACGTGGCGTCCATGTGTTGGATAAAAAGTATTTCATTATTATCAAGTGGCTTATAGTGTATCCCAATGTTGGGCAAAGCCCTACCCACTGTCATACCATTCATTTCGGTCTTATGTAAAATAAATAAATCTATTCCGTTTCACACATTGCGGCCCGCCGGCCGGGGCGCTTGACGACAGCTGCGTGGCTCGTACCATGGTACTCAGTGCGCGTTGTGACAAACGACGCCCGCCATACAGAATGTCATAATTAAGCGACAGTCGCTATTGCAAGACATTTCATAATATTTATCAACTCTCGGCGAACGGACTTTGGATTCATGTTGCTCGTGCCTACCTTCAACACAAAGATGTGTCCGGCAGACATGGCGGCGGCGACCATCTCCCTGCCCGTGGGCGAGAAGGCCACCAGCGACACGATCTGGTGCGTCAGGCACATGCGGCCCACCTGCCGATGGACATTACAATAAGAGCGCTTTCACATTTAGGCGATTAAAGCTCGATTCACACATATCAGTGAAGCCACAGTTCCGTCACAGTGTCGCTCAGTTCAGTATCAGTGCTACAGTGTTGCGTCAGTGAAATATTTAGAATATTTTAAAATGTCAGAGAGCTGTTTCAATATTCTTGCTCAGAAACTATGATGTAAGTTATTTTGTTTTTGATGCCACGGCGGCGTCCGTGATCCGACAAAAAATATCGTCGTCAACGAATAAGGTAAGTGCCCCCTACTTCGGTATATTAAGGCTCTTACGACTTTAACATTTTATTTAAAAATACCCAAGCATGATATCAGTATAAAAGCTTTTGTATGCTAAAATTTGGTCTTTTGGCAGTAACTTAATACATAAATTATAGTTATATAGTTTGAACTTTTTTTTATATTAATTGTTCTGCGGACCTCTTGTTTGGATCCTGTTTCGTGATAAAATTTTGCTCTGTTTCTAAGTTCGTGAACTCATGTCCCCTATTTCGGGATAAGGTTTTATGCATCGAGTTAGGATATTTTAATAATGATTAAGGGTTTAATAAATTTAAAAACGATAATTATAAATTTAAAATAAATGAACTAATGTGAAATTGACGATATAACTTACCTGAAATATTTATGAGAAATAATGTGAGTCTAGCTAGGTACGTACCTACGTATAAAATTGTTATTTGTTAATTCTAACAATATGTGAAAATATTTATATAACCATTAGAAATGTGGGGAGAACTTACCACCCACCCCCCTCGTACCCATAAAATTTTTATTTGTTTTTTCTGACGATAAGTATGTGAAAATATTTATATAAGCCATTAGAGGGGGGGGGGGGGCTAACCTCCTAAACCCACCCCTGGAGCTGCTTCAAGTAAGGTTAGCCCCCACCCCCTGAAAATAGCCCCAGATACGCCAATAACTCAATAAAAAGTAAGTAGTAATTTCTTAAGTAGGTAGGTAAGAATTAAAAACTAAAAAATATGTCGATTTCTTTGATGGTATGTGTCATAAAAGAACCTAACACTATACATTTATATATCACGAACTTAGAAAAAAGTAACAATAATACGGTTTCTTGTTTCGTGATACTGATTATTCAAAATTCTCCAAGTAAAATTCATGGATAATTGTCAAATTGTGTCAATTAACTATTATCTATCCCATATACAATATAAATAAACCAAGATAAATAAAACAAATCGAATTAAAACCAAAATTACGCTGTTAGTACTTATGCTAATTTATCTTAAAATTGGCCATTTATGTGAACTTCAAACTCGTGTCATAATTGTAGTGAACGAAACATATACCGAATTTAGGTCACGAGAAACTTAAATAAATGGATTATTTGTTTCATAACTTACATTTAAATTATCATAAATAATTATTTAAAAACCAAGCATCAAAATGTCACGAAATAGGGGACACCCGAAAAATAATATGTACGCTATTTCGTGAGTCAATTAATCGCAATTTTAAAGGAATTCTACGTTTTCATATAACTTTTTTCTAAGCCAAATCAATTGTAAAGGAACACATGAAACCACTATTACAAGTTTTATTCAAATGGACGTTCCTTCGCCTTTCTATAAGCTTAAGAAGTTGGAGCGCTAACCTTACGGTGAGAGCAACCTTTGCACGCCAGACGGCTGTTTTTGGCTCTCTGAGAGTTTGAAGCTTCGTATTGCTCTCATTTTTGGCGCCACAATGTTGGTTTTTTAGATAGCTTAAAGAATAGAGTTTTTGTAGTAATGAAGAATTTTTATAAATAATATTCCATTTGCTTGTTATTTGAGCTAGAAAAAAAACTTACGAACTTACGTAATATCACGAACTAGTAGCCGTTTACCTTACGTCCGTGATTACCGGTGTCGGCACCGACACTGAGAGCACTGTGTCGTCACTGACACTGACAAGTGGGGATGCGTTCATAGAAACTGTATGAAAAAATATTTCGTACTTAACCTGAACTGTGACTTCACAGATATGTGTGAATCGGCCTTTAGCAGCGCGACAAACGCGCGACAGACGCGCTGCCGAAAATTTCATACTATGTGACAGCGAATGCATGCCTTCACATTATGAAAACGCCGCTGCCGCGCTGCTGTCGCGCTACTAACCCCTAATGTGAAAGCGCTTTGAAAGTCTTTATTCAGCACAATGTGGCGGACAAAGCAAGAGTACCTAGACAAGATTATCTTAAAAATAAAAATATGATGAACAGGCGCCCGCTCAGCAAAAATCGCGACATGCGTACCTACTTGTATTCGTCGAGAAGCTGGTTTTCAGCGGTTTTGAGGTACGTCCCTCTGGTCGAGACGGTTTGATCAGACATTACAAATAAGCTACCACCTGATAGAGTTAACTGCACCTGGCAGCCGTGACGTCACGGAAACGCTCCGGTACGGACTCACGGGGGAGTTGCATTATTCCATTTTTGGGAAAGAAACAAAAAGGCTTCTTGGTGGGAACGTAAAGCGTCATGTGCAGCAGTTTTATTTTATTTTTCTTCAATGTGTAATAATGGTGGATTATTAACATTAAGTGTTCGTGATCGTGCATGAGTGTAAGCAAATTAAACAAAACAGTGCAACATCAGTTTTCAAGTTCTCAAGTGTCACCACATCTTTACTCACATTCAAAGTTGTCCGACGTGGTAAAAATCGGAACTAAAAATCTAGTATTGATAGTAGCAGCCTCCTGACAATGTCAGAACTGGGACGGTTCAGTGTTGGACATCTAGGACCTTATTACAAAAAAGATAAACCCGAGACGAACTCTGGTTTAAAATGACATTTCCATACTAAATGTCAATTTAAACCAGGGTTTAAACCGAGTCTAACTTTTTGTAATAAGGGGGATATAGTTTAGATATGTCGGCCGTTTGGTGTAGTGGTTCGAAACGGACTACTATTCCGGAGGTAGCGGGTTCGATTCCCGCACAGTACAAACATTTGTGTGCATGAACATATTTGTTTGTATTGAACTGGGTGTTTTCTATGTATATAATAAGTATTTATTTAAAAAAAAAAAGTATTTAAGTATGTTTATATCCGTTGTCTAGTACCCATAGTACAAGCTTTGCTTAGTTTGGGACTAGAAGCGCAGTGTAAAATGTCCAAGGATATAAATTAATTAATTTATTTATTTATATCTCCAGCTTGTTCAACCCACCTTGTCAATCTCGACGCGGTCTTCATTGTCTCGTATGGCGGCCAGCATAAGCCCGTAGTTGGGGCCCACCTCGCCGAATATAGCAAGCACGGGCTCCACGGGGCTCGCCTCGAACGATATGTCGTTGCCTTCGATGGACTTTATCGCTACCTGTTGATTTAGAAGACATCGTAGTTTCGTTCCAGCCAAATAACGTCCACTGCTGGACAAAGACCTCCACAAGAATTTCCAGATACGGCTCAGCTAAACGTGCTCATTGTTGTTGGCGACGATCGAAATACGAAACCTCTGATCGGTAGTCTGGCATCTACTGCTTAGGCATTTCTGATTTTGGATCTGATATTGGTATTACTGTTTCTTTAAAAAAAAAAACATAGTTGGTTTATACTTCGACACGTCTTGTGGCGACCTCTCGTGCCTACTGATTTGGTCAGGAAAAAAATACATAAAACTAAGTGAACCTTTTATGTGTGTTTGCAAAACTTACTAATTTAGCAGACACTGCTTCATAGATGCACAGCACACCAGAGTCGTTCATCGTCGCCACGTACTTGTAGTCGGGTGCTATCAGTTGCACCTTTATGATGTTCCTGTATTTCAGACAAAAGTATTATATCAGCGCTCTATAGGAAAATTGCAAACTGGTCTATTTCAATGACTGTGTAAATAAAAATTTAACTAGACGGGCAACATTTTGTTCGAAAGTAGTCGTGTCGTAACGTCTTGTTTTTTTCTAAAACCTGCAGAGAAATCGGATGAAGAGTTGCATTTCAAGCGAGTCTTGACTCATCTCGGTCAGAAACTCATCAGGCCTCCCTCCTAACGTCTTTGGCCAGCTTGGGAATTATAAGCCAAGTCTTCAATTTTCCTCTGGTAAATTAGGAGTGGGTCGTGCTCCTGCTACAGACTAAAGCCTGGTCCGTGAGCACGTAGAATCCCGTCCGACGACCCCAAGCTGCCCATCCTTGTCGCTCGCACGTAATTATGTTGCTGTCGCGTTCGCACACTCACTGCGGGCGCGCGTCGCACGGTCGCGACAGCAATATAATTACGCGCGAGCGAGAGATAAGGATGGGTAGCTTGGGGTCATTGGACGGGATTCTACGTGCTCACGGACCAGGCTTTAAATGACCTGATGATGATGAAGCCCCTCTTACCTTTGCTTGACCTTCACTGGTTGGATTTTTGTTGGCGGTCAAGCTATAGATCCTGGCTACACAGGAGTTGCAGCGGTGGGAACGAGAAGTGGGAACAGTCCCGTTACCTCTGCTTGAAGGTGAAGATCTTGACATCCAGCTTGTCTTCGGACTCGCCGGTGATCTTGTATCCCAGCCCGCAGCGCGCCCACATTACGGCCAAGTCGCAGGTAGCGTTGGCCACCAGTCGAGTAATCACGTCCAGAGGTTTGTAGCTCCACGCTACCTTCCATTTGTGCTCGGCTTTTTTTAGCGCCTGGAATTTTTTTCATTGCAATTTGAACGTTAAGAGTGTTCAACAAGTTACCGAATGAATTTAAAGATTTGAAGTCTGGACCGTTTAAAAAGAAATTGTATGATTGGCTCCATAACAAAAATTTTTACAGTATTAAGGAATATTTTAATCATAATTTGACATAGATAGAATTTGACATAAATACTTAATTGTTTGACAATGAATGTAATAGAATAATCTCTCTTTAATGTAATTTGGTATACAATATTTTATTGAAATGACATTTTATGAAAATGATTTGCATGCTATTTTTAAAAGGCTAAACATGAGCACATTGTAAATACCAACATCCTTATACCATGTTTGAAGCAAATAAAGACATTCTTCTTATTCTTATTAACGTTATGTCGTTAGAGTGAGGCTCATAATAAATTGGAGAAATGTATTATGTGGCATAATGCTGATGTGATGTAAAGTAATGAGGATTGAAAAAGTTGTATTAAGCATGAGATCAGCTTACACGAAGAAGTTTGTCGGGGCCGTAGATCAAGAACCCGTTTCCGAACGCACATATGCATGGTTTGATTTTTCCATGTAAGTTCTCAGACCATTCCAGGTTGGTGACCATGCCTATACCGTCTGACAGCACCTAGAAAGGAACAGGTATTTAAATTACGGATTGAAATTGCACAATGGCTCTTACTGCACTTCTGAACCCAAACATGAGCTGTAATTTGAGTCCTACAGTTACAGTGAAAAAATATTTGTTACGGTTCGTCTATTTGTAAGTCTGCGGGCACGAAACTGGCGACAGCCGAGCGACGGGCGGGGCGGCGATGAGGAATAGTATGTATTGCGATCGGCCCGCTCCGCCGCCGCTTGTTTCGTGCGCGTCACCATTACAATATCATGATGTTGTATGCATCGCCCAGCGCCTCGCCGCCCCGCTGTCGCAATCGCTCGGCCCGTCGCTAGTTTCGTGCCCGCAGACTATGATTTATGTCAGTGTTTTTCAACCTTTTTCATAACACGACCCCCTTAGTATGAAAAAATTTTTAGCGACCACCCGACCGTTCGCTTTTTTTTTTCATGCGTTTTATAATGTTGCAAAGATGTTTGTAGGGACTGAATACTTCAACCCATACAACATTTGCATAATTAGATTTCGGATTAATCTGTCTTTATAAGATTTTTTTTTACTGAAGTAGTTTTTACGACCTCTCGCGACCCCCCTATAGAGGCTTGGCGACCCCCCTTGGAGGGGGTCGCGACCCACAGGTTGAAAAACACTGATTTATGTTAATTAAACTTACCAGTTGGCGCCACTGGAGAGTATGAGCTTCTGTTACTGGCTAGCGGTGAGTTGCCATCTAGTGAGTGGAAATACGCCGTAGCACAGAATAATAATAAGTACTACGTACAGAAGTTTTACTTCGCGAAAGTATTTAAAAAATTGTATGCTCAATGTCATTAACAATATGGTGTAATTTAGCCTGTCTCAAGAGTCAAGCACCATTTTGTTGACAAACGTCAGTAATCGGCACTGCGCCGAAGCTATAGGGCTGACTTCGGTAAAATGATGTGACGTGAGGTGCCAAACTGCGGAAAATGGCGGAGGAAATACATGATTTAGCATGAATTAAGTATCATGAATAATATTAACTACTTATTACACTGAGAGGTACTCAGTGTCTTGAGGCAACTTAAAAAGTACATTCTGTGTTTTTATTATTATTTAGGCAGTTAAATACTGCACAGTATTTAGTACACCATTTTCTTTATTTTCTTCCATCATACACAAGAATACGCGTGCGTGAGTCAATGTTCGCTCGTATGTGAGGCCTTGTCGAATAGTATCCTGTAGGTGGACCATCGTGCGTGTTTTGTTTTCGATTTAAACTCGCGGAGATGAACAGGCCTGGCCGTAGGTCAAAAATTTTTAGTTTTTTTCGCCTGCACTCACGCTGTAGAGGTTGGCGGCAGGGTCGATGGCGTACAGCTGGCCCTCGGCGCTCCAGCAGACGCCGACGAGCGGCGGCTCCGACACCTCCCAGCCCGTCACCTCCTGCTTGGCGCGCTGCAGCAGCAGGCTGCGCTTGTAGCACTGCGCCACCTCCCACACGATCAGCCCTTCGCCCCAGCACTCGCAGATTAGCATGTGAGTGCGGCTGGCCCTGGAATTAATGAAAAGACAAGTTACAGTTTTGGTTGACCCATAAATTAATTCGGCTGGGTATTCAAGATGTGTTCGGCCGAGGACCTCCGGTGTTTTTTGTGCGTAGCGGTAGGGAAGTCATTGGAGCATTCACTGGGGGCGAAAAACTGCCCTCAGCCGCGACTCCAGACAGAGACGGAGGTGGACGCGGGGGCGTCCCGAAGGCTCGAAGTCGTGGACTCACCGCGCGTTTCGGAGAGAGGGCGACTGCTAAGAGCGCCCAAAGAGAGAGGCTGCGGCCGTAGCGTGCACGTTAGGGGGTAAGCTCTGCCCTTTTGACAGGGAGAACCCCACATAACCAATGAGTTCCCCTCCCGAACCTTTGGCTATGGCAGTGTATTTTCCAGTCGAAAAAAAGTCACACCCTGATAAAATCTCGACCCCCTGTCATCATGCGATGCCCTACTCACATGTAGATCTGACTGCGGCGCACGACACCGGTGGGCGCGCTGACGAGGCGCTGGTGCGTGCGCCAATTCCACACTGATACTACGTAGTTGGGGAACCCGCTGAAGCCCGCCACCAGCTCGCACTCCATCATGCAGAGCCCTTTGTAGCGGTTCACTGTCTTATCTGGAAAGTAAACCACACCAAAGTCTGTTCGCCGAGAGTTGATAAAAAAAAATATCAGAGGTTCTAAACTCATTATAAATTGCGGCCCGCTAATTATTTTTGTCGATATAATGAAAAAGTTGGTAGATTATCATTATTATCTATTTATTAATTTAATAGGAATTATTCCGGTTAGGGCATACGTGGGGATACGGATCAAACACGTGGCGTCCATGTGTTGGATAAAAATTATTTCATTATTATCAAGTGGCTTATAGTGTATCCCAATGATAGACAAAACCCTACGCACTGTCATACCATTCATTTCGGTCTTATGTAAAATAAATCTATTCCGTTTCACACATTGCGGCCCGCCGGCCGGGGCGCTTGACGACAGCTGCGTGGCTCGTACCATGGTACTCAGTGCGCGTTGTGACAAACGACGCCCGCCATACAGAATGCGATAATTAAGCGACAGTCGCTATTGCAAGACATTTCATAATATTTATCAACTCTCGGCGAACAGACTTTAGATAGACTTTAGATCTTTCGAACTTCTTCGTCTCGCCAGCGCCGCGACGACAACACTAAATAGGCGTCGCGATGAACGATGAGACCCGCCAATGCTGCGCGTGTGCTGGCAAGACAACACGCCCTAAAGACGCTAGGGTGGGGGGTCCCTTTGACGTGACTATATCCCATCCCAGAGAACGCGGAATAATGAAGCCCATAACGAAATAGTGTGGCATCAATTCTTTTATATCTCAGAGTGCCAATAATGACCTAATACTTAATTTAACAGTGATTGTTATCGAACAAACCTCTCAACTCGGCAACAATATTGAATGCAGGATAATTGACAATAAATATTCTTCCATGCTTGACTTTTTCAGCAAATGCAAATGTATTACTTCTGTGTCCTGTAAAAAGAATAAAAAAAGATTTATTTACCTGCATAAGTATAATTTCTAGTCTTTAAAAATATCTACCTGCAACAACATCAACCCCATCTCCATTCTTCTGGCTGTTGGCAACATACACCAGTTCTGAATGAGTTTTCAAGTTGAAAAATACTATGTAGATGTCATGTGCTATTATGAACACATCTTTGCCCATGAAAGTCACGAAGTCCACTCTGTTGGGCAACACCCATCTACAACAAAAAAGTTTATAAGTAAATCTGGTTTCTGAGCAAACTGTAAGTTTTATAATATTTTAAACTATTATGTTGCATTTTTACTATTAAAAAAAAAAAAAAATTATCACTTCACGGGATTTCGGAGGGTAAATATTTTATTTACCAATAGGTACACATGGTGATACACCAATAATAACTGCAATTAACTTTTATTACCTGATGATGGATTAGCCAGCTTTATTTTAAGAATTTTGATACAAATGAAATTAAAAAAGTGTAATGTAATATTATTGTTACGTGGTGAAGACATCAATCTAAGAAAACAAGAAAAGATGAATGGGGTCATTTAAAAGTTTTTTTTTTACTATAAATCATAAAGTTAATATTATATTAACTTTATGCTATAAATATTATAAAAAAAACATTTTCATTATTGTTTTTCAGCAGCGTAGTGTCAATCATGTCATCCACCTACCTTACTCTTGGCTGATAAGCGGAATCATCTGGGTGGGGCTCTGGATTACTATCAGGCATGGTGATACCTACTGAAAAGTGAGAAAATGTCAAGTTTCATTGAGCAGCATTCTATAAAAATACCTGACGGATTTGAATGCAGTTATCACAATCACCCCATAATATTTTTTTACAGAAACTATTTATCGCTAAGTCTAATACATATAAGCAAAATTGTATGAGTTACAAACTTACAAAGACAAGAAAAGCGAACACTTTGGGAGGTAGGTAATATTACCAACTTACCAACCAAATTGCAATGAAAACCATTTTAAACCTTGTGAATTTACTTACGTCTTTAAAAAGATAGTGTACGACTTCACATTTACGGCTTTAACTAAATCTCAGAACTAAATAGAAATAATTTTATAAATTACACTTCTTAGCAACAGGATAAACAAACAAAATCCCAAAATCCGACAAGTCACAAAATCAAAACAAAACTGAACAAAACTGAGCAAAACTATTTTGAAACAAAGTATTTTTTAATGTCAATTATATTATTGTAAAATAAGATTGAGTTTTTTTTTTTCCAATTATAAATGGAAACAAATGTACAAGATTCATCAAAATTAAAAAAATTATATCAAGTACCAATTGTTAAACTGTTTTTTTGAGACTACTTTGAGAATTTTTGGATTTTCTACATCATGTGATTTATTTATCATTACTTGGCATCTAAAAGTACCTGTTTTATTATCAGTTATTCTCTACACACAGAACTTGTCGATCAAAAAGAATATTTTAATTGTTGTAAATTTTGTACATTAGAGGTATGGTATAAAAAAAGTGTTATAATATAAATAAAATATTAATACGTCAAATATAATTAAATTAAATTATATTTGTACAATTCAGATATTTATTAAAGATAATTTTCGAAATCTGGACTATGCTTTGTGTAAAACGAAACTACAAAAATCAGTAGCTGTCAAAAAAGGCTGAACCACGGACGGATGGATGATCGGGGAGTGATTATTTGATAAGAAAAGAAACAATAAAAAGCTTTAGGAAATGCAATTAAGGCTGGGATTGTTTTATCCCTATTACAGTGTAAAATGTGAAATATATCAGTGATTGATTATCCTACTACAATGTAAGTTATTGCCTCCTGCGTAGCTTTGTATATTTTTCTTGTTTATGTCCTAAATGCAGATTACTCACAGTCTTTCTATTGTTGTTTTTGTTGGTAAAGTGTATTTGTGTATGTGCAGGGATAATATCACCGGATTCGTAGACGACCCTGTGGCCCAAAGATGGAACTCATCCCTGGACAGCTTCAGTCATATCCCAATAGACCAGAATCTTATTCTGTTGCTAGTGTCCCTGATATCGGCGATGGCATGGATCGTTTATATAACTTACTACAACAGTCGCGTGCTCGGCTACATATTGACGAGGCTAATAAACAAATTTTATTTCCAAGATGAAAACTTCAAAATTGGTGAGTAACTTGTTACATTTTGTTTTCAGATTATAAATAAAGAAATCTATGAATTAAGGCTTCATATTTGTATTTCTGGACATATCAATAGTTCTCAACTATCAGTAATGAGTGTTTTGATGATAAAACTGACAGGACGAAATTGTTATCTGAAATCTGAATAACAATGATAAAATGTAAAATGAATCATGTAGGTAACATGCTAATGCATGTTTCTTTTTTTATGTTATTAACTTGAACTTAAGTCTTAAAAACAATTTCAAATATGTTTTTGTATTATTCATTGAGAAAAAACTCTCACCTTGAACTTTTACTAATGTAAAATAGTTGATAATAGCTTTTATTAACAAAAAATACCAAAACTAGAATTATCTTATGAACAGTAACAGTATATTAAATAGATAATTAAAAATAAACAATGTTATTCAATAAAATTGTAGCCTTACAACCACCTGCCTAGGTGTAGTTTAATACACAATAATTCATTCCAAGTATTATTGCTTATTATTATATTATTATATTATATTATTATAAATGTCCTTATTAACTTTTGCATGCATTACTAAATGATGAGGGCAAATTAACATTAACCCATTAACGCCCAAATGAAAACTACGGTCAATTTCACATAGCCAATGTTTATTTTCTTTATAAAAATACTTCAAAAATAATACTAAACAGAAAGAAAACCAAAAACAAAATCAGAAGTTAGATTTTCAGGGGTGTACTAAGTTTTGTACAATGGGCGCTTATGAGTCATATTGAGCAAAGCTTTCTCCATCCTGGCACAGTATTTTCAGGCACTTGCTATAAGCTGTTTTGACTTTATTGAAACGCACAGTAATTTTAAGCTGTCAAATCCGCTTGTTTGCTGGTTTATTTTGATTATAACCATTATTTCATATTTTTTCTCCATCAACTAGAGCAAGACTACCTACTTTTATTTATCTTTTATAGGTCAAATATGTGCGTACTATATATTTTCGGAATGCTAGCTGATCTAAGCGACTATATGGGTTTACTATGCAGTGCAGACTGCATGCATTTGAAATTGTCATGTCCACCATATAAGCGAACAAGACCCATCCACCGCTTTTTTTCCTTTTACCTCAATTTGGTAAAGTTCTATAGACTAGCCATCTGATCTAACCCACTGATCTTCTTATTATATTGTAGCTGGACACCCTGTGGTGCCTAACTCTACTGGTTTTTTATCAAAAGACCCCAATAATGACCTTTCCCAATGGTTCTAAAGCATCAAAATTTGATCCAATAGTACTTACATTATTATCTTTCAATCAATACTAGTAAAATTATGTTTGGCTTGTCGAATAAGTCTCTATGCTTTTTGTGAAAATCTTTATAAGTAATCAAAGGATACCGTTTGGTTCTGTTTTCACGTGTGGTTCCAAAAACTATGTAACTAAGTCTCTTTAGGTCGACAAACAGGTCATAATTGGGGAAACAAAATGTTTCTTTTTGTTGTCTGTAACCCCATAAATAAAGAGCCATGTCATTGGAAAAAGAAAACAATGATAACATATAAAAACTATGAAGAAATAGGTAAACACTCTAATAATAATGTCGTTACTGTGTTATTTTACGTAACGTGTCAAGCGCCCATTGTACAAAAGTTAGTACAGCATCACTTTGGGAGTTATAGCATGAAAAACTTTCCATGAAATGAACTTTTCTTTGTATTTTTTATTAGGATATGTTGTTAGCTAATACACAAACAACTTATTTGGTATTTTGTGTAACTTAAACCTTGCATAAAAAATTATCAAGTACCCACTAGAAGACACTAAAAAATCACTGAAACGAAATCGCAAAATACCCCCTTAAGATTGTATCGTTATGGTCTGTTTCATCTCAGTATATAATGCATAGACCTTTGTTTACCGATTGTAATTATTTCCAGAGTAAAAATACCCACTAAACCAGATTTATCGTAACTTAAAGTTGTGTACTATTTATTGTACGGCGGGCGTTAATGGGTTAATATGCACTAATTGTTATATTTGGACTCAAACAAAACATCATTCTATTACACTAAATGACCATTAAAAGGACACTGATATTTTGTTTGTTTCCTTTAAATGAAGTGCAATTAGTTATTTGTTTTGTGTTGTTTAATCATTGAACTAATTAAATCTGCTTCAGGTTCCTTTACACTCAATGCGCTATCTGGCAAGATTATGTTTCGGGACATTGTGTACATCAACTATGACTACACGCTTCGTATTCAGGACGGCTACTTGATATTCCGGTGGTGGCGCTCGTATGTGCCCAAAGATGTTTCTGAAGGTAAACAATAAGTGTTTGTATGCACAAAGTATAACTTAATTAACATACTAGCTTTCTACATGTTTTATGAATCTAATTGGAGTATGAATTTACTGGTTTTAATGTGCTTGTATTTGAATAATTCAAGTTCCATTTTTAGATTTCACATGCTAGGTTTTTCATGAGTATTTGTACTTATTTACATAATTAGGTACTTCTTAAATCTTAATGCAAATTATAACCATAATTTTGGTTTGTGCTTATAAATTAGTTCTACAGGCAAGCAGTAAAATACCTAGTGTCATTGTGACTTCTATCTTGATAATAGGTCTTGGTTGGTTATTAAAACAATCTTATTAGATCAACGGCAATGCACCAGCAAGAATATGTTGCAGATTCGGCAAAGGTTGAAGTGACTTAATTATTATTTAATTTTTGGTTTCAGATTTATCTCATTCCGACACGCGGCTCTCTATAATGCTGAACGGTTTCGAACTCCACTTCTACAACAGATGCGACCTCTACAACGAGCTCGAGAAGACCTTCGGGCTCGAGCCCGTCATCAAGCAGCAGGACGACGGCGACTGCGCCGACCGCGACAAGGCCATGAACGACGCCAACGAGAAGCGGCGCCGCGCGCAGGACACCGTGCGCTCCGAGGCCGCCATGGCGCGCACCTGGCGCGACCTCATCCCCGTCATCAAGCTGGACGTGTGCTCCGGCCGCGTGGTGTTCGGCAACCGCCTCGTGCCCACCACGCTCTCCATCAGCGTCGAGGAGGCGCACCTGGTCTACAGCACCAAGCCGCCCGCCTCCAGCCTCGACCACCTCATGCACTTCGTCAAAGCGAAAGCCGAGAACTGCAAGGTCATACTCGCGCCCAGTCCCAACTACACCGCCATGGTCGACGAGCCCCCCAGGTACATGGGCGAGGGTTTCGTCGTTATGAGTTCCAATTACATAGAGGTCTACTTTTATATGGACGAGCCCGGCCTGGTCCCCGAGCGGCCGGTGCTCCTTCAGCTGGCCAACGGCGACATCGTCGAGTCCGCCCCTCCCATCTGGGGGGTCGACATAAAGTGCGGGAAGGGCACCGACTTCAGCTACGGCCCGTGGGCGGACAGGCAGAGGGACCATTTGTTCAAATTTTTCTTCCCACCGAATTATAAAAACTTGGAGGTGACGCCGCAGCCGAAACCCGGCGACCGAAGACAGATGCAGTCTTTCGATATACGGCTGTCGACGCTCAACGAGGCCACCATAGATATTTTGTTCACAAAAAATAAGGAGACCAACGCTGTGCACATCAACATCGGCGCGGGGTCGTACCTGGAGGTGACGCTGCCGTGGATCGTGCTCCAGGACGGGTACACGACCAAGATCACGGGCCAGCTCCTCCATCTCGAAGCCACGACGAGTCTCCAATACAGAAGTTTAGCTGAGAGTGAAACGCTGGAGTACACGGTCAAGTGCCACTATCCTCTGGTGTGGAATCACCACCAGTGCTGGCAGCTCGGCCTGACGGGGTGTAAAGCGACGGTCAATCTTGTATATACCCACATTGACTTCTTTCAAGACCTGATCAACGACTGGGCCAGCAAGGCGCGCCCGGATATCCTCCACTTTGTTCCTTACACATGGAAAATTTCCCTTTTGTTGAAAGAGTGCGAAGTTGTGACTGTGAGCAATCAGTACAACTGGATAGACTGCAGTTCTACCAACCAAGAGAACAATCACGTGGCGTTCTGTGGCGACCTACTGGACGTGTCGTTTGATTTGCCATTTATCGATTTCTTGCCTGATGTGATACCCCTAAAGATATGGATACAAGGCGAAGCCGTCGATATGAGCCTGTACTTGCCAGAAGTGAACACGTCCAGATTGCTTTTGCTGTCTATCGACAAAAATATGAAATTGGTACCGTGCAGATTAAAAGCGTCGAAGTGGCGAAGAAAATGCGTTAAATCTCAGGGCTGGGTGGACTGTTGGTCCGTGCCTATCGTGGCTTTGAGCGTTCGGTACAATTACCACCCGATTCCACCTCTTGGCCCCGAGCCTCAGGCTGATATCACGACTCCAGAGAAAGAAGAGATTCTCTTATCCCCCATGAGGATACCAAGAATGAGGAAACAACCTCAAATAAGTTGGCCTTTAGATGGCAACAAATTCGACAGAACATCTCTTCCCCCCGACAAAGTGAGTGTCGAGCTTGAAGTGGGACCATCCATATTGCTAGCGTATGGAACCATCATTACAAGTTTCATGAACTTACTTGAAAACATATTTGGAGAGGATCAAACTTTCACAGACATGCAGAAGTCGCCCAATACGGACACATTTCACTGGTCCAATGAGCATACTACTAAAGTGAACGACAAAAGTAGTATCAATCAAAATGCAGACATATCATTTGATGACTCCACAGACGAAAACAAGGGTCCATTCGATCCAAGGAAGTGTAGGCCTTTAGATGTGACAGTGTCGATAATAATTCACGACATTCAAGCACACTTAGTAAAAAATTGTAGCGAGAACGAACCTCCGTGTCCCGTGATTTTAATCGAAAGATTTGGATTTGAGATGGACAAAAGCTTTAGAGAGACAAAATTGCAATTATTGTTGAGCCCTTCGATATTGGTGTCAGCGAATAATTTGTCCAGGACGAATCCCGTCAATTCCGGGGCGCTCTACCAGGGACACCTGATGCTGTCCTCATTCCAACTGCGGGGCAACGGATTCTTCAGCGATGCCAATCGGTCAGTCGAAGAAGACACCGTCGAATATGCCTGGATGATGGAACTTCAGCTGGGTCAACTAACAGGTCGTTTGACACTACCTCAACTATATCAAATAATTTCTTCATTAGAAACGTTTTTGCTTCTAATATGTGATAGCGAAAATGAGCTGATTCCGCCGAACCCTGTCAAGCACTGTCATCACGGTTTCAACACAGTCATGTGTCCCGAGACTGACGGGATATTGAAGTATCGATGCCCTACTCCAAACGAAATCAAATACAAGATGATTCGAGTGGCGATTGATTTAATCGATATCTATATCGCCGATTCGAACACCACATTCCAGACGTGGCTTTCCCCGGTTAGACTGAGTTATTGTAACCTTCACGGTTCTGGTTTCGGAACTGGTGTTACGGGGCTATTGCCAAACATAAAACTAGCTCTCTACACGCAAACTAATCTGCAAACTAACGCCCATCACCACTCCAATGGCAGCAACAGCAGCCAAAACAAACCGCCCGATGGAGAAAACTGGGTAGGCGTAGGCTCTGCCTCGCTCGGTCCACTGTTGATTGAAGCTGCATCGTCATTGCCCCAGAGCCCCAAAAACATCCATTTAGTACAGCAAAAGTTTCTTAAACTTCACGATGATAAAACGAAACGGCTATGGTTCCTGTGGCCCAACGAAGGGAAATCGTCGCAGTGCGGCTGTACAGGGGGCTGCGCTTTCTTCGGTTCCAATCGAAATGGGCCTAACTTCTTAAAGCCGAGTCCTGCTGATCTCAACGAGGGCATCAACATCGCTATGTTCAATGTTATTGAAACCACCCCCGGAGAGTATGGATATGGCCAAAGCCTATTACACCCAGGACAGCTCGTATTTCATACGCCGCCCTATAATAGTCTAAATGTCTGCCTGCAACCTACCAATGTTGCAACTTTGATTCCGTCGCCTTTACCTCAGACCTTAAACAAATCGCCGCAAAGCGTGGAACGGCGAAGTTTGACACGAAGATTTTCTTACACAAGCATGGGTAAAGGTAGCACCAATATTCTAGTTTCTAGTACAAAGAGCGACGTGCCGTACGCTCGCCTCGTAGACTCCTCAGTGCCCCTGGGCAGTACCAAAATTGATAGCGACTCAAAGCTAAACAAGACTATACTGAATGTGCCTCAAATGGAGAGCAGCGTCTCGGACTCCAAGCTGGCACTGAACTGTGTCGTGAAAGACAATTCGAATGTGACGTCCAAGAAACCGCACCAGACTGAAATTGACGCCTTCGCGGTACCCAAGGTGCCCGCTCGCAGCGTGGGAGTATCAGAATCCCACTACTCTCTCAATTCACAAGTGCCTCACGATGACTCCCTGCAGCAGGAAGTGCAACGAACAATGTCAATTACTAGTGAAAATCATTCGGAAGCCTTCTTCTCTGCAGACGAGGACATGTTCCCGAGTCGATCGTCAAGCTTGAAGCATTCCTTCGGCAGTCGTCACAGCAATCCCAAAGATAAAAGCTCCTTCGGCATTAATGACATCACTAATGAGAAATGGACCAACTCGATGCCCAGGTCTGAAGTCGGAGATGGGCCTGCGGACACCATAAGCAACTTGAGCACCGGCGCCCAGCCAGACTCCGAGAGTGGGTCGGTATCGTCGACTTCGTTCATCTCGGCAATTTCCTCACAGGAGGACATGACTTTAGTGAACCTGCACATGCAAACTAACAAGCCTATCGTGGATTCTCCACTGCTCATGGCAAGCTACATGCAGAACTTGCCGCAGTACAAATGTTCCAACTGGAACACCTGCTCGCTCCCCAGTGGCAGCGACGTATTCACGTTGCCTCTGTTCAAGAGAGCCGACGACGGGACTCTTGTATACGTTGGACAGAAATACCTACCCAGTTTCGAGCAAGTCGGCAAGATTAACATCTTGAAGTTGATTGCGAAAAAAGAAGGCCACAACAGTCAGAACCAGCACGGGCCGTACTCGAACTTGACGCCGCATTTCAACAACCAAGTCAAAGCCCATCCGTACCCACAGGGCTGGTGGGACGTTCAACAAAACGTCCAGGACAACCAAGAGAACACCACCGACAAGAGCACGACGTCGACAGCTACCACCACGAGCGACAGCAAAAACGGTTTGTTCGTGAAGTTAAAAGGAGAAATCGATATTATGTTGACGCCATTAGTACTGGAAAGCACCCAGAAGTTTGTTGAATCACTGACACCCGTCTTAGCGAATATTCATCCGATTACTGTCATTAACCATTTACGTCTTCTATGTATTTCGTCCGTTGAAAGTGGTAACATTTTAAAACAGAAGCAATACGTCCAAAACTGGCTGCCGCAGATGCAGGCCCGGAACCAATCGAATGTGGTTTTCGATAAAGATGACAAATGCAAGCTGGCGACCATACCACACACGAACGTTTACGAAGAGACGATCTGCGAACAGCTCCAGGCGACGGTGACCGTGCCCAAGGTCAACATGGTCTTCATCCAGTCGTCCGTTGTAGAAGATATGATATCGTTTTCGGCTTTGGATAACATCCAAGACTTGACATGCGTGTCGTTGTTTGGCGTGTCTGTTGAGAATATAATAGCCAAGTATGTCAGTTCCAAGAAGACACTGGAGTCGGTGCAGTTGTATTACAGACCTACTTTAAGAGCTTTGGGCAGCAAGAAAAGCTTTGGCATTATGAAGGGCCCCAGATCGTTGATATCTGCGCAGTCCTCGGGCTCGGGCAGAAAGAGAGGCCCTGAAAAGGGTGAACCGGTTCTCATCGAGACTTCACAGCAGCAATGCGAAGATACTACTATCACATTGAATGTTGGTTAGTAAAATAATATCATGTTTCCAAATTTATCATCATAACTTTATTTGGAGGAGTATGATTTTAATATATTGTAATTTTTCATTGCAGGAAAAGTTCACGGTCAACTGCGTAGGATCCGCAACGAATCGTCGCAGCTCAAGGACGCGACTATCACGGGCATCCCGTGCCAACATTCCAAAGTGTGCTTCAAGTTCATCAGAGTTGATTCATGTGCTAAAGGCTGCGAGTCTATGGTAAGGTGTACGACTAATTTTGCTAAATCTGGGTTTTTGATTTTTTTAATGTCACTATTTTATTTGTGTTTGCAGTGCTGTCAAAATGGAGGAACAGACACCCAGAAGGAGAACGCAATCGGCTACATCATGTTCGAATGTGGACTGGAAGGAACATCCATCAAAGTGTCCAAACACTCCCAGTCTCACAAACCCAACGAGGAGAAAAAACCTCCGCGAAACGACAACGAAAGCTGCCGCGAGTCCGTGAAATCGGCCGAGGAGTTGAAACCTGACAAGGAGAAGACTACCAAAGGGCGGACTTCAGGAATCGAGGATCTGTTTAGGAAGAGAGAATCGACCTCGAAGCCGAGCACGCCCAATTTGGGGACGGCTCAACCGCCGCCCGTGCCGCCTGAGCCGTCCACGCCCGGACCCGACGAGCCGTCGAATAATGACAGCACCACTACCATGGTGCCGGTCAAAGACAACGGGAACACGTCATCGTGTGCTATCGATTTGAAAGTGGTTTGGTTCAACTTCGCGGCGCCGCCTCGGACGCCGATCACAAAGAAGATCGATTATACCAGGTATTGAAATAGCTTTTTCTTTTATATCAGTTTTTTGATAAAGCCTGGTCCGTGAGCACGTAGAATCCCGTCCAATGACCCCAAGCTACCCCCTTATCGCTCGCGCGTAATTATATTGCTGTCGCGACTGTGCGACGCGCGCCCGCAGTGAGTGTGCGAGCGCGACAGCAACATAATTACGTGCGAGCGACAAGGATGGGCAGCTTGGGGTCATTGGACGGGATTCTACGTGCTCACGGACCAGGCTTTAGACCCAAATAAACACTGACCTTAAAATTCCACAAAATCGTCTAGAGTAGTTAAGAAATTGCTCATGCAGGCTATTATTTCGTTTGCAGACTGGACTGGAACCTGCTGAGCACGGCGTCACCAGCCATCAACGCGTGGATGAACCCGTGCAACCGGCTCGGCATCCGCGTCGTGTCGCTGTACCGCGCCCACGCGCGCCGCCTCACCGCCACCGCCGCCAGCCTCATGGCGGCCGCGCTTGACCTCGCGCCACACCATACGCCGCCCAAGGTCAGTGTGGTACCACAGGTTTAAAAAAAAAATGCTCAATGTCATTAACAATATATGGTGTCATTTAGCTTGCCTCAAGAGTCGAGCACCATATTGTTGGCAAACGTTAGTGATCGGCACTGCGCCGAAGCCATAGGGCTGACTTTGGTAAAATGATGTGTGACGTGAGGTGCCAAACTGCGGAAAATGGCGGAGGAAATACATGAAAGCATGAATTATCACGAATAATAATAACCACTTATTTATCTCTGTGTCTTCAGGCAACTTAAAAATAGTACATTCTGTGTTTTTATTATTATTTAGGCAGTTAAATACTGCACAGTATTTAGTACACCGTTTTTTTACGCGTGCGTGAGTCAATGCTCGCTCGTATGTGAGGCCTTGTCGAATAGTAATCCTGTGAGGTGCCATCGCGCTTGTTTTGTTTTCGACGTAAACTCACGGAGATGAACAGGCCTGGTGATACACTGGTAGACTCTCTCCAGACACGGTGAGACCGTGCAATGTGAGTGGGCCTCCTAACACCTACTGGTCTCACTTAGGGAGGGGGAACGAGGCGAGCAAATCCCTATCTTCCTCCCAACCGTCTGCGCCGGAGCCGCCGGACATCTGACGAGACTCTTTTGATCCTGGCACTGAATGGGAGATGGAGAAAAAGAGATTTCGATATAGAAAGAGTGTCCTCTAGTGTTAGGGTCCTAACGAATATTAGTGTAAAATAAAATAGCGGACTGTATAAAAATAGGTGCTGTAATTCTCGCCACCCTAATTACAAGAAATTGTCTAAGACTACGCGGTAATCGTGCGTCGACGGTGGTGTCCAAAAGCGAGTGAGTGAGCCGAGCGCAGCCGATGATGACGCTTGCGGCCCGAGGTGACGTTAGTCATCGTACGCCGCCCACACGTCTTCACCCGCGCGGTGTTGGCTTCCCAAAATCTAGTGTGAAAAAGTGTTTTTATATATTTTTTTAATTTAGTTTGATTCTTAAGCACCTTGATTGTGGTTACAGAGTCGCTACGGCCGCCACACGCCGATGGCGAAGCAGCTTCGCGAGGAACCGTCGCTGCAGCTGTGCGGCGTGCTGCTGCGGCACGCGCTGCAGGCCGACGCCGCCGCGGTGCAGGCCGACCTCGCCGACCGGCACCTGCCCTCGCTGTCCACGCTGCGCCAGGTGCGTGTGTAGTGTGAGCAGCCTCGCTGCAGCTGTCGGCGGCTGCTGCGGCACGCGCTGCAGGCCGACGCCGCCGCGGTGCAGGCCGACCTCGCCGACCGGCACCTGCCCTCGCTGTCCACGCTGCGCCAGGTGCGTGTGTAGTGTGAGGAGCCTCGCTGCAGCTGTCATACCACAGAATAATAATAAGTACTACGTACAGAAGTTTTACTTCGCGAAGGTATTTAAAAAAATGTATGCTTAATGTCATTAACAATATGGTGTAATTTAGCCTGTCTCAAGAGTCAAGCACCATTTTGTTGACAAACGTCAGTGATCGGCACTGCGCCGAAGCTATAGGGCTGACTTCGGTAAAATGAGTGACGTGAGGTGCCAAACTGCGGAAAATGGCGGAGGAAATACATGATTTAGCATGAATTATCATGAATTATCATGAATAATATTAACTACTTATTTACCTCTCAGTGTCTTGAGGCAACTTAAAAAAGTACATTCTGTGTTTTTATTATTATTTAGGCAGTTAAATACTGCACAGTATTTAGTACACCATTTTCTTTATTTTCTTCTATCATACACAACAATACGCGTGCGGGAGTCAATGTTCGCTCGTATGTGAGACCTTGTCGAATAGTATCCTGTAGGTGGGCCATCGTGCGTGTTTTGTTTTCGATGTAAACTCGCGGAGATGATCAGGCCTGGTCATACTGTAAATACAGGCCCGAAATATAATCAACAAACCGGTGGATACAGCTAAATGACACGCGATCGATGACTGGTCACGGTACCTGTCATTGGCCTATGATCGCGCCGGCGATGGCGATCTGCACGCGTTGGTGTGGTTGAAGCTTTAGACTTACCGCGAACGAACCATTCGCAACCGTAGCGCTGCGCGGCTGACGCAGGCCGATGCACCCGCTGAATGGTCAAGCGACTATCGTCCATAAACTCTCAACCTTTTTAGAAACTCCCGCGCCGAACTCAGCTACTTTTAATACACATAAAGTCTTAACCTTTTTTTATTCGATAAAACAACAGCAACCAATACAAATAATGAAAACTTAAATTTTATCTACTTAGCCGTATACAGATATAATACAAAAAGCCAAAAGTGTTGCTCTGAAAAGAGAATATTTATTTTTAATAAACTGCTTTTAGTAACAATCACATATTTTACATAGAATTAAATAGGTAATTACCTACCTGAAAAGAGAAACAACATTTAAAGCTATTTGCTTCACAATTAAAATATTCCTTTAGTTTTCCGTACAGACGCTATTAAACAAAAACAATCTGTCAAATCTAACTTTAAAAAGAAACATAGTGTATCATTTTACTCACGTGCCAGGGTTTGTACGCGGGAAGTTTGAATAACAATGAGGGTCTATAGTGAGTCTCATTACACAGATAATCGCAAAAACTAATTAATTACTTTGTATGTAATGTTGTTGGTATACCGTAATCTATATATATATAAATGAAACCCGTTTTCCGTTGTCACGACATAACATGAAAACGGCTTGACCGATTTGGCTGATTTTTTTTTTGTAGTTTTCTAATACTCTGTACAAGGTTTTTACGGAAAAAAATATAAAGAAAATCTCTACGCTAAGGCGGTACGAAGTTCGCCGGGTCAGATAGTAAATAAATAAAACTATAACTTCGAATAATACAGCTATGTTTTGACTCACTCCGCAGGGCGTGATCGTGCTAAGCCGGCAGTGGAAGAACATCCTGTACACGCCGCTGCTGCTGGAGCACAACTACAAGAGCAAGGTCATGAAGCCGCTTAACGTCACCTTCGCGCTGCCCGACCTGCTCGAGGTAACTGCATTGTTCTTCTTTCAAAAACCATGGTCGTGGTGAATATGTTTAAAGGTTATTTGTCGCCTGTCATCCGCTTTGCACTGAAGGGAAGTTTAACCAAAAGATAATTAAAATAACATAAGATGAGTTCGAAGTTAAACTCCTGCTATGTTCTTCTGATTAACTTTCTATTAAACACATTCGAGATAACAATTCTTACGTTCTTGTATCCACTTGTATGCGGAAATACCGAGTATAACGGCCTCTCACGATTTCCGAGTAAATTTCTAAGTATTTACTTTCTGAAGAACACAATTTTATAAGTAAAAATAAGAAGTTTTTATTCTCAATTTCATATATTAAAATGTCACTAGTGCGTCAGTCTTGTCAGTGTCATGGTTTCGTTGCTACTCGTGACTTTAAATAACGAGTAGCCTACTTGACACTACTCAGAGATAGTAAAATAAGTTGTGTTGTTAATAAGCATTACCAGAGTAAATACAAATGAGTAGGTCATCTTCATAGAAACGCACGGGCGCGCCAACACGTATGCGGCGCGCACGCAAACACTGACAAAATTTAGCGGGGATTAGCGGGGACTGGGGAGCCAGTCGTGGTTGCGCCGAATTTTGTCAGTGTGTGCGTGCGCGCCGCAAACGTATATTCGCGCTCACATACAAACCGCGCTCGGTGCGTTTCTATGAAGATGACCTACTCATTTGTATTTACTCTGGCATTACTTTGTCCCTTTAAGGACTCCGTCGAGGGCTGGCAGGAGTATCCCTTGGACAACGAGGCACTGGATGAGAACTGTCTCCTTCTGAACATGGACTCAGATAAGATTAACATCCCCGGTGAGTTTACTATGTATTATGTTCATTTTTAATAGTATTTTGTTGTTTGATCTATAAAAAACCAGTTGAGATTTAAAGTTGATAGATTTACTTATATTTCTTTTCTTAGCTCACATATCAGTGTGTTTAGTATAGATAAAAAAGCCATAATAATAATGTAATTCTAATTTATGTATTTAAATCCATATAACACAATGCAGATACCTATTTCAAAGACATAACAATTTATTTTATTCATAGTTTAATGACGTCATTGCAAATCATGTTCAGCAGACGATACACAAACATACCGCAGAATCACGATACAATTATTATATCTATCAAACACTTAAAACTGCATTCGACACTGGTTTATGGACATTAACATTACAAGAACAGATTCATGAAGGTATTCTAGATACCTATTTTGATTTAAATTTCATTAAATGTAGATTAAATAGAGTATTAGAATTAAACGCGTCCCGTAATATCTCAGTATTGGTTTTAAACTATCAGTATTGGTTTTGAGATGGTTGTATGACCGCCGCGGTGAGATTCGGACAAGCATGGGCTCGATGCATAGGAGATTAGGAGTGCTAGAAAATATTACACCGAGAGTAACCAACATTTTGTTAAGTGGTCACTGAGTTTCTTGCTCTGCTTCTTCTCAGCACTGGTAAAATAAATGGATTTTATAAATTTTTGTTCCCACTCTCAACTATTACATTACAAACAGTTCTAGAACCCAATTGAATCTGTTCTCCCTTCACAAATGACGACAGCGGGTGTTGTAATAATGTGTGTTGTTGGTGAAGCGCCGGCGCCGGCCGCGGCCTCCCCGCGCCCGCACTCCTTCCCCTCCACGCCGCCGTCCGGTGCGTACGCCGAGCACGCGCCGGCTTGACATTTGTGGACCTTATGCGTTTCACTTAAAACCCAATTTAGAATACAGTTCTTGCAACTCACGAAGGCGACTTGTGTGTGTACGTGTATGTACTTACATGCACATAACGAAGTTAAATGTCTATCAAAAATGTTGAAAAACGAACAGTAGCGAGCCAACACATGTAAAGCTCACTCGCTTTCGTGAATTGCTACATCTATACTGATATAATATAAAAAAATATTGGGTTGCAGCTGATTCACAAATCTCAAGCTAATCAAAGTCGTTTAAGAAACTTAATGATGAAATGGAGTTGGAAATGTTAGGCAGAGTAGGGCGTAGACGGAGTCGATGTGAAAATGGGATAACTATAATGACGATTCGTGTCTAAAAATCGAGTGGAAGTTTTTTTACTGACGTGATACATTATGAATATTTATAGATGATGGATATTGTGCACAAGTTTTTTAAGTTACTTATTAGTTTGTTATGGTTTATTTTACACCTTTGGAGGTGTGTAGTGTAATGTAGCTTAACAGCCTTCGCCTGGCGTTTAAAATGCACTTATGTAATGTTAAATGCTGTAAGTGGCACATATTAAGGCAAATTATAATTTAAATACCTTTAAAAGTGGTAATTAAAGTATAAAAAAATGATCTCAATCAGTGCCATTTTTACGTAGATGAGTTTGTTGTAAGTTGGCGAATGGTTGCCTAAAATAATTTGTAATTTATATTGTAGTACAGAGGAGTGTTAGCGAGTTGACGAAGTTGTGTTTTGCTTCCACTACGTCTCCGCCTTCTGTCTTAGTACTGTTATAGTTTACCGCACATTATTATTTTAAACGACTTTCAGTCACGTGCGCCGTTTTGGTTTGATTGGAAACGTTTAGTTTGACAGCATGGTGTGTTGTTTTGTGCTATGAATGTTTAGTTTTTGCCCACGGGAGCGCGTGTATTTTGCTGATCTGTGGCCTTGCACTATCACGCCTGGATGGTTGAGATAAATCACTATAAGTATGAAATTTAAAATTAAAGAAAAAAACACACTCGGGACAAATGGTCAAATGCATGAAATCATACAAGCAAAGTAGGCGTGCACTCGAATACAGCAAAAACTGTAGATGTTCTTCTAGTCGTGTCTCCCTCTTGATGGTCGTCTGTCTCTCTCTAGCTTTGGCTAGCATCCAATGCACCCTTCACGCTGTATGACTTGTTTTCGGGACTGCATACAGGTACTTATTTTCTCAAGTTTGGTGTATGTGAGTGTCATATGTTTGTTGTGGAGTCATTAATTTTGTATTGGCTTAAATATTGAAGTTCACTTCTGTTTTGTTGTATTTTTTTGATTAACTTTTTCGAATCTGCTTTTTGAATCTTTATTTTTCTTACTTCATTTTATATAATATCATAATTCTTTTCATTGTTTTTGGTATTGCACTAATTTCAAAGTATGTTTATCGTTGTCCAAAATATTTCCATTCAAATTCTCGTGCATTCTTTTCCAACTATCTCTTTCATCGTCATAGTCATATTCGATGTCACGCAGTCATTCAAGTATTAAGTGTTTGTGTTACCCCGGTTGCCATGATCGTCATCATCTCCATTTTATTAAAATACCTTTCGCAATCGCAATGTTATGGTCATTATTTGTTTGAAACTTTTTCATTTCAATTCCTCTGACTTCGATTCCAAGTTTCGTCCAGTCCTATTACGTATCTTACGTTACGCACACATATATTTGGCTTCTTTATAGTTGCCTTTTTTATAAGGCTTTGCATCTTCCTCCGATTGGGATAAAGACTGTGTCTAAAGCCTGGTCCGTGAGCACGTAGAATTTTGTCCAATGACCCCAAGCTACCCATCCTTATCGCTCGCGCGTAATTATGTTGCTGTCACGCTCGCACACTCACTGCGGGCGCCCGTCGCACAGTCGCGACAGCAATATAATTACACGCGAGCGTTAAGGATGGGTAGCTTGGGGTCATTGGTCAAAATTCTACGTGCTCACGGACCAGGCTTTACAAAGCGTAAGGATAAGAACCTTCGGCAATTTTTGTCATGAGTCAAATACATGTGCGCGTATATTAGTACCACATTCGCGTGGCTAACGAGCGTGTGTCGCAGCCCGCGGCGCGCCGAGCAGCCGCGCGAGCCTAGTGTTCCCCCCGCTGCCGTTCTCCGCTCGCAAGCCGCCATTCACCGACGACGCCATCGCTAGTGAGTAGCGCCCTCTGTCCGCCCATGTGTCGTAGCTAAGCGTGGTTTGTTGAGCAGGAAATGACTAGTGATAGATTAGTACGCTTAGATAAAAGGATTATTATTAAAAAGCGCCTATGATCATTCAAAACGAGTCGCTGGAGAAACGAGTTCAACAAGAAACATTGGTTTGCTAAACCCAAGTTATGACTTGCTAGAAATATTTTATGGTTTAGTTATTTGTACGTTATTAAAGTCTCGTTTTCTTTGTGGATCTCGGCCTAGTTGTAGCAGGCTCCCGGCTCAGTTTACGGATACAGGAACGGGCGCGCCCGTTGACACACCCGCTCCGCTGAGCGCTTTAGTGATCATTCTTCGAGCGCAGCCGCATCAATGCACGGCTGGCACGTGCTTTAGGCTGACCTCTGCTAACTTCTGTGTTGCTTGTTTTTTCTGAAACTTCTTTGGGTCGTGGTCTTATCTCAATGTTCTGTTTTCAATATACACGTGTAACCACGAGCCATAGAAACGCCACCTGTGCATCAAACATCCGAATGGGATTGAAGCTTGTTTTGCAGATGCATAGTTGAAGCTAATGTTTGGTTTGACGTTCACCCTGCATTTTGTCAAGAATGCTTTATCATGATGACGTGTAAATATCCCGGCACGCAGACTACGGCACGCTGAAGGAGGACCTGCCGACGGTGGGCTCGAACCCGTCGCTGTACTCGCCGCACGACAGCGACGAGAACCTCCGCAGCGACCGCGCCAGAGAAGACCTTTACCAGTGGATGGCTAAGCAAGAGCCGATCAAAGTGGTAAGTTAGTTTGATTCAACCTCGTGACCGATGTTGCGAATTTATTGTGATCTCGTGATATTAAAACGCAAGTGTGAAGCATGCATAATAAATCTTTAAAGTAAGCAAGATTTTCATCATACTTATCGCATATAGACTCCTGCGGTAGTGCGGTGCGATAGGGATGTGTTTTAGTTATGTTAAATACCGCGAGTATACGGAGTCGTGGATTGCGACAGTCCTTTTACGTCACTCTTCCCGCACCGCTCCACTACCGCCGAAACGATGGAAAGATTGTACAAATGTATTCTTGTTAGCAGTCTGTACTTCATATACGTTTTTACTGTTTCCAGGAGCCAAAGAGCAAGAAGCCGATCATCCCGCCGTCCCGCATGAACCCGCGGCCCGCGTCCATGCCGGCGTGCAGCCTGTACCCGCTGCAGGGCTCGCTCATGCTGCTGGACGCGCACCTCGTGTTCCAGCCCTTCCTGGCCGCGCTGGGCGTGTCTCCCAACCAGATCACGCAAGGTAAAGTCCGGTCTGTGAGCATGGACCTATAAAAAAAGTCGGACGGATTCTCATCAACAAAATACTGTGACATTAGGATATACCAGCTCGCCTGTACGTACAGGCCGGCACGCACACATTCATACCCTGATACACCACTTCGAGTGCAAACTTCACACAGTTGACACATTTACGCGGCGAAAAAAAAAACACAAATACGACATCTCTTGCGTGGTGAAATTGTGTAAAAACCGTTCTGATCGAACGAACAAAAATCAAGGAATCACATTTCACAGGTAAACTAATAATCTAATCACTTATTTCCCCGATTTTATAAACATTAAAATATTAAAATCAAACGTCAATCACTCGACAAAATAATACGTCAAAGGCCAGTGTTCTCAGTTATTTACGTGGGAAAATTACCCGAAAAGTGGGAAATCTATAATTTTAAGACTTTTTAGGTGTTTATTACGCATACTATTGAAATAAAATAATTTATCATAATAACTGTGTTTTAATGGGATATATTTTCGTAGGCAGATTTCATCCTTCCCAAGGGCGTGGAACTGCGAAATTCAAATTTTCTTATATTTTTCATGGACCTATAAAAAAAGTCGGACGGATTCTCATCAACAAAATACTGTGACATTAGGATATACCAGCTCGCCTGTACGTACAGGCCGGCACGCACACATTCATACCCTGATACACCACTTCGAGTGCAAACTTCACACAGTTGACACATTTACGCGGCGAAAAAAAAAACACAAATACGACATCTCTTGCGTGGTGAAATTGTGTAAAAACCGTTCTGATCGAACGAACAAAAATCAAGGAATCACATTTCACAGGTAAACTAATAATCTAATCACTTATTTCCCCGATTTTATAAACATTAAAATATTAAAATCAAACGTCAATCACTCGACAAAATAATACGTCAAAGGCCAGTGTTCTCAGTTATTTACGTGGGAAAATTACCCGAAAAGTGGGAAATCTATAATTTTAAGACTTTTTAGGTGTTTATTACGCATACTATTGAAATAAAATAATTTATCATAATAACTGTGTTTTAATGGGATATATTTTCGTAGGCAGATTTCATCCTTCCCAAGGGCGTGGAACTGCGAAATTCAAATTTTCTTATATTTTTCAGGTTGTATGTTAAAATCTATCAGAGATAATAATATTGATGATACCTACATAAGATTATGATTACGTAGGTACACAAGATTGATAATTTGTAACTGCGTGAATCGTACCTGACACTGACTTGCAAACAAAGTAAGAAAATTTGAAAATTTCGCGTCTACCTCAAACGTATTCATCTTTCATCCTTTACAAATGGCACGATATAATTCCGTCTACATTTCCAAGTAACATATCTGCCCATCTATGTTTTTCTTAAGATAAAAGGGTAAAATGTTTTACTAACATGGCATCCCTAAATTCACTCACACAATAGACAAACGCCAAAATTTTGCGTCACAGTTTTGTTGTAGCGCGAGTTCCGTCCGCCTTTTTTTATAGGTCCATGTCTGTGAGCACGTAGAATTTTGTCCAATGACCCCAAGCTACCCATCCTTGTCGCTCGCGGATAATGAAGAATGTTCACTAATTTTGTTTTTTAGCTTTCTGTATTCTCTGTTAAAAATAAAAAATACACGTGAACGAATTATTTCGATACGTCAATTAGTTTCCAAGATATTGAATTTTAAAAGTGCGGGCGGCGGCCGGCCCGCCATTTTATGCGCGTGACGTCATATTACAGTGACTGGCTCATATTTGTATGGGTGGAATCTTGCAAGCTGAATTAAGACCCACTTCCAGGCAACCGATTAAGCTGAAATTTCGCAGACACATGTGATTTGGATGACCATGCAATATTATGATGACATGGAGCTGATCTGATGATGGAGCTGGAAGGTGGCCATAGGAACTCTATAATAAAACGACTTAAATTCATCGAGTTTGGGCTCGTTCGTTTTGTATTGATGAGTATTTTAATTCTATATAGTAATCAGGGTCTAATGATGGAGCTGGAAGGTAATTCGCAATAAAACGACACAATCGCATCAAGTTTGGGTTTGGTTCAATTTTAATTTCTGTGAGGGGTCTGGGTGTTAATATGTATAATAAGTTTGTATTTACAAAAAAAAATGCGTTTAAGTATGTTTATATCAGTTTTCTAGTGAGCGGACACTGTGAATGTACGTCACGCGGGGTCACGTGACCGTCGACGGGACTCAATATTTAAGCGAACTTTGAATGCCTATAAAATCATAACTATTGGGTATTTTTGAATGAAATAAAAACTAATGTATTTATAAATGTAAAAGCTTAACTGTAACATAGGTTTCAAGTGATTTTGCATACCTAGTAACATTCTCAATTATATTGCTGTCGCGACTGTGCGACGGGCGCCCGCAGTGAGTGTGCGAGCGCGACAGCAACATAATTACGCGCGAGCGATAAGGATGGGTAGCTTGGGGTCGTTGGACAAAATTCTACGTGCTCGCAGACCAGACTATAGACAAGGAGACAGCGGGGTTTCTTCGAAAAACATCCGAAGTTTCGAATTTTGCCATCTCTCTCACGCAAAGCGAGATGCGAGCATGAACGTCGGTGACGGATAGACTCGAAATTATGTAATCATCGTTTCGGAGTAGACCTGTAGGAGCCACAGCGAGCGACCTGGCGTTCCGCATGCACCACTGGACCGTGTCCATGCCAAATCTCAAAGGAGATAATTTTTCAGCATTGTAAAATAGCAGTAACAGCAAATAAAACAACGTTGTAACTATAGGATGTCCCATAGAGGATACGTACCCGTATTTCAACGTAACGCGCTTACGTCAACGTCACTTGCGTTCAATCAACGGGTACAAATATGATGATGTTTGTCACTGTCGGCAGCTGTTAAGCTTCAACCACACCAACGCGTGCAGATCGCCATCGCCGGCGCGATCATAGGGAAATGATAGGTCGCGTGAACTGTCATGGGTCGTGCGACCATTACACTTCGAATCCAGGTCAATGTTTATAAACTTGAAAAAATATAATATTCTCTAATGTATTTCCACTTACGATTGCCAGGCGAGTCAAAGAAGAGCGGCGGCGAAGGCGGGTCGGGCTCGAGCGCGGCGGCGCCGGCGCTGGAGTCGCTGGGCTCGATGCTGTCGCTGCTGGCGTGGGTGGACACCTTCCGCATCGACATCGTCGTCAGCGACCTCGCCGCGCGCGACCGCCGCCACCCGCAGCAGAAGGGCAAGGGTGAGTTGCACTTGCAGAAATGTTGTATTGGTATAATCCATAGTAACGCCTTCTTTACAAGTACATATATCATAACACTACTACCGCTTTGCTTAAGGTTACAGAAGTTAACATCATAGCACTACTACCGCTTTGCTTAAGGTTACAGAAGATATTAGAGAGGGTATGGAAAATTCTAAAGTTACTCTTCTAGTCTTAATTGATTTCTCCAATGCTTTTAACACCGTGGAACATGACCTTCTCTTAGCCGTACTTTCTCAACTAAAAGTTTCTACCCCAGCTTTAGAATGGTTTCACTCATACCTCCATGGCCGCCAGCAGTGTGTAAGGACTGAGACTTCAACTTCTGATTGGAACAAAGTGCTCTCTGGCGTACCACAGGGAGGTATTCTTTCTCCTTTGCTTTTTTCTATTTTCATAAACCTCATCACAATAAACCTTCGCTGCTCGTATCATCTGTACGCTGACGATCTGCAGTTGTACGTGCACTCTGATGTCAGTGGATTGGCAGATGCCGTTGACCTGATGAATGACAGTTTGAATTACATCTCTGAGTGGTCTCGCGATTTTGGCGTTTCTGTTAACCCATCAAAGTGTCAGGCCATAATTGTGGGAAGTCCCCGACTTCTGTCGAGGATTCCTCATGCACATCTGAGACCTGTTGCATATGAGGGGACAGTGATTCCATACTGCTCTGTAGTGAAAAATCTCGGCCTTATGATCGACTCGACACTTAGTTGGAGCGCCCACGTTGCTGAGGTCAGCCGTAAGGTAACAACGTGCCTGAGGAATCTCTATCGTCTAAAATTCTTTCTTCCTTTCAAGACCAAGCTCACTCTTATGCAGACTCTCATAATACCCATCATTGACTACGCTGATGCATGTTATTGTGATCTTTCCGAGGCTCTCACTGACAAACTTGATCGTCTTCTCAATGGTTGCATTAGATTCATTTTCGGCCTCCGGAAATTTGATCATATCTCGAGTTATAGATCCCAACTCAATTGGCTTCCCATTCGTCAGCGTAGGAACTCTAGACTTCTTGGCATTCTTTTCGCCGTTCTCTCTAATCCCACCTCTCCTTCCTACCTTAAAGAAAAGTTTACATATCTGCACCAATCACATGACCGAACTCTCCGTTCTTCCGGAAACCTTCGGCTTGTGACACCTGTCCACCACTCTGCCTTCTTCTCGAAGTCCTTTACAGTGCAGGCTACTCGCCTTTGGAACTCGTTGCCACAAGATGTCAGAGAGTCGGAAACGAGGACATCATTTAAAATGAGAGTACGTAAACACCTTTCCACATGATTGCGTAATATTGTTTATTTATTTATCACATATTATATGGTATTATATGTTAATTATATTTATTTATATTATATGTTTGTATGTATCTGTATATATGTATGTATATGTATGTATGTATGTAGGTATATGTATCTTAAATATTATATCAATTAAAAATTTAACTTCAATTTTAACTTCTACCCTTCTACCTCTACCTTCGCACACACAGCTTTCTGCATAACCCAGGGGTCGACTGGCTGAGAATGCTTAAATAGCATTAAGTCCACCTTTTGTACTATTTTATTGTGCAATAAAGTTTTATAATAATAATAATAATAAGTACTGCAACTCCTCTTAATCTTCTCTCTCTCTCTCGTATCTCTCTTTTCTCTCCCTCTCTCCTCTCTCTTTCCTGTCTTTTCTCTTTCTCTCTCCTCTCTCTCTCTCTCTCTCTTACTCTCTATCTCTATCTGTCTCTCTTCTCTCTCAATTAAATTCGACTAGGCCTTTGTCCAGCAGTTGACGTCTTTCGGCTGAAACGAACGAACGAACGAAGTATAGTAAAAGGTTGAGTTAAAAACAAACAATACGCAGACCTGGTAGCTCATATACCAAGGATACTAAACTCGGCGTCAAAAAACTATCCCATGCCAACATTGACCAGAGGGCGTAGTGTGAGTTTACTTCAAAGACATTCGATATCGACTGCATAAAAAGTTTCATTAAATGTATGACGGATTGTACAGCGCCCCTAGCGGAAACTTTCAAGAACTAATATCTTTATTTTTTTTAACGCAGTCAATATCGAATGCGTTTGACATAAACTCAACTACGGCCACACACAGTTGTTGCAGAGTCCGCTTACAACTTCCACCAACCGCCAATGGCCGTACAAACCTTGTGATTATTGTGGTTTATATCGCAAAATCTTCCCCTTTTGCTCTTGATAGTATAGAACCCCTCAACAGCATAATAAATTGAATTCAAAATCTAATATAACACTCATTTTTGCCTTCAGGCAACCCATCATACATTGACATCCCGTCCGAGACGCCAGCGTTCCTCTGCGAGAAGGTGTCGATCGACGTGGATTTGAAGAAGGTGGCGGACATGGCGGTGGACGACCTCATCCAGCGGCAGAACGTTCTGTACATCTCGCGCGGCCAGCTCAAGAAGCACATCAGCACCGTTATCAACTTCAACATCAGCGTGCGGTTCATCTCGCAGCAGGTAATGAGCTCCGCTTCTTCTTCTCAGTCGGTACACTCTTGTCAGAGTGGTCGTTCGTGGTCATCATTTTGAATCACGATTCAGAGTGATGTTCCTCGTAATACGGCGCCATTCCTCGCGGACTGCAGCTTTCCGGGTACTTTCGCTAACCGAGCACTTAGTTGCGGCCTTGATCTGGTCCGTCCATCTCATTGGTGATCTACCACATCCGCATCGGAGCTCCGCTGGCGCTATGCAAACTGTCACCGTTTTGTCAGTTGCCAGTGTCCTCTGCGCCGGTAAAGATTTGCGAACTGTCAGTTCTTTCAACTGACTGAACTGTGACAGTTCGCAACTGGCAACTGCCAGTCGTCTCGTTTCAGCAATATGTCGACACAGCTGGAGAACGAGTCCCGACAGATTTCCCTTACGCCCGGTTTTGTTCTTACCTCGTCCAGGTACTTCCTGCGACCTTCACCAGGTCGTCGGTTCACCGAGTGAGAGGCCTACCTACTTTACCTTTTCTGGTCACTTATGATTGACGTAGTGTGGGTCGTCACGCCACTAGGTGGACCGACGACCTAAAGGTGCCTGCAGGACCGGTCGTTGTGTAAACCTTTCGGGAAGGCCTTTGTCCAGCAGTGGACGTTATTCGCCTGCAACGAACGAAGTTTGACAATCACGCAAAGTTGTCAGTTTCCAAGTCCTAATCTAACTCTTTTATCTTAAGGTGATGGTGAGAGACCTGATCTTAATAAATTGCTGTTAAACATAACTGGTTTGATTGACATAATTCAATCAGAGCTTGGTGTAAAAGTAAAAAATAAATCTGCTGTGATTGAACTGCATCTGTAGTTCCGCTCACTTATGCATGAGGCACACTGAAAACCAGCGTCGTGGCCTTCCCCACCGTGGGCCACGGCATCTGCTGAGTGGGGTCCCATTGCGATGGGCATCGCTGTTGCGACAGGGTGGCACTGCTCAGTCCACTTTATCTTCCATTGTTATGTTTTGTCTCTGTCTTTTTTATTATTTACCTTTGTTTTGTCCTTGTGTGATGTTCATAGCAATAAATGTTTCTTTCTTTCACCATCCCCCAGGTGAACATGCCTCTGCTGCGGCTGCTGCACCAGATCAGCAACATGTACCAGAACGTGAAGGACGCGCAGACAGAGCTGCGCTCGCAGACCAAGAGCCAGCACCGCCAGGACAAGCACACCTCCTCCTCGGGTGAGCTGACACCTTATGTGCTTGTGATAAGTGCTATTTTACAATAAACATCATAATAGTCTCATGTGTTGGCATGCTGCTGCTGAGATAATGTGCGGGATCTTGCAATCGTTATGCTCAGTTAATTACTGTGAAAGTTGGATTTTGATTTTTTTTCCATCCCCAGTTTCAGACTTCAGAGAGAACCTAGTCAGCGTAACGTCTCTCGACAAGGAGTCCCAGTACAGCGCCTTGGACCCAAAATGGGAGGTGGTCCAGCCGGCCCTCAGCACGGACTTAGGCCCGGTGACGCCGTCGCTCAGCCACCACAAGCTGAGCGTAGCGCATATAGGAGCGAGCCACGCGCAGGCCCGGCCGCGGCCGCAGTCCTTTGCGCAGAAGTTAAGGTCTACGGGCAAGAGTGTCAAGGGGAAGCTGGGTAAGCAATATCTTAACTTAGGACAGTTGTCTGGATAAACATCAGGCCAGAGCTGGGCCAGGTGCCGCCGTCGCTCAGCCACCACAAGCTGAGCGTAGCAAACGTAGGAGCGAGCCACGCGCAGGCCCGGCCGCGACCGCAGTCCTTTGCGCAGAAGTTAAGGTCTACGGGCAAGAGTGTGAAAGGGAAGCTGGGTAAGCAATACCTTAGTTTAGAACAGCTTGTCTTGTGACACGTTTATCTGGAGGAACATCAGGCTGGACTGGGCCCGGTGACCCGTCGCTCAGTCACCACAAGCTGAGCGTAGCGCATGTAGGAGCGAGCCACGCGCAGGCCCGGCCGCGACCGCAGTCCTTTGCGCAGAAGTTAAGGTCTACGGGCAAGAGTGTCAAGGGGAAGCTGGGTAAGCAATACCTTAGTTTAGAACAGCTTGTCTTGTGACACGTTTGTCTGGATGAACATTAGGCCGGAGGTGGGCCCGGTGACGACGTCGCTCAGCCACCACAAGCTGAGCGTAGCGCACGTAGGAGCGAGCCACGCGCAGGCCCGGCCCCGGCCGCAGTCCTTTGCGCAGAAGTTAAGGTCTACGGGCAAGAGTGTTAAAGGGAAGCTGGGTAAGAAATGTCTCAATCCAGGGTAGCTTGTTTTGTGACACGTTTGTCCCCTTTTAACTAATGAACATCAGGCCCGGTTTCCAACAAGGAACAACGGGGCGGAGAAATAAAGATATTTCTTTATTTGTTTAAAACATTTCTCCACGTCGCTCTACCTTGGTGTAAACCGGGCCTTACGCTGATTTCGATACATACATTGAACTCATCCTACTCTTTTAGAAAAAGTCGATGCTGGTTTCATGACCGTCAGTTTTCTCTGGGACTACTTCACCATCACTGGTTGGGTTCAGTTAGCGGCCACACCTAGGCTGGGTTCCACCATCTTACTTTAACTTTGACAAACGTCAAAAATCTGTAAAACTCTATACAAAAACACAGGTTATCGTCATAGTTAGTCGACGTAGCGTGGGCAGGCCTCCTACTAGGTGGACCGACGATCTGGTGAAGGTCGCGGGAGGTACCTGGATGCAAGCGGCGCAGGACCGGTCTTTGTGGAAATCCTTGGGGGAGGCCTTTGTCCAGCAGTGGACGTCTTTCGGCTGAAACGAACGAACGAACGTCATAGTTACGTGGTGCAACTTAGCCTTTGTATGTCCTACTAATCTAGTGATGGGTTGAAGAGTGGGATAAGTTTATTTAACTCACCCACTTAGATACAATAGCCTTAGTATGTCCTACAGAAAATCTAGTGATGGGTTGAGGAGTGGGATAAGTTTTTTTAACTCATCCACTTAGTCACTGTAAAACGTGTTGTGCAGGCTACAGCTCGCTGAACGAAGGCGCGCACACGCCGATGTTCGCGGGCGCCGGCGCGTCGCCCGCACCGCCCACGCCGGCGCCCGACGGCAAGCTGGCGCCGCGCTGCTGGCGCACCGTGTACCTGCTGCTCGACCTCTACGCCAACATGCCCGACGCCGAGACCATCACGCACAGGTCTGGATAATAATAATTTGTTACTTTACCAACATTAGATAGCTTACGCAGAACTGACGGCCGATGGGGCAGCAAGGTTCTGGAGTGGAGGCCGCCACCGCCAAAACGCCACCCGCAAGGTAGACGACTCACCACCACCCATGGTTCTTCCTGCCTCACGGCGTACGAACCGAATCTCGGGAGAGCGCGCGGGTACTTGCTCTGGGCTCTTTTCCCGGGGCGCTTTGCTTGACTCCCTACAAATTTCTCTGATATCCACATCATGTCCACAAGGTGGACGGTGAAAGGTAGGAAGGCGCTGGACACAGGCCGCTAGCAACCGGGCAACATGGAAAACATTGGGGGAGGCTTATGTTCAGCAGTGGACGTCCTATGGCTGAGGTGATGGTGATGATGATGATGAGATAGCTTACCGACGCTTAAACCTTGTATCCACTTGAGCATGCTCAGGTTAATGAGCGGCTCATTTGGCCGAGCCGCTCAAGTGGAGACGCCTGAGCATGCTCGGCTCTCTCCGCTTTTTTGCGTTTGTTATACGCACGGCAGGTCATACTTTATTTTTCTAAATGGTTTTGTATTCTTTCAGATTCTCTGTGTCCCGAGAACTACCCGAGTCGTGCCGAGGCCGCGGAAGGCCGAGCTCCAGGGAACAGAATGCCAGCAACTCGTCTTCGAGCGCGCAGCATCCTTCGCTGGCATTGGTTCTTGTTGGACGCGCCAGGTGCGTATCTGTGATTTAACTCTGCAAAGTGATAATTTTGAATTTTTAAACCATGTATTGACATTGTGTTTCTCTTTTCAGAATCCACCGTACCCGACTGCTGGCTTCGCTATCCGGGCTGAAGCTTGAAGCAGAGATCACGTCGCTGCAGGCGTCGCTGTCGGCGTCGCGCTCGCGCCAGTGGTCGCTCACCGGCAACCTCGGCCGCACCACCATCGTGCTGCTGGAGGGCCGCGCGCCCAACCACCAGTGAGTCTGACGTCACACTCGCCCGCGCCAGTGGTCGCTCACCGGCAACCTCGGCCGCACCACCATCGTGCTGCTGGAGGGCCGCGCGCCCAACCACCAGTGAGTCTGACGTCACACTCGCCCGCTTTACAAAATTATATCATCTGTAGTTGCGAAAATTTTGCGACAACACACGAGATGTAATCTTCATGAAAATTTTCTACACGGTAGTGTCTGAGGGAGGATTATTTTGTGCTCGTGTATACCCTATTTTTATCTAGCAATTAGCATCGGTTATGTAAGAATTCGTAGCTACAGATTTACAAAATTATGTCATCTGTAGTTGCGAAAATTTTCATGAAGAAAACATCTCGTGTGTTGTCTTTTCTATGTCATCCACACTGCACTGTTTCTGTTGGCAAGATTAGTATGAAAGGACGATATCACGATAGTTATTTGAAACCATACCTATACATAAATATTCCTATCCTAATCTTGCTTAACTGTGTAAGTATATTAAATTAAGATATCAAAACGTTCAAAATGTGTTGCTGTACACGCTGTACACGAGCCGGTGTTCTCTTTTAAGATATTTGTAAGTGATAAATTAATGTGATTACTTTCTTACTTTTACCTCGACGACTGTCGGTAATTATCTATACTAATATTATAAAGCTGAAGTTGTGGAACATGACGCTCAACCACCATAAGGAAACTATGGTGTTAGTGCATCTAATTTACACTTTTTTTTTTTTTTGAAGGGACGCGCGCTGGTAGCTTGAGGAGCTTTTCCAACTTCACCGGGCAGNCCACCAGTGAGTCTGACGTCACACTCGCCCACTGGCTGAGCTGGATGCGGAGATCACGTCGCTGCATGTCGCTGTAAACGCGTGGGGCTGCGCTTTCTATGCGTAGTTGCCGCGTTCAATGCATCTCGTTCGAATTTCAGATGTCATTGAGAATTCGAACGCTGGCGCAGTTCGACGAATCCATGCAGTTGCTGCCTTAGATCGGCATGATCGAATTCTAAACGTAACCACGAAGGGTGACATTTTGAATTTCCATTTATTTATTTTTTCTTATTCGTTTCGCTCTTGGCAGAGCGGTCGTCGTCACATTGAGGCGTTATTCACGTCGGTTTTAGAGGCGGATACAGCTCTCCGCACTAGCATATAATTTACTAGGCTTTATGTAATACAACTTTGTATTTTTCGCACAGGACCGTAGTCCGTGTGAACGTGGGCAAGTCCCAGGCGCTATACTCGTGGGAGGCGGGGCGGCCGGGCGCGGCGGCGCTGGCGTCGATCGGCGGTGTTCGTGTAGACTTGCCGCAGCATCCCGTGGCGCTGCACGGCGTCATGACGCGCTCCAGCCGCCAGCTGTCCTCGACTCTACAGGTACGTGCTATATTCAAGTGCTGTAGACGACCAAATACTGTTTAGCACAGGACCGTAGTCCGCGTGAACGTGGGCAAGTCCCAGGCGCATTACTCGTGGGAGGCGGGGCGGCCTGGCGCGGCGGCGCTGGCGTCGATCGGCGGTGTTCGTGTGGACTTGCCGCAGCATCCAGTGGCGCTGCACGGCGTCATGACGCGCTCCAGCCGCCAGCTGTCCTCGACTCTACAGGTACGTGCTGCATTCAGGCGTTGTAAAAGTTCTTCTTTTTTGATGTTGGCAATACACGTCGAGGTCGACTTGATTTGTGCCATTTTCAAGTTTTATCAGAGACCAGTTACAAAATGGGACCTCCCACCCTTTGAGTCTCAGTAAAGTTGCGGTGTTTTACTGAGACTTCATATGGACTACTTGAGAGAACCCGAAGAATCACGCTGTACTGTTTTGTTTCATTTGCCCACACTCATGCACGTTCACGAATACATAATGGTCAATGACCCACCATTATTACTTATTAATAGTCGTCCAAACACGAATTTTAGAAAATAAAACAAAACCGCTTACATAACGCTTCATATTCCCGAAAGTACTTGTAAAAGTTGTTCACGTGACATGCGTGTGAATCACTATTATATCGCCGATGCCGATGATTGGTGAAAAAACCTTTACTACAATACGATCAAATTAAATGCGCACCTGGCGTGATGTCACATCGCTCCGGTATGGACGGGATGAATTCGGGGAGGTGTGCGAGAGAGTCGCATTTCAAATATGCGCATTTATCTTAATTGGATTTACAGTTGCTTTTTTTTTATTCAAAGATTATTTCTTATTTACAGAGATATAATGTGGTACAGTAAATGTGGTCTTAAGTTAAAAAGAGGTGCAGCTTATCAGCGAAGTTGGCATGTGAATTTTTTTAGTTTTAGATTTTCACATTTAGGTATGATAACACAGTCAATTGAAATACTTTTTAGGATTCGTGTAATGGTTTTAGAATACAGTAATGTGACGTCATGATTTTGTGTCATACATTTGTAGTCAAAAACGAATTTACTGCTACACACTTTGAAATACTGAAATGCTTTGCTTTGCACTTAAAATTTCGTTCGTTTCGGCCGAAAGACGTCCACTGCTGGACAAAGGCGTCCCCCAAGGATTTCCACAAAGACCGGTCCTGCGCCGCTCGCATCCAGCCACCTCCCGCGACCTTCACCAGATCGTCGGTCCACTTAGTGGGAGGCCTGCCCACGCTACGTCTTCCAGCTCGTGGTCGCCACTCAAGAACTTTCCTGCCCCAGCGGCCATCAGCTCTCCGAGCTATGTGCCCCGCCCACTGCCACTTGATTTTAGCGATTCTACGGGTTACGTCAGTCACTCTGGTTCTCCTACGGATCTCATTTCTGATTCGATCACGCAGGGAAACTCCGAGCATAGCACAGTTTAAAGTAGCATAAAGTAGTAAGCATAGTTTATAATTAACTTTTTTAAAAAATAAAACCGACTTCAAATGCGTGAACACAAAAAAAAACTAAAAATTAAAAATATTGCGTATAAAAAAGTTCATCCCCAATTTTCCACCCTTGGGGGTTGTTTTTTCTATTATTAAATTTAAATGGGACCACCCTTGAGGTATTACCTATACGCCGAAAAAAGATTTGTTCAAATCGGTTCATAATTGGCGGAGTTATCGCGTAACAAACATAGAAAAAAAAAAAAAAACATACGGGTCGAATTGAGAACCTCCTCCTTTTTTGAAGTCGGTTGAAAATTAATTTGAATCTAACCTCCATTTTCGTATCCAACCAGGAACTCGGCGTGACCCGCACGTCGTCCCGCCTGTCGCGCGGCAGCGAGGCGGCGCCGGCGGCGGGTCCGGCGGGCGGTGGCGAGGACGAGGAGGCGCCGCGCGTGCCGCCGCCGCGACCGCCGCCGCCGCGCACCGCTGCCGACCCGCTGCTGCATCCGCTGCATCTGCAGTTCTCCATCGTGCTGCAGGTACGCTCGAAAATTCAAACAAGCTGAGCCATCGTGTGATAACAGAGCTATACAGGGTGGAAACGATAAGTGATCTCACTCGATTATTTCTAAACTATACAAGATAACAAAAAACTAGTTACTGATCCTGAAAGTGCTTCATGGTGCAAGCTGGAAACATTGAATTTTCGGATAGATCCCGTTTATTCTGTAACCTGTTATTTATTGGTACCGTTTGAAAGAGCTCGTGAAGCACTTCCAGAGTAACCAGTTTTTCGATATCTTGTATACTTTAAAAATAATCGAGTGAGATCACTTATCGTTTCCACCCTGTAGATGTTGTACACAACTAATTCTGGTTTTAGTATAGCGCTGACGCATGCTGACCATCGGTACTGACAGCCAGAATGTATGAAGCGTCGGCGCCGAGCGATCAGCGTCACTCCTTTTCCGAACGTTTCCTTCAATTACATACATATTATTGATCTATCAGCGCCGACGATCAGCGAGCGGTCAGTGCCTGAGGTTTGGAAGCGGCACGAAAGGATGGTTTTTGTTACGATTTATGTCAGCGAGATTTCATATTTGTATCTGTAACGTCATAATATGTCAAAATCACCCCGTCCCGTGCCGCTCCCATACCTCAGACACTGTCTCAGTTAAGCGTCTCTAGATCTATAGCTATGAATAAGCCTAGCGTTTTATTTGAAATATATTTTGTTGCAACAAAGCCTGCTTTTTATCTCTGCTCACAATAGACATCGAAATCAAACTAACCAAGGTTTAAAACGATGCATCTGAAATTGTATATTTTGTATTAAATTTTCTTGTGTCGTTTTCAGAGCCTCAGCATAACGGCGGCATTACTACCGTCCTTACAAGCGCAGTACAAGATGGAGCACGTGCACAGCTCGGGAGTGACGGGCACCAAGGCGCACTTCACCGTCGACCTGCCGCAGCACTCGCTCAGCTTCGTCACCAAGCTGCAGGTCAGAGCATAGTTGATCATAACAGCGGCGCTGCTGCCGTCCCTACAAGCGCAGTACAAGATGGAGCACGTGCACAGCTCAGGAGTGACGGGCACCAAGGCGCACTTCACCGTCGACCTGCCGCAGCACTCGCTCAGCTTCGTCACCAAGCTGCAGGTCAGAGCATAGTTGATACATTACGGCGGCGCTGCTGCCGTCCCTGCAGGCTCAGTACTAGATGGAGCACGTGCACAGCTCAGGAGTCACGGGCACCAAGGCGCACTTCACCGTCGACCTGCCGCAGCACTCGCTCAGCTTCGTCACCAAGCTGCAGGTCAGAGCATAGTTGATACATAACGGCGGCGCTGCTGCCGTCCCTACAAGCGCAGTACAAGATGGAGCACGTGCACAGCTCAGGAGTCACGGGCACCAAGGCGCACTTCACCGTCGACCTGCCGCAGCACTCGCTCAGCTTCGTCACCAAGCTGCAGGTCAGAGCATAATTGATACATAACCGCGGCGCTGCTGCCGTCCCTACAAGCGCAGTACAAGATGGAGCACGTGCACAGCTCGGGAGTGACGGGCACCAAGGCGCACTTCACCGTCGACCTGCCGCAGCATTTTTATTTATATAGATATTATTAATAAAAATGCTGCGGCATTACAATTCATTTTTATTTATATAGATATTATTATATTTGGTTCCGTAACAAGTTTACAACAAAAAAAAAATGAATTCATACATGATGTTTATCTAGATGACCGAGGCCAAGCTCCCAGCGGCCGCATCGGTGGCGCTCCCCGGCGTTCAAGTGCGGGCTCGCGTGGCTGAACACGCCGGAGCTTCTACCACGGGCCCCGCGGGCCCTGCTGCCGCCCCGGCGGGCCCCAGTACTGGCACCGCGGGCCCCGGCGACGCGGAAGGCGTGGTGTTACGAGCCGGCCGCTACTTGGCCGCGACAGCTGACATCGGCCTATTTGAGCATACGTTATCAACCGACCTGCTCAACCATCTCGTCTTTGTGCAGAAAGTTTTCATGAAGGTTAGTTTCTTTTGCCATATAAATATACGAGCTAAAATTGTCTAGCTCTTATTGGAATGGAGTATTAATCCATTGGAATTGTTACAGGAAGTAAATGAAGTCGTCCAAAAAGTATACGGAGGTGAGAAACCGGTCCCGCTATGGAACGAGGAGGAGGCGTCTACCTCTGCCCTCAGCCGGATTTTATTCTCACTTATCATTAGGATAAAGGTTAGTTATTCGAACTATTTATTTACTAACAAATGTAAATGTACTCATGAACGTCATGTGATATGATCCCTTTTTTCAAGCGCATCCAACTAACCGCCACAACACCAAGTAACAGCGCCGTGCGGCTAGAAACGGGCGCAGTGGAGTTCGAGTTGTCCAATCGGGTACAAAATGTACCCCAGCCCGCTGAACCCCATGGATTACGATTGTTTGCGAGGGCACAGGTACGTAACTGTACTTTTTTGACGTAAACATTCATAAGTTTCTGGGGGCACGGCAGTGCCCCCACCAAGTCGAGCTAAAAAGCGGCACGGTACCATCCTTTTCTCGAAGCAATTCAGGCCATTTTCGACCGCCTGTAACTTCGTTGTGGATAAAACTAGAAGGCTGAATTTTCATTAGCTATGCAGGCATTGTAAAGACACGGTATATTTAAAATTTCATTCAATTTGAACCAGTAGTTTAAGAATTATAACCGGTCAAAGTTACTTAATTTTGTCACTCACTGACTCCCATCAAAAACAATACTTGTCAAAAAAACCAAGTCTCGCAACTCAGTTGTTCTACGGTAAAAAGTTGTGAGATCCATGTAATACCAAGTTCAGGCCAGGAAATCTTTAACGTTTTACATAAATATATTGACTTGGCCATCGCATGAAAACACGTGTAAATTAAATTATTTAGTGCGATGGCCAAGTCAATAATTTATGTAAAACGTTAAAGATTTCCTGGCCTGGACTTGGTATTACATGGATCTCACAACTTTTTACCGTAGAACAACTGAGTTGCGAGACTTGGTTTTTTTGACAAGTATTGTTTTTGATGGGATTATATTGTACAGCTATGTTTATTATGTAAATTACTGAATTATATTGTGAGCATTTTCCAATTTGTTTTAGGTGGACGTCAATCTCAGTCTTGGCCAATTGATTCGCAATGCTATGTTTGATGAGGCGGAACCGGAGTTTCAACAATACGCCTTCTTCAACACCAGAATTGGTAAGTACAAAATCAAATTGCTTATAACATGCTATTGATATATTTTTGTTCCTCCAAATACTATCTAGTGGTTTTATGTCAATCAAGTAGGATTTTAATTATTTCACACTGATATAATTGCGTTACTTTTTCTAGCCATGCGTAATGCCTTCCAAGACGAGATGGTAGCCGGAGAAGACAAGGAAGTGGTTTTGATAAACCTGAAGCGGCCGCTGATATACATCCAGCCCGTGGCCATCGACAAGGCCATTCTGGTGTGGCTCAACTACAAGAACGCTTATGAATACTGGAACGAAAAGAGATTAAACTTGAACAAGGAAGTACTAACCGCAACGCAGCAGGTCTTTGAGAAGGTATGTAACCTTCAATTGCTTGTAACAAACTTTAATAGTGCTAAAAGATGATAGTAAAATTTGATTGTTTCATTTGACAGGTCCAATTGACATCTCAAATAACGACGCCGCACCTCAGCACGCTGTTCCTGCAGTTGAACGTCGATGACATTGGCATCTGCTTACCTTTGAACCAGCCGCCAATGGTAAGAAATTTTTATTTTGTATTTTGCGCAACAAAAACTTGAATGTTATTTCATTGTTCATCTTCATCACAAAATATAAATAATATAAATATTCCTGTATCATGATAAAAATATCTATTTTTATTTGACACTTTTATTTATTTAATGAGCAACATAATAAGCTTACAGAAAACCCAAAGCGCTTACATGTTTAGTCACCACATCGATCTATATGATTAGATTTATAGAATTCAGCTAAGCGGTCAGTACAGTGCTCTACTGAGTATGTTACTGCAGTCTGCAGTAGTGAAGCAGTGACATGTGATTAACAGACCTGTCACGGTCAGTACGTACTACATGTCTGAGGCATATGTAAAAGTCTTGTTGAATTTTGATGTAACATAAACGCACCCCTTTGCACCGTTTTACTACCGCAGGATCCATTGAACCTGTAGTACTTTTGGACTAAAGCCCGGTCTGTGAGCACGTAGAATTTTGCCCAATGACCCCAAGCTACCCAGCCTTATCGCTCGCGCGTAATTATATTGCTGTCGCGACTGTGCGACGGGCGGCCGCAGTGAGTGTGCGAGCGCGACAGCAACATAATTACGCGAGTGCGATAAGGATGGGTAGCTTGGGGTCATTGGACAAAATTCTACGTGCTCACAAACCAGGCTATAGTGATTCTCACGAGTCCTGGTTTGATACTTCAGGCGTCGTGGGGCGGCGGCGGTCGCGGCTACGAGGCGGAAGGCCGCGGCGCGGTGGTGGTGACACTAGAAAGCACCAGCGTGGGCGCCGTCAGCTCAGGAGCGCTGGTCAGCAAGGGCCGCTTCGTGGGGCTGTGCCTGCGCTTCGCCGACGACTTCGAGGCCTCGCTCGACGACTGGAAGCCCGACCCCGACGAGGCGTGCATCAACGTGTGCAGCGTCTCTGAGGGCACATACGAGGTGTGCAGCCGGACAGCTGCTGCCAAAAGGAATGGTCAGTCTACATTAAGATCATTTTATTTACAGAACATGTATCAGATTTAACCTGTTATTCAGTGTGACAAGAAATCGAGAGTTAGTTTACATGAACCGCTTTGTTTGTGATTCACGGACGGACGATTAACCCAGACAAGGCTAACGTGAACGCAAGCAATGTGTTGGACTCGTATGAAGAATGGAACTGGACCTCTGTCTATCTCTATTGCTTATAATAAAAATCTTAATATCTTCTATTCTACCACGGAATATCTCCTGCTGAACACAAATCTCACCGATTATTTTTGAGATAAGACAGTCAAAAGCGAACTGTAACTTCCTGCAACTTTTACACACTTAAAAAAAAATGCACACATTTTGTTTACAGAAAATGCGAAATGGTTCCTGAACGTTTCGTGGCAAATGGAGGGAGTGGACATACACTTGGACGTGAACGTCGGCAAGCAACTGTCGGCGCTCGGCCACACGCTCACCATGCTTACAGGTCTGACGTCACACACTTGATATTAAAACAATTTTTAAAAGTTTTGTCAAATGTAATGTAAATGAAACTTGGATTTTTAGGTTTCGAAGAAGAAGACCCCTTGAAAATGGACTACGAAAGCGATTTCGATGATGAAGCGGACAACAGTAAAGATTCACAAGTATGTAACCGACTCTTATCTTTGAAAAAGGACATACTTGCTAGTGTTCCCGATGACTTATTTGTTGAATTTTATAGGAAAGCATAGTCCTCCGTCGCAAGTACACGGACCACCTGCCAGCGTTTGTGTTCGACACTAGCCTCGACGCCAAAAAGCGCTCCAAACTCATCGAGAAGGAGATGAACGAGCAAGCCAAGATCATCAACGACCTGCGGACGCTGGGCGCCTCCCACTCTACCATAGAGTACGAAATGAAGAGGCTGCATGATTTGGAGGCGCTGGTGTTCAAAGATTTCAGGCGGTAAGTGTTTCAAAGTAACTTTGGCTTTAATCTGTTTGTGTTACTTTTAAAGATTTTTAGTTCAGTATAAGCTAGTCGACCACGATTAAGACCTATGACGGTGTAAAAGTAAAAGTGCTTTTTTAAAAGCCTATTTGCAAAAATAAATGAGTTTTATGAGTTTTTAGGTTCATAAAGCCTGATTGGTTATTTTATCTATCCTGTACAGGATCGTACGATCAAAAATGAAACATACGAAACATTATGTAGCCTTCTAACGTTGTTTTTATTATAGCACTTGCCATATGTTTGTCTCGAAGCGCTGGTAGGGCCCAAAAGATAAGGAGACATGTAAAGTGCCTCATAAGGGATACCTTTTCTTTTTTATTATTTACTATATTTTGACGTTCATAAGTGCCACTTGTGGTCTAAACTGAATAAATATTTTTGATTTAGATTTTTTTAATTTTGATTAATAAAGTATGTGGTAATTCATAAATGTTACTTTTGAAAGACTTGCAGTACTTCTGTATGAGTTTTTCTTGGGGGTTTGTTTTATTGAAATCGATGTATCGTTTTTGCAATTAAGATTAAAAAGCTTAGCACTCTAGTTCGTGTCAGTTCCCAGGCTGAGTAAGTATTATGTGTTTGCAGAGATATGATCCAGAAGCTGCGTCGTCAAAGCGTGCGCGCGTCGTCGATCACGAAGGGGAAGCTGGGGTTAGGTGGGCGCGTGCGCACGCTGCCGCCGCCCGAAGCGCCTGACTCGCCCCGCTCGCCTCTCTCGCCTCTCTCACCACGACGCGCTGAGCCGCGGGACTCCCCCGACCGAAGACATTTTGACAAGTGAGTAAATACCAATAAAATCTAATATTTTATTATGTATCTTTAAAAATGTTAGCCTAGCCACATAATAGTTCAGAAACGGTATAATAGGTGTCTTGGAGCAACTGCAGTAATTCTGATTATTAGCAGACTTATTTATGTACAATGTTTGTGAGCTCGAGCGCCGACTGCAACTTTGTCAGAAATTAAAAAAACGTGTTTTCGGCCTCTTACAGATTTTGACTATTTTAACCTTAAAAGGATTAGTTTTTGACAGTACCTACCGGACATTTTTAAAATAGACAAAATTAACAATAATCTAGCCTCCTTACACACAATAGTTTCCGAGATAAAGTCTTTCAAAATTGACTATAATGTCATGCCGTGCATCAATGTATTTTGTTTATGACAGTGGCCTGGAGCCTAGCCTCGGGCTTCTGGGTTGTGCGGGTGACTCGGGCGAGACACTGCTACTCGCTGACGACGACACGCGCCTCGCCGACATCATCGAAGGCGGCAGCTGGAGCTCCATGGAGAGCGAGCCGCTCAACGGTACTCTTGAATCTATTTTGTAGAATTTAGGAAAATATCTTATCCTAAAGTATCTTCACTTTAAAGACCGGGTCTATGGGCAACGGTAATCACTAATCATCAGGTGATACGTCTGCTCGTTTGCCTCCTGTCACATAAAAAAAATGTCAACAAAGCGGTATTATTATTATGGTCTAAATCGACTCATTCATTTCGATTTATTATCCAGAATTTTTGTGTATTGTTTGCTCATCATCATCGTGATCATCATTTCGTTTTCACTGCGAGAAACTACCCAGACGTAATCGAGAGTTATTGTCAGAAAATGGTACAACTCACCTCGTTAAAATGCGCCTTTTTCTCCCGCTTACCACTTCTCCCCGTGTTCGCACCGACCGTACCGAAGCGTCGATGTGATGTCACGACCTCTAGCCACGCGGTTAACTAGTGATGCACTACCTCTGGGTTTCCGCTTGANACGGTGATATGTGATTAACAGACCTGTCACGGTCAGTACGTACTACATGTCTGAGGCATATCTAAAAGTCTTGTTGAATTTAGATGTAACATAAACGCACCCCTTTGCACCGTTTTACTACCGCAGGATCCATTGAACCTGTATAGTCCGCTCGACGAGCACTTAGAATAATTTCGTTCAATGACCCCAAGCTACCCAGCCTTATCGCTCGCGCGTAATTATTGCTGTCGCGACTGTGCGACGGGCGGCTGCAGTGAGTGTGCGAGCGCGACAGCAACATAATCACGCGCGAGCGATAAGTATGGGTAGCTGGGGGTCATTGGACAAAATTCTACGTGCTCACAGACCAGACTATAGTGATTCTCACGGGCCCTGGTTTGATACTGCAGGCGTCGTGGGGCGGCGGCGGGCGCGGCTACGAGGCGGAAGGCCGCGGCGCGGTGGTGGTGACGCTAGAAAGCACCAGCGTGGGCGCCGTCAGCTCAGGAGCGCTGGTCAGCAAGGGCCGCTTCGTGGGGCTGTGCCTGCGCTTCGCCGACGACTTCGAGGCCTCGCTCGACGACTGGAAGCCCGACCCCGACGAGGCGTGCATCAACGTGTGCAGCGTCTCCGAGGGCACATACGAGGTCTGCAGCCGGACTGCTGCCGCCAAGAGGAACGGTGAGGCTGATGACGACATTAAAATATTATCTTACAGATTCTTATTTTTTATTTTATTTTATTAGGGACAACAAACGGTTTTACAAAAAGTCTTACAGATATATCTTAAATAAATGCACAACCACCGTTATCCACGAGAATAACAAATAGAACAGCTACTAAGGTCGCACACGTTTGAAGAAATTATTTAATTTTAAGTTTATGACAATAAATTCCATGCAAATTTTAAGTTTAATATTATAATAACGTGTCTCACCGGCGTGGCAAGGAATCGATAGACACATTGTCAATGGACACAGCTTACGGAATTTATTTTAAATTCATAGACAACTAATCCAGACGAGACGGAGTGCAGTTTTTTGGACTCGAATGAAGAATGGAGCAAGACAGAGGCAATGAAAATAGGCTTCGTCTCTCAATGATTTTTAGATAGATCAATTGGACTTGGAAGGCCTATATCTGGATAAAGCCTTTAAAGGATTCCTTAAAACTTTTACAACAATTTGTTTGTGTGAAACACTCTACTTATTTAAAATGGATTTTGCTCACAGAAAATGCGAAATGGTTCTTGAACGTTTCGTGGCAAATGGAGGGAGTGGACATTCACTTGGACGTGAACGTCGGCAAGCAACTGTCGGCGCTCGGCCACACGCTCACCATGCTCACAGGTCTGACGTCACACACTTATACTAAAACAATTTTTAAAAGATTTGTCAAGTGTCAATGTAAAATGAAACTTGGATTTTTAGGTTTCGAAGAAGAAGACCCCTTGAAAATGGACTACGAAAGCGATTTCGATGATGAAGCGGACAACAGTAAAGATTCACAAGTATGTAACCGACTCTTATCTTTGAAAATGGACATACTTGCTAGTGTTCCCGATGACTTATTTGTTGAATTTTATAGGAAAGCATAGTCCTCCGTCGCAAGTACACGGACCACCTGCCAGCGTTTGTGTTCGACACTAGCCTCGACGCCAAAAAGCGCTCCAAACTCATCGAGAAGGAGATGAACGAGCAAGCCAAGATCATCAACGACCTGCGGACGCTGGGCGCCTCCCACTCCACCATAGAGTACGAGATGAAGAGGCTGCATGATTTGGAGGCGCTGGTGTTCAAGGACTTCAGGAGGTAATAATCTGTGAAGAACTTTTGTGCTTACTGTGGTTATGTATTTCGAAGTTATTTGTGTCAAGTGTGTTTTAGTTGATCAAGACGTATATCGGTTTATGGAGTTTGATTTATTATTTTACTAGCTTTCCGCCCGCGGCTTCGCCCGCGTGGAATTTTGTCTGTCACAGAAAAACAATATCGCGCGCGTATTTGCTCACCGTTTAGACCTACCCTGGACTACGACAAACATTTTAAAACCAAAATCAGCTCAATCGGCCCAGCCGTTCTCGAGTTTTAATCAGACTAACGAACATCAATTCATTTTTATTTATATAGATATGCGACTTTGGAAACTATTCCTCTGTTTCATCTTTGACCGTATGTATAGTCAAAGTTGAAACAGAAGAATAGTTTCCAAAGTTGCATTGATAAATAAAGAATCTTGGACTTCATAAATGATGCTTTGGAAAGATATGTATTCCTCTTTTATCACTTTTATTTGGGTTAATAATCTCCATCGAAATCGATGTTTCGTTTTTTATTAAGATTAAAAAGCTCAGCACTTTAGTTCGTCTCAGTTCTCAGACTGTTTAAATAAGTATTGTGTACCTCCAGGGATATGATCCAAAAGCTGCGTCGTCAAAGCGTGCGCGCGTCATCGATCACGAAGGGGAAGCTGGGGTTAGGTGGGCGCGTGCGCACGCTGCCGCCGCCTGAAGCGCCTGACTCGCCCCGCTCGCCCCTCTCACCGCTCTCACCGCGCCGCGCTGAGCCGCGGGACTCGCCTGACCGACGACATTTTGACAAGTGAGTGACAACTAATAAATCAGTTCTTTTTTTTTTCTCTCTTTATTTAAGGAGCTTTGTCAAGATGACAATGTCGCTCCATTAGATACAAACTTTTATATTTAAGTAATATTTTAGGTACAATGTTTTTGTGTCTTATTGTCTAAAATTGGGAAACTAAAAAGCTAAAAGGTAGTAAATCAGTTCTGTTCTCGTAATAAATGTTGTCCCGACTATATGAAAGTTTTGTAACAAACTAACTTGTAGTCTGAAAGGTAGGGTAACATGCGTTATTTTCGATAGCCCTTATTTTTCCAGACTTTAGGATGTTGGATCATTTTTCATTTTTTTTTGCCACTAAACTTGTGACCTCGAGCGCCAAACGCAACCTTGTCAAAAATTGCAAAAAACCACGAAATATTCGACCTTTTTCAGATTTTGGACTTTTTGACAGTACCTACTCAGAACTTTTTTAAGTAGATTAAAACTACAGTAAGAGAATTGCCTCTACAGATCCAATAGTTTTCGAGATAAAGCCTTTCAAAATTTCCTACTAATACTAGCGCTTTACAGGTAAAGAAATCATATAGTTCAATGTATTGTATTTATTATAGTGGCTTGGAACCTAGCCTTGGACTTCTGGGCTGCGCGGGTGACTCGGGCGAGACGCTGCTACTCGCTGACGACGACACTCGCCTGGCTGACATCATCGAAGGCGGCAGCTGGAGCTCCATGGAGAGCGAGCCGCTCAACGGTACTCTTGAATACTTTTTTGTAGAATCAACAAAGCATCTAGGTCTAAATTGATTAATTCGTTCAGATTTATTACCCAGAATTTTTGTGTAAAATTTGTTTGCTCATCATCATCGTGATCATCATTTCATCTCCACTACGGGAAACTACACAAACATAATCGACAGTTACGTTTTAACCACACCAAGGCGTGCAAATCGCCATCGACGGTGCGATCACGGTGCGATCAAAGGCCAATGACAGGTCGCGTTAATTGTCATAGGTCGCGTGACCTGTCATTGGCCTTTGCTCTCGCCGGCGATGGCGATCTGCACGCGTTGGTGTGGTTGAAGCTTTATTGTCGGAAAATGTTACGACTATCTGCAAACTCGATCGGGCTAACTACGCATCTCGTTGGAATGCAACTTTTCCTCCCGCTTACCACATCTCCCCGTGTTCGCACCGACCGTACCGAAGCGTCGACGTGTCGTCACGGTTGCCAGGCGCGAGGTTAACTAGTGATGCACTTCCTCTGGGCTTCCGCTTGANATTACCTTGGAATTTTAACTTGCCACGGAAAGATTAATAAAGAATTCGCTGAAAAAGTGATTGATTACCCCAATACCAATGCAGTAGGCTGAGCTCTCTGTAAACAAGACATCATGTGCTCACATAACTGGCTCCAGTTAACACAAAATCTCGATGAAAAACTAAGCATTTTGTTTTAGTAATGGTGCGTCCAGACTGGGCGAATTTGCTCGCGCGGCACGCTGGTCATCCTGCTCACTCTGCTCTTGAGTGAGCAGGATGTTGAGTTTGCCGCGCGAGCAAATTCGCCCAGTCTGGACGCACCATTACACAAACTTAAACGCAGCGGAAGATTTTGACATCCAGATACGGACGTAGATATTCATCACTCACTTTATTTCTTTGTTATTATTACAGCTTGCCATCATCGGAGGGACAGAGTTCAGAGGGCAAACAGAATAAGTCAAAGACAGCTGAACCCAACATTGACTTCGAGTTGGACGTCAAAGTGCATATCAACAGTGGGAAGTGCGTTTTGCACACAAAGGAGCCTTCGCGGGAAGATATGAACATGTATGTAATAAAATCTTCAATTAATTTATTCTTGTTATTCAAATTCAAATTATTTATTTGAAAATAAATAGGGTTTACAAAAAGGTGTTTCAAAGAGATAAATGTTGCTTTCACCTTTTTACATATTTTTTGGCATATAAGAACTTTAATTTCAAGTATCATATTTATTTATTTTATTTATTTTATTTTTCTTTATTCAGAAAACCACAGCTCGTTATAATAATAATACAAACAGGTATTTTTGTTCTTACAGCCAATAATGGATTCTATATATTATTACAATCTCGTAAAAAACAGTCAAAGGGGCAAAAAAAAAAGAAACATATATAATATACAGGGTGTCCCGTAATGTAACGTCAAGCCGGAACTGGGTGTTGATGCAAGTTATGCTGGTTATCAGAAAAATATAAAAAAAAATCTATGTGGCATATTTTCAAAATAATAGGCATTTACAAAAAATAAAAAAATTCTACTCCCGGTGACGGTCTTTTTACTCGTGTTGCCACAAATCTTCACTTTTTCCAAAATTTTTTTTTTGTTATGTAACCCTGAATAATGCTTCTCTAAATTGTTATCAAAATTACAAAACCAGCTGCTCCAACTTGGATGAAAAAAATACATTATTCCCAAAAAAATTTTCAAAATAAAAATTTTGCCTAGTTTAAACTGACTGTACTGAAAAAAAAATGTACTACGCGAGTGTGGCAAGTGACGTCATAATTTGGCGTATTTAGTAAGGATTGGGAAAATCCTTTTGTATGAAAAATCTAAACCGCTTAAGTAGACCTGAAGTGATGCAGTGACCGCGCGCTCTCCGCCCTCTATCTCGAAAACGGTTCACCGTATAAAAAAAGTTTTTAAACAAAATTTGTAGAGAATTTAGTATTCTACAATATTGATGATAAATACAAATAGCAAAAAACCCAGGAAATGAGATATTTCTAAAAAAAAGCGCAAAAAACCGATTTTTGTGACCGTTGACCTTAAAATTTAATAGTTGCTTACACCCTACCATATGTAGGTTTTGAGACAACTTTTAGGGTGTCAATATACACGTATTTACAGACTTACAGCTGGGTATCTCGAATTCCGAAGTGAACTTACTATAATGACTGGACTATAGGATGATCTTTACGCCGTGCAGTTGTAACAGAAAGGTCTAAATAAAATGATGCTGAAATAGCAAAGGTAACTGTAGTGCAAATGCTTTTGGACAACCAAGCAAGATCTTAAAATAAATTAATAAGCGTATGAATAACACCACAACGACAGACGCAGAGGATGATGTTGACATCCAGATACTGATATAAATATTCATTATATCGTCGTCGGTAATGTAAATATTCGACACTCATTTTTCTTTATTTTTATTACAGCTTGCCATCATCGGAGGGACAGAGTTCAGAGGGCAAACAGAATAAGTCAAAGACGGCGGAACCAAATATTGATTTCGAATTGGACGTCAAAGTGCATATCAACAGTGGAAAGTGTGTTTTGCACACAAAGGAGCCTTCGCGGGAAGATATGAACATGTATGTAATAAAATCTTCTATTAATTTATTCTTCTTTTTCAAATTATTTATTTAAAAATAAATAGGGTTTACAAAAAGGTGTTTCAAAGAGATAAATGTTGCTTTCACCTTTTTACATATTTTTTGGCCTATAAGAACTTTAACTTCAAGTATCATGTATAATTATAGCCAGAGTAAACACAAATGAGTAGGTTATCTTCATAGAAACGCACCGAGCGCGATTTGTGTGTGAGCGCGCCAATACGTATGCGGCGCGCACGCACACACTGACAAAATTTAGCGTGGATTAGCGGGGAGTTGCGCCGAATTTGCGAAACCGCGCTCGGTGCGTTTCTATGAAGATAACCTACTCATTTGTATTTACTCTGTTATAGCTCTGTATTTACCGAGTTGATTATTATTAGCAGCGGATCCCGCATGCGCGTGGGCCGCTCGGCGTCCGGCGGGCTGTCGGAACCGGCGGCGGCGGCGGGCGCGACTTCCGGCGGGGCGGCGGGTGGTTCGCCGCCGGGCGCACGCCGGAAAGCGCCGCAGCACGTGCCGCGACACCAGCCCAGCCTTGATCTCACTGTGTTCCGCATGCCTGGGTTGGATCTCAAGGTTAGACAAATTGTTTTTCAGTTGTATAATCGTGGTGTTTCGTTTTCTGAATTGACATTTTGGTACCAAATATGAATCGAAATAATGAATCAATTATTCAACAATGAAAATGTTTCCAGTAGTTAGGTACTAACGGTCAACTCAAAGTGTAAGCGAGATTATTTAAAGTTAATTCCAACTTAAGTCTGGTGGAAGGATGGCTTGGGGTCATTGGACGAAATTTTATGTGCTCGGCGACCGGACTATAACATAAAAATTAACCTGCATCCAACCGCAAATTGATTTCAGGCACCAGTTTTACTTGCTCATTTGTAAATTGTAATACACAGTTGAACTGAAATTCCGACAGTGCTGGGATATGTATGTTATTTATCGTAATTAAACAGGTTCACTACGAATCCAAGACCCTCCCCGAGGAAGCCACGTCGCCCCAAATAAGCGGAGTTCCACGCAAGGTTGCCACTAAGAAGGCGGCACTGTTCGCCTGGATCACGCTGCAGAGCATCCCCGAGGAAACCATCATCAGCCCGCACATCCTGGAGTTCCTGGAGCAGACCCTCGAGCCGATACCCACCAAGTCGTTTTCGACGCCTACCCCCGGTAAGTAACTTTGGATCAAGGCTAACTTCATAAGTGCCAAAATACTGGTCAAAATTGAATAAATATTTTTAATTTAATTTACAAAAGTAGTGAGGTTTTTCTACTCCTAGAGTTTCTGTTATCTATTTATGTATTTATTGGTCTTCACAAAGACTGATTTCTAATCTAAAGTTGTTATTATTTGATTTCGTCGTGCGACAAAATCATCTCATTGGTGAAGTACATTTTTTATATTTTTATTCAACTCGGGGACTAAAAATATGTTCGCATTGCCAGGTGTTGTTCGAAAATTTTAACTCACGGCACGGACGGGTTCGCTCCGCGGTAGTGTATTAATATCGCGGGCCTGTGTATTCTTACTTATGTAGGTTTAATGGCACAAGTACACTATGCGGGAATTTGGCCAAGACGTAATAGTGTGAACACCACCTACCATACACTATCTATCCAACCCACCCGTGCGGCGTCCATATTTCGGTGTGCGGACTAGCGCTCCGATTGGACAATTATTCGCATAGTGCACTTACGCCATAAAATGTCAATGTTTGACGTACCGTCATTTGTTCATTTCTGTGACGGATCTGGGTATTTTCTATGTATGTATTTACAAAAAAAATATGTATGTTTATATCCGTTGTCTAGTACTCATAGTACAAGCTTTGCTTAGTTTGGGGCTAGCGGCGCAGTTCGTTCGTTCGTTCGTTTCAGCCGAAAGACGTCCACTGCTGGACAAAGGCCTCCCCTAAGGATTTCCACAAAGACCGGTCCTGCGCCGCTTGCATCCAGGTACTTCCCGCGACTTTCACCAGATCGTCGGTCCACCTAGTGGGAGGCCTGCCCACGCTACGTCTTCCAGCTCGTGGTCGCCACTCAAGATCTTTCCTGCCCCAGCGGCCATCAGCTCTTCGAGCTATGTGCCCCGCCCACTGCCACTTGATTTTAGCGATTCTGCGGGCTATGTCAGTCACTCTGGTTCTCCTACGGATCTCCTCATTTCTGATTCGATCACGCAGCGGTGCAGTGTAAAATGTAAAAGGATATTTATTTTATTTATTTGTTTTCGCCCCGCAGAAGCGGAGAGCGGGTCGCGCTCGCGGTCGGCGGAGGGCGCGTCGTACGGGCAGTACGTGTACGCGTCGTTCCCGGTCGACGTCATCGTGCACTTCCACATGCAGCCGTCCACCTTCCGCTTCTCCTGCCTGCCCGCGTCGCGCGTCGAGTGCCTGCTGCAGCTGCCCAGCCTGCAGATCGTGTTCAGCTCCAAGCGAGCCGGCGACGAGTCAGTATACACTCAGAATAATTATAAGTACTACGTACAGAAGGTTTACTTCGCGAAGGTATTTAAAATAATGTATGCTCAATGTCATTAACAATAAGGTGTAATTTAGCTTGTCTCAAGAGTCGAGCACCATTTTGTTGACAAACGTCAGTGATCGGTACTGCGCCGAAGCCATAGGGCTGACTTCGGTAAAATGATGTGACATGAGGTGCCAAACTGCAGAAAATGGCGAAGGAAATACATGATTGAGCATGAATTATCATGAATAATATTAACCACTTATTTACCTCTCAGTGTCTTTAGGCAACTTAAAAAAGCACATTCTGTGTTTTTATTATTATTTAGGCAGTTAAATACTGCACAGTATTTAGTACACCATTTTCTTTATTTTTTCCATCATACACAAGAATACGCGTGCGTGAGTCAATGCTCGCTCGTATGTGAGGCCTTGTCGAATAGTAATCCTGTGAGGTGCCATCGTACTTGTTTTGTTTTCTATGTAAACTCGCGGAGATGAACAGGCCTGGTATACACTCCTACAGGATATACGATTACTGTTATTATGCCTGTTTCAGACTGCAATAATCGCGCGGTTGCTGGGTAGTTCTTATGCATTTGCATCAAACCACATTCACGGTTACCGCCTCAGTGCCTCGCCTATGAGAACTGCTCGGAAAGTGTGCGGTTATCGCGCTTGTNTAAAATAAAATAAAGATATTGGTTGAATACAAGGCAGTGAGTGAGGCATTTCTACTTCTCGAGTTTACAAAGACTGATTTCTAATCTAAATTGTTATTATTTGATTTCGTCGTGTGACAAAATCAGGTCATTGGTGAAGTACATTTTTTTTGTTTTTTTATCAACTCAGTGACTGAAAATATTTTATGTTCGGTGTTGTTTGAAAATAGTAACTCACGGCACGGACGGGTTCGCTCCGCGGTAGTGTATAAATATCGGGGCCGGTTTAATGGCACAAGTACACTATGCGGTAAATAGGCCAACACGTAATAGTGTGAACACCATCTATCCAACCCACCCGTGCGGCGTCCATATTTCGGTGTGCGGACTAGCACTTCGATTGGACAATTTTTCGCATAGTGTACTTACGCCATAAAATGACAATGTTTGACGTGCCGTCATTTGTTCATTTCTGTGACGGGTCTGGGTGTTTTCTATGTATGTATTTACAAAAAAATTATGTATGTTTAGTACTATGTAGTATTATGTACCCATAGTACAAGCTTTGCTTAGTTTGGGGCTACCGGCGCAGTGTAAAATGTCCAAGGATATTTATTTATTTCTTTTCGCCCCGCAGAAGCGGAGAGCGGGTCGCGCTCGCGGTCGGCGGAGGGCGCGTCGTACGGGCAGTACGTGTACGCGTCGTTCCCCGTGGACGTCATCGTGCACTTCCACATGCAGCCGTCCACCTTCCGCTTCTCCTGCCTGCCCGCGTCGCGCGTCGAGTGCCTGCTGCAGCTGCCCAGCCTGCAGATCGTGTTCAGCTCCAAGCGCGCCGGCGACGAGTCAGTATACACTCCTACAGGATACACGGTTACTGTTATTATGCCTGGTTCCGACTCTGCAATAATCGCGCGGTTGCTGAGTAAAGTCTGGTCGCGGAGCACGTAGAATTTTGTCCAATGACCCCAAGCTACCCATCCTTATCGCTCGCGTGTAATTATATTGCTGTCGCGACTGTGCGACGGGCGGCAGCAATGAATGTGCGAGCGCAACAGCAATATTAATAGCTTGGGGTCATTGGACAAAATTCTACGTGCTCAGGGACCAGATTATAGTTCTTATGCATTTGCATCAAACCACATTCACGGTTACCGCCTCAGTGCCTCGCCTATGAGAACTGCTCGGAAAGTGTGCGGTTTCCGCGCTTGTCTGAACAATCCTCTATGCTTATCACTACTGAAATTCCCCCCTCATTTGCTAGGTCCACACTGGACAATCCTAAGCGCTCCGATTATGTGAGTCACTTAAATGCACAAGCGTAAATGGACATGTAATTTGACACAGCTATCAACCCCCGTGGCCATACTTGGGTCACTGTCTCGTATCTTCAAACGTTTCTCGTCACGTGTCCTTCATTCTGTCATTTGTCATTGGTAGTAGGTAGTAGAGTACGTCCATTTCCACTTCAATTTGCAAACAGTTCTCAAACTAGCACTAACAAAAACCGTCTTTGCAGGGAAATGTCAGAACCAGCTGTCGCAATGGGCGGTCTATCCGTGACCGGCTGCTTGGCCGACTTCTCCGTGTACGTGTTCCACCCGTACGGCGGCAAGAAGTCCAGCCTGAAGGAGGCGCAGTGGTCGCCGCTGTCCGACTCAGAACGAAAAGACTCGCTCAGTATCAATGTGGAGTTTGTCAAGTTCCACCTGTCGCGGTCGAGGAAGCTAGACTTTCACTCCGATCAGGACCAGTCGAAGGCTACTGTGAGGTTTTCGAGTAAGTGCATTTCAATTGTAGTCAGCGTCCAATAGTTCGTGGCAGTTTTGACACCCAAAGTAGGAGGCGCAGTGGTCGCCGCTGTCCGACTCCGAGCGTAAAGACTCGCTCAGTATGTGTGTGTGTGTGTTTGGCCCACCCACTGATCAGGCATCTTTTAGCACTTTAATGGCTTGTAACCTAAATTTTACCTTGCTATAGGTAAATAGGTCAATCTCGCTGAAGTACTGGTTATACACTCGCGGCAAACGTGATAGCGGTGCATTGCTCGCGTATCTCGTCTTGCAGTGCGGTACATTGAAAAGAGGACGTGGTTGGCGGCGCGATCAGGGGGCCGGAACGCAGTACGATACTCCTTCCACAACTTTTTTAGTAGAAAACCTTGTTCAAACATCTTCTAAAACTTTGGAGACGGCCCTTGTTACCACCCGCACCACCCCCGCGTACCCCGCTACAGCACCGAGCACATGCGGCCGCCGCCCCGGGAGAGCGGGGGGACTGTCCGGTGGCTCGCCAGCGTAATAATGCCATTTTCCTCATTTCATGGACTTTTCCATGAAAATTAAAAATGTTTTTTTTTGCATCAGTGTCGTGTATACTACCTCTGAGATAGGCGTTGTTTTACAAACCCACATCCTGTATAATGCTGAAGATTCTCTTTGGTAATTAATGTTTCTCCTTTTTTTCTGCAGCGATCGTGGACGTGGGCTCGGCGTGGTTCAAGTACGACATGCGGCGGCTGAGCGAGATCCTGGCGTTCCCGAAGGCGTGGTACCGCCGCACCATCGTGCGCCGCATGTTCCTCGGAGACCTCAGCGTCAACAACCAGCAGCCCACGCCCAGGTTACAACTCAGAAAAACTCATTTATTTTTGCAAATAGGCTTTTATAAAACTTTTACAGTAGTAACCCTTTTACAGTAATGACCCCCAGGACAAACTTGACCTTCATTGGTTGAGTTTATTGGAGATTACGCTGTAGATCCTGGCTACACAGGAGATGCAGCGGTGGGAATAGTCCCGTAGCCACCACCCAGTAGGCCTAGAAGTCGTGCTGTGATAAGCTTTTATCGCGCCATTTTATCGATTTTACGCGATAACCGCATTCATTTGTCGGCTAAAATCATCGCTAAGATTTTATCACGGCGTGCATCCTAGCGCGGCTAGTCAGGTATTTTATATTATGTGATATTGTACCGGAATAGCAGATGTTCTTACTACCAACAGTGGAGCGTGTGGAAGTTAATTTTAAAGTGTTCGTATTTCTTGACATATTTGATTATTGTTACAGCACAAGTGCCAATGTGCCCGTATCGCCGGTGTTGCCCCAGAGAGAGAAAACAAAGACTGTAGATTCACAAAAACCCAAAGGTAAGAATGGATTTTGAATTTCATTGAAAAGGTCTTATTAATCTATCCATTAATATTCTTCAGTTTTCCTAATGATTTCCATATCGCACGGTTGGTAGCGGCCTGAATCCAGCGCTTTCCTGCTAGCTTTAGGAGGTCGTCGGTCCACTTTGTGGGATGGATGGCCTATACTGAGTTTTCCGGTACAAGGTCTCTACTCCAGAACCTTGCTGCCCCATCGGCCGTCAGTTCTTTTGCTTCTTTTGAAAAGCCTTTTTGCAGAAAATATATTACTTTTATGACTTATTTTAACATTTAACCTTGGGAACCTATGTTCTTCTGGTTCATTTCGTTGCGGGTCTAATGACAGTTTAACTTTACCTCGGGACAAACTTGACCTTCATTGGTTGGGTTTTTATGGCGCTCAAGCTGTAGATCCTGGCTACACAGGAGTTGCAGTGGTGGGAACGAGAGGTGGGAATAGTCCCGTAACCTTGGGAAAAATCATATTTATATTTAGCTTCATTTTGACAGACTCTCATTGGTTGTAACACAATAACAACTTTGGATACTGAACGTACTTAATAGTGACTGAGTTTCTTGCGCTGTTTCTTCTCAGCACTAGCCCATTTATTGTCCCGAAGCAATGGTAGGGTTAATATTGGGACGTGTAAAAGTGCTTTTTTTAAGCCTATTTACAAAATAAATGAGTTTTTTTTAATGAGCATAGGCTCAATAACATAGGTTACTCGTGAGTAATGTAGCTTTCGAATGGTGAAAGAATTTTTAAAATCGGTCCTGTCCAGAATTTTTAAAACCAAACAAACAAACAAACAAAGTTTTCCTCTTTATAATATTAGTGTAGATAAAATTATATTTAGCTTCATTTTGACAGACTCGCTTATTGGTTGCACCACAACAACTTTGGAAACTGAACGTACTTACACCCGTATTCACAAACATTACTATGAGGTCTCACAGTGCGCGTGGACGCACAGGGGCATACACGAACCAATCACAGAGCTCTATTTCATTATCATAATGTAACAACATCTGAAATAGTTATAAACCTAGGGTGGAAGACGCTGGCAGCTGTGACACAGTGTATACTAGTACAGCTGTCAACGCTAACCTCTTTGTAATAATAATGTTGTTCAAGTTCCATTATGTACTTAGATTAAGAGATTATTGTAAACAGGAGTATATAATAAATTATTATTCTATTATTCAACGCTGTTCGTTTGATTTTCTGCTTCACACAAGCAAGCATCGTTTGTGAATACGGGTGTTAATGTCATTCCCCAGCCGACAGCAGGGCGGCGGCGGGGGCGGGCGCGGGCGCGGGTGCGCCGCCGTCGTGGGAGACGCTGGTGCTGTTCGCCGTCAACTTCACGCGCCTCAATGTGCACATGAACATGGGCAACGTCATGGGCAACGTCAGGTAACGAACACCATGCTGTGTGACACCGTACTCTAACGTAGTGAGTCATGGGAGTGGCACGAGAGGTTTGACATGTGATGTGACAGAGCATGCAGATGTCCAACACAACACAAAAAAAATTCTACTAAGCAAGTGTTACTATGATTTAAATGAATATTATAATGATAAGCCCACATATACAGTACTATGCAATACATACATTTAACTATTATCTACCTACATATTGTATCACCCATTATATGACATTCAGTCTGTTATTAAGTTACCTACTATACTCATTATAATAATTATTAGAATTATTTTTTCCTATTCCCTGGAGACTTTATAAAAAAAGTGTCGGCCCAGTATGCGTAATTTTTCAAATATATTTTTTATACAATAATAGACATTATATTCCAAATTGCTTTATGTACTTCCTATCAAAGATATCTATAATTTATTTGATTGCTATTGTAAATACGAGTAAAATTGCAATGCCCTTGCAGGGCCCATATGTTTACCTTACATATTTTATAAGACCTTACTGTACATACATACATATGTGATGCAATAAATAAAGGAATATGAATATGAACACTGAACCCTCCCAGCTATGACATTGTCAGGAGGGCGCTACTATCAATACTGGATTATTAGTTACTAGCTTTCCGCCCGCGGCTTCACCCGCGTGGAATTTTGTCTGTCACAGAAAAACTTTATCGCGCGCGTCCCTGTTTCAAAAACCGGGATAAAAACTATCCTATGTTCTTTCCCGGGACTCAAACTATCTCTATGCCAAATTTCATCAAAATCGGTTGCGAGGTTTAAGCGGGAAAGCGTAACAGACAGACAGACAGACAGACAGACAGACAGAGTTACTTTCGCATTTATAATATTAGTTGGGATAGAAAACACCCAGTCCAATACAAACAAATATGTTCATGCACACAAATTTTTGTACTGTGCGGGAATCGAACCCGCTACCTCCGGAATAGTAGTCCGTTTCGAACCACTACACCAAACGGCCGACAGATATTGGAATATATCGGAATCTAATACAGAGATGTCTGTCTTTATGTTCACTCTGTTATGAGAAAGAAAGNGGAAGATGGCCGATCTCCAAGTCGGCGACGAGCGCCTCCTGGTCCCGCTCGTTGAGTTCCAGCTTGAGCTCCGATATCGTCCGCTCCATCTGCGTGAGTGTCTCCGACCCGGGCGCCGAGCTGATCGACGCCTGACGGGACTCCACGGCCTCGAGTCTTCGCTCGATGTCACCCAGGCGTTCGTCGTGAGCGTCGACTCTGTGCTCGCACAGTGAGACTCTGCCGATCAGTGTGTCGATCTGGGCCCGAACGGATCTGAACTCGTCGCGCATCTCCTCGCGAAGTTGCCTGATCTCCAAGAAGAGCGCCTGCACATCCGTCACTTCCATAGTAATATTCAGTGCAGTAGCGTTCGGATTCTCCTGACTGGCCTGCTCTAGCATTGAGGCGTCGAGACAAGTGGGGCTCATGGTGGCGGCCCCCCTCCGCACCATAACGCCGTCCGCAGCAGCGCGGACCGGCGTCTCAGTGTTGTCCCTCTTGGGCTGCCTACTGACGCATGTGACGCACCTCCACGCATTCCTGCGCTCACCAACCAGCGTGCCGTGGAAGCGCCTTTCGGTAACCCCGGCGCACTTCAGGTCGAAGAACTCCTTGCAGAGGTGGCACGCTAGCCATCTTCGACTATCTTCAATCGGCTCGAAACAGCCACCACAGATTTTTCTATTTTCAAGCGACATTGTCTTAGTGAAGAAAAAAGCAGACAAAAAACAAAAAATAAACAACAAAAAAAAAAAAAAAAGTTCCAAGTGAGACTCGAACCGTGGTATGCTGGGTTAGACCGGCCGTGCTAGCCGTTGCGTCAAAGTCTCTTGTGAGTCACCAACGAACTAAACAGTCGTACTTGACACTACTGTGGACGCAAGTGGTATTTGTGTCGGGTATACACAATCAAAATTGTTTCACATACACCAACACAGATTGTCACTTCAAGACGATAACTCACTTTTTGGAGAATTTATTTGCTAATAACACTCACTGCAGCCTTATTGTTTACGAATCGAATTCACTGATTAGAGGTCCATGTCCTTACAATTAAAATGGTGTATAGTAACTTTGNCACTAACGAAAACCATCTCTTTGCAGGGAAATGTCAGAACCAGCTGTCGCAATGGGCGGTCTATCCGTCACCGGCTGCTTGGCCGATTTCTCCGTGTACGTGTTCCACCCGTACGGCGGCAAGAAGTCCAGCCTGAAGGAGGCGCAGTGGTCGCCGCTGTCCGACTCCGAACGCAAAGACTCGCTCAGTATCAACGTAGAGTTCGTCAAGTTCCATCTGTCGCGGTCCAGGAAGCTAGACTTCCATTCGGATCAGGACCAGTCGAAGGCTACTGTGCGGTTTTCGAGTAAGTGCTTTTCAATTTTGTCATCATCATCATCATTTCAGCCATAGGACGTCCACTGCTGAACATAGACCTCCCCTAATGCTTTTCACGTTGATCGATTGGTAGCGGCCTGCGTCCAGCGCTTTCCTGCTACCTTTACGATGTCGTCGCTCCACCTTGTAGGTGGAAGTCCCACGCTGCGTTTTCCGTACGCGGCCTCCATTCCAGAACCTTGCTGCCCTGCCATCGGCCAATTTTGTAGTCAGCGTCAAATAGTTCGTGGCAGTTTTGACACCCAAAGTAGGAGGCTCAGTGGTCGCCGCTGTCCGACTCCGAGCGCAAAGACTCGCTCAGTATCAACGTGGAGTTCGTCAAGTTCCATCTGTCGCGTTTGAGGAAGCTAGACTTTCATTCGGGTCAGGACCAGTCGCAGGCTACTATGAGGTTTTCGAGTAAGTGTAGTTAATAGATATTTTCATAGCATTTAGAGTTGCTGCTCAAACTAAATTATAAATAACTTGAAAAATCGAACTGCCTAAGGCGGGAATCGCACCCACGATCTTTCGCTTGCCGGGCGACTGTTCTTCCATCTGAGCTACTTACAACCGGTCGGTGAACCGGTCGAAAATTTTCAAGTGTTCCGCTGTTGTGGCCGCGTTTTTGTTTCCTCATTATTGGGTAGTACTACTTTTGGGGGTGCTTTCGATTCAGTTAAGTCAGTTAAGAAGTTAGATTAAGTGTACTTAATATTGTACAGTGGAAATGCATATAATGCTGAAGATTATCTTTTGTAATTTCTCCTTTTTCTCCGCAGCGATCGTGGACGTAGGCTCGGCGTGGTTCAAGTACGACATGCGGCGGCTGAGCGAGATCCTGGCGTTCCCGAAGGCGTGGTACCGCCGCACCATCGTGCGCCGCATGTTCCTCGGAGACCTCAGCGTCAACAACCAGCAGCCCACGCCCAGGTTTGAACTCCTCCTATGTTTTAAATAAACAACTTGAAAAAATTGGACTGCCTAAGGCAGGAATCCAATCCAGGACCCTATTGCTTGCCGGGCGTCTACTCTTCCAACTGATCTACTTAGACACTGGATGAACCCGTCGAAATGTTTCATGTTACGGCCGTGGTTTATTTCATCAATGTAGGGTAGAACTACCCTTAAACATCCTCCTATTTTCTTCTGATTAATTTCGTTGCGGGTCCAATGACAGTTTAACTTCTCCTCGGGACAAACTCGACCCCATAGAGATATAGAGAGATGCCAACTAAAGCGCTGAGTTCGAAACTCAGTGTCGCATTAGAAATTCACACACATAAAGTAATCAAAATATGTGCTTATTATCCACTGCGGTATCAGTACTCATCGTTAGAATAATCTTTAGTACCTACTACGCAAGTAATGTAAACTGTGCATCGCTGCTGTCGTCATTGCTGTCGCGAGCAATGTTTTCTGTTTTTGGGCATATTGCTGCGACACCGGCCCCGCCCCCTTGTCATATCGGCCTAGCTGTAGATCCTAACTTTACAGGAGTTGCAGCGGTGGGAAATAGAGGTGGGAATAAGCCCGTAGTCATCGCCCAGGTCAGATATTTTATATTTTGTGATTCTGTACATCAACAGGAAAAGCAGATGTTCTTACAACCAGCAGCGCCGTGTGTAAAAGTTAATTTAAAAAAATGTCTAGTTCTTTACATATTTGGTTATTGTTACAGCACAAGCGCCAATGTGCCCGTATCGCCGGTGTTGCCCCAGAGAGAGAAAACTAAGACTGTAGATTCACAAAAACCCAAAGGTAATTTTTTTTTCAACTAGTGTTCTTCAATCTTTCCGTATCGTTATGTGCCATTTATGTTTGCAAACTCTGTCATAACCTCTGCAATAAGGTGATAAATCACAACTATCATAGTATTGGGGTTAAATCATTCATATCTATCTTCTAGTGAGATTGTGTACTCGTGATGATGGTTTTTACTGTGACATTCTTTACAGTTTAATATCACTTTGCTGAAAATGCCATTTAGAACTTTGTTATTTATTCTTCTTAAATGAACTGACGTTTGACCCGGCTCATCATCGTCGCAACTCAGACGCAAGAAGCTTGAAGTAGCTAGTTAGTTTGGGGGCCATATTTCTGTGTCAACGGAGTTGCAGATGTTTACATTACATACTCGAAATTGTTAGCTATTTTCCTACATTATTTTTATCTCTAAGTTTTGCGCACACAAGACAAACATTTTTGTAAGATGGTTATAATTTCATATAAGTGAACTATCTGTTGTTCTGAGAATAATGATTCTTCAAACCGAAGTTTTGAAGCCTTACGTAATGTAATGTAATTCCTGCTGCTGTCTTTCTCGAAGACTATAACCCGGGTCTTTTCAAGGCGAGAGTGAATAGGCTCTTAAAGGGCAGATATGTACCATCCTAGACTGCATCCCACTTAACATCAGGTGCGATTGTGGTCAAATACCTGCCTTGTTATGCATAAAAAAATGTTCTCCCCAGCCGACAGCCGGGCGGCGGCAGGCGCGGGCGCGGGCGCGGGTGCGCCGCCGTCGTGGGAGACGCTGGTGCTGTTCGCCGTCAACTTCACGCGCCTCAATGTGCACATGAACATGGGCAACGTCATGGGCAACGTCAGGTAACGAACACCATGCTGTGTGGCACGACTCCCAATAGTAGTGAGTCATGGGAGTGGCACGAGGTTGGACATGTGATGTGACAGAGCATGCAGATGTCCAACACTGAACCCTCCCAGCTATGACATTGTCAGGAGGGCGCTACTATCAATATTGGATTATAAGTTGTAATTTTTGCCAGAATAGACAACCATATTTATGACATTTACAGAAGGGCGCTGCTATCAATAAGGATTGTTAGTTTTATTTTTGCCACTTGAGGTTTCAAAATCGCTTGACTATACAAGTCTGAAGTCTCGCTGACGTTTGACGTCACAAAGACACCCTCCCGTTTCGCTCTCATACCTCAGGCACGGACTCAGTTATGCACTAGAACACCTGTAATCATTTTTGGGTTGCAAGTGCAACAGATGCAGTGGTTGGCCGATTTGAAACGTTACTTGACGAACATGGCGGTTACGGTCTATTTCTCTAAGGCTGCGTTTCGCCTCAGTAAATGAAGCGATTCTATTGCTTCTTTACAAACGCATTCCTCGCTACCCATGCTCTCACATCTCTGGTGGAAACGCAGCCTAAAAGTGGCATTTTAATTTAGCTGTTTAGGCAAGCCATTTCACCTACCTTTTCTGTCGATTCGTACACCAAATGATGATGTCATCGTCAATTGCATTTGTGGGTCAATCCTTGCCGTGTATATTGAACTAGCGGCCGCCCGCGACTTCGTACGTGTAGATCCCGTTTTACCACCTTAATCTATCTTCCGCGGTTTAGATTTTTTCATACAAATGTTTCCCGCTAATTCCCGATCCCGTGGGAATTTTACAATATCCTGTTGTAACTAAGCTTTAAGTTTACTAAGGTACCTGCATGCCAAATTTCAAGCGTCTAACTTAAGCGGTTTAGATTTTTCATACAAAAGGATTTTCCCGCTAATTCCCGTTCCCGTGGGAATTTCGGGAATTCCTTTCTTAGTGCACCTCTACGGTACCTAAGCTACGTCCCTTCCAAATTTCAAGTGCCTACGGTAAGCCGTTTAGGCTGTGCGTTAATATGTCACTAAGTCAGTCAGTTTCTCCTTTTGTATATTTAGAAGATTGCCATGCGATTGTTTGCTATTTGCTTATAATTATGTGTTTGTTTCTGTCAGCTGGCAGAGCCGCGACTTCCGCTGCTCCGGGCGGCTCAGCATCGGCAGCAGCGGGCGCCGCAACATGCTGCTGGGCGTGGCGCTGGCCGGCTCGGCGCTGGACGCGCGCGGCGGCATCGTGGGCGGCGCCATCACGCTCGCGCACATCGACACCTACGGTGCGTCACACAGGGGCACATGGAGCTCGTGGATACACCGGCAGCAGACAGAGATGTAGACGGATTAAAACCTTCACGATTCCAAGTGGCTACGCATCGGCACCAGACGGCAATAATCACGCACATTGTGTCCAGGCTTTAAGCAGCCATTCTACATGGTCTTAACTACAGCGATCAGACCAGAATAGCGCGGCGGTGACATTGGTCGGTCAAATTTGTTATTTAAAGCCCTCGTTTTAAAATTTCGTCGCGCTCGCACACTCACTGCGGCCGCCCGTCACGTAGTAGCGACAGCAATATAATCACGCGCAAGCGATAAGGATGGGTAGTTTGGGGTCATTGGACGAAATTCTACGTGCTCGGCGACCGGAATTGAGCCGGCTACCATTTGGTAAATCATGGAAGAACCGGTTACCTTGGTGATTTGGATATGTTCCAATGCAATGTGTAATGTGTGAAGATTAAATCGTAGGTTTCAGATGTAGCCAAGTTTTCACAGCGTCAAAGTGTTGTGACCAGATTGTGACGATATAAGATTTTAAACTTTCGCGTTCCATTTCGACTTAAATAGAAAGACACGTGTTTTAACGCGACATTTATTATGTACTTACTAGCTGACCCGGCGAACTTTGTTCCGCCTTAATGGCAATAAATAAGCAGACTTTTTTTTTATTTCGAACGGGATAAAGTATCCTATGTCTTTCTCCTGGCTCTAAACTACCTCCCTGACAATTTTCAGCTAAATCGGTTCAGCCGTTCTTGAGTTATAAGTGGTGTAACTAACACGACTTTCCTACTCCTGTCGGGTGTAAGTCCAAGGTTTTTTATAGCGTTAAATGCGGTTTGTTGATGTATAATTGGTAATGACATGAGCGTGTTCATATGTGAGTTGAAAATTAATTTCTTATTATTATATCTCTGATTCAATATGTCCCAACAGGTCTGGTAATTCTCTGAACTAATGTGAAGATGNATTTATTTATTTTATTTTATTTTATTCGGATAACCAACAGCAATACAATACAAATAATGGGACCTTAAATTATGTATCTGCTTAGCCATTTATAGGTAATCGCAAATGGATTTGATTTGATTTAGATTATTATTTTCACTCCTAATTATCAAAATTGCGCGGAGCGTCTTTATACAGTCTAGCTAGGTAAAGCGCCACCTAGCGGTTTTCTTCGGTCTTATGAACTATGGATCTTCGCAATCCTTATATGGGTTCGTCTGCTATCAAATGTCTTGTACTGCGAATACTTACAGAGTTTTCTCAGCGTAATACTCTCTCAATAGCTCCAATCTATCCAAAATACAGATATAAAACATAATATTACTTTGGCGAAAGAAAATAAAAATAGAGACGTAGACGAGTATTTGTGAAGAGAAGTGAGAAATGTATTCCGTGTAAAAATATCTTTCCATCTAAGTACCTCAGAGACTTGAATATCTACGAGTATTTTGTTTTGCTATTTCTGAATACAAAATATTATTTATTCTCGTGAAAGCTAAGATGTGAGAATTTTTATTGCCTCTTCCTATCAATGTATAGATCAAAGGAAAATATGACTGATTTATTGAATGACTAGCTTTCCGCCCGCGGCTTCGCCCGCGTGGAATTTTGTCTGTCACAGAAAAACTTTATCGCGCGCGTCCCTGTTTCAAAAACCGGGATAAAAACTATCCTATGTTCTTTCCCGGGACTCAAACTATCTCTATGCCAAATTTCATCAAAATCGGTTGCGAAGTTTAAGCGGGAAAGCGTAACAGACAGACAGACAGACAGACAGACAGACAGACAGACAGAGTTACTTTCGCATTTATAATATTAGTTGGGATAATTTTTGCCAGAATAGACAACCATATTTATGACATTTACAGAAGGGCGCTGCTATCAATAAGGATTGTTAGTTTTATTTTTGCCACTTGAGGTTTCAAAATCACTTGACTATACAAGTCTGAAGTCTCGCTGACGTTTGACGTCACAAAGACACCCTCCCGTTTCGTTCTCATACGTCAGACACGGACTCAGTTATGCACTAGAAGACCTGTAATCCAGTTAGAAGTTAGAAGACCAGTTTTGGGTTGCAACAAATGCAGTGGTTGAACGATTTGAAACGTTACTTGACAGACATGGCGGTTACGGTCTGTTTCTTTAAGGCTGCGTTTCGCCTCAGTAAATGAAGCGATTCTATTGCTTCTTTACAAACACATCCCTCGCTACCCATACTCGCTCATCTCTGGTGGAAACGCAGCCTAAGAGTGGCATTTTAATTTAGCTGTTTAGGCAAGCCATTTCACCTACCTTTTCTGTCGATTCGTTCACCAAAATGATGATTTTATCGTCAATAGGATAGTTTCCTAAAAAGAGGTTTTTAGTCCGTCAATTTAAATATAAAATAATCTTGGACACGTATATTTTTAATTGTCAATCAAACAAATAATTACAAAGTTATATTACGTTGAAGTTCCGCGTGACGTCACAAAGTGCTGCACTTTTACGTACTCACTGACGTCACGGGCCTTTTCTTTAAAACTTTGGCACGCTTTATCTCTTTACATTTTCATTAGTTTTAAAAAGTGAAAAATACGTGTCGAGTAGTTTTTGATAAGCTAACTGATGGACTAATTAAAATTCTTGCTTTCCTACCCAGGAAACATCCCTATTGCATTTGTGGGTCAATCCTTGCCGTGTATATTGAATTGCCATGCCATTGTTTGTTATTTGCTTATAATATGGTTTTGTTTCTATCAGCTGGCAGAGCCGCGACTTCCGCTGCTCCGGGCGGCTCAGCATCGGCAGCAGCGGGCGCCGCAACATGCTGCTGGGCGTGGCGCTGGCCGGCTCGGCGCTGGACGCGCGCGGCGGCATCGTGGGCGGCGCCATCACGCTCGCGCACATCGACACCTACGGTGCGTCACACAGGGGCACATGGAGCTCGTGGTTACACCGGCAGCAGACAGAGATGTAGACGGATTAAAACCTTCACGATTTCAAGTGGCTACGCATCGGCACCAGACGTCAATAATCACGCACATTGTGTCCAGGCTTTAAGCAGCCATTCTACATGGTCTTAACTACAGCGATCAGACCAGAATAGCGCGGCGGTAACGTAACATTGGTCGGTCTTTGTTATTAAAGCCCGGTCGCCGAGCACGTAAAATTTCGTCGCGCTCGCACACTCACTGCGGCCGCCCGTCGCTCAGTAGCGACAGCAATATAATTCCGCGCGAGCGATAAGGATGGGTAGCTTGGGGTCATTGGACGAAATTCTACGTGCTCGGCGACTGGACTTTAGCCGGCCACCATTTGGTAAATCATGGAAGAACCGGTTACCTTGGTGATTTGGATATGTTCCAATGCAGTGTGCTGTAATGTGTGAAGATTAACCGTCGGTTTTAGATGTAATCAAGTTCTCACAGCGCCAAAGTGTTGTGACCAGATTGTGACGATATAAGATTCTAACTTTCGCGTTCCATTTCGACTTAAATAGAAAGACACGAGTTTTGACGCGACATTGATTATGTATTGAGTTACATTATGTACAGTCGCGGAATGAAAAGGTGCGTCACCTTAGTGTCGGTTTTCGCTTGCACTAGGTACCGTAAGAGTCAAACCTGCCAACATAACCGTGCAAGAAACAGTGCTGCTAACATATAAATAAAAAATATGACGTTTGCTAACGAATAAGGTTTTGCTTGTTTATTTTTCTGTCCCATCAGTGCAATGCTACAAAATGTAGTTTTTTTTATTTAATAGAACCAACAAGAAGGTTTTAGTTTATCAATCATAATAATCTTCTTGACAAGTTAAATCGTCAAACAAATTTGATCTGAATAATTTTGAACTTTACTGACGAACAGTTAAAGATTATTTTCTCTAACTCGAGATTATCCTGTAACATAGTTTCAAAAGGTATTATGTGCTCGCGATTCGTTGAAGGAATCAATTTGAAAACTGACGAACCTTTTCATTCCGTGACTGTACTCACAGCTTGACGTTTCGTAGTCACAAGCAGACTGTCTGTGACTCGTGTCTATCCATTTAGATTGTGACGATGTTTGTTCTGGTATTGCAGTGCACATCGAGGAGGAGCCGGGCTGCAGCCCGGGACACGTGTGCGGCGTGCGGCTGGCGGCGCTGGAGCTGCGGCTGGAGTACATGGGCACGCCCGTGCTGCTGGCGCGCGTGTCGGCGCTGCGGGCCGCGCTGCGCGACCACTGGCACGAGCGGCCACCCGCGCTCAAGTACGCTCGCCTTCTCACTCGCTTCCTACGTCTGCCCGTGCGGCCGGCGGCGCTGGAGCTGCGGCTGGAGTACATGGGCACGCCCGTGCTGCTGGCGCGCGTGTCGGCGCTGCGGGCCGCGCTGCGCGACCACTGGCACGAGCGGCCACCCGCGCTCAAGTACACTCGCCTTCTCACTCGCTTCCTACGTCTGCCCGTGCGGCCGGCGGCGCTGGAGCTGCGGCTGGAGTACATGGGCACGCCCGTGCTGCGTATACTTGCCTTCTTACTTGCTTCCTTCCTTTTAGACTCTGCTGGACATAGGCCTCTTTTTTATATCCACAATGACGAGCTCTTAGCCTGTATCTCACCTGATGGTAAGTGACGATCAGGCCGAAGGTAGAAGCGAGCTTCACCCGTAATCCTCAACCACGGAGGAACTGTCTATCTTATGAGGCTATCCTACCTCTAACTGCCGGAACACAACAATGCTGTTAACATTGTTGTTATGGCGACACACTTAGGTAAGATGGTGGTAGCTAGCCAGGCGAACTTAGAACAAGCCCTACCACCAACCAAACCGAACAGAAAAATCTGCCCCCCTGGGAATCGAACCCGGGACCTCTGCGTCTGAAGCAGGTGGTCTTACCACTAAACCATAGAGGCTTTTTAAGGCCTACGCTTAAACTTACGCGGGCGCACGATATGCGCTCATTCCCATAGCGCGTATGGATACTCAAACGCATGCGCTACTCATACTATTTTGCGCTTCCGTCCGCATGCAGGTATCCACGCGAATTTTAACTGAGGCCCTTAAGGATTTCCACTAAGACTGCTCCTGCGCTGCTTCCAGGTGCTTCCCGTAACCTTCACGAGATCATAAAATCTTCCGGACCGTGGTCGCCACTCTAGAACTTTTTTGCCCCGATGTAACGCCTATCAACTCTACGAGTTATATGCCCCGCCCCCTGCCACTTAAGTTTGACAATTCTGCGGGCTATGGTGTCACTTACTTTGGGATGCCTGCAGATCTCATTTCTGATTTAATCACGCACGTTCTTACTTATTAAGTGACGGCATAGTGTCTAATTTAGCTAAATGATTTCCTCTCTCCCCAGGCCAGCGATNTACTTACTCATAGTATAATTGCTTGCTTGGCTCATAGCCTTGCCACGCTGGCGGATTAAAAGCGTTTTCAAAGCGGCGAAGACGTCGCGGATGCGCAACATTTCCGCCTCGAGTTGTCACCGCATGCTTCTCCGCTCGCTCGCGCGTAATTATAGTGCTGTCGCGACTGTGCGACGGGCGGCCGCAGTGAGTGTGCAAGCGTGACAGCAATATAATTAAGCGCGAGCGATAAGGATGGGTAACTTGGGGTCATTGGACGAAATTCTACGTGCTCGGCGACCAGACAAGTCTTTACTTGCTTCGTTAGTTCCAGCCAAATGCCGATCCCTGCTGGAAAAAGGCCTTCCCCAAGGTTTTCCACAACGACTGGTCCTGGTGATTCCCGCAATCATCGTCGGCTCACCTAGTAGGTCTGCCCATATTACATCTTCCGACCCGTAGTCGTTACTCATAAACTTTTCTGCCCCAACAGTCTTCAGTGTCACGGTTAGATGAGTTAGTTAGACGGTTCTGTCAGCTGAAAGTGGTTGAAGAACCTCGCCCACTACCACTTAAGTTCGGAAATTCTGCGGGCTATGTCAAATACATTGGTTTTATCTCCTCATTCCTGATTCAGTCACGCCAGATCTTCCTTGCGTAGTTTGCGGCAAAGTACTTATCTAAGACATTCCTCCCTCTCCAGGCCAGCGATCATCCTAACCCACGGCACGCTGAGCTGGCAGCAGCTGCAGATCGTGATGAGCCGCAGCACCACGCCGGACCTGCTGAAGATGCAGCTGAAGCTCGAGGAGTTCTTCACGCAGCAGTTCAAGTCCAGCAAGCGCGTGTTCAGCTCCCTGCACCCTAACTACACCAGGACTAGGCGTGAGCGTGAGTGTTCTTTTTTGTGTAAAATAAGGCAGGTATTTGACCGTAATCGTACCTGATGTTAAGTGAGATACAGTCTAGGGTGGTACATACCTGCCCTAGTTCCTATTCACTATCACCTTGAAGATGCCAATTCAGTGCGTCTAGTCATTTTTTGATCGAATCGAAATTCGAATTCGTTCACGAAGCTATGTAACTCCATAAAAAACGGCCTTTCGACATTACAACTGTCACGTTTTGCCGCTTGTCGAGTGAGTATGTAATGTTCGGGAAAGACAACAGCAGGCAGCGAATACCAGTCCTTAGTTAGCAAAATTTTTGGGGCGAACTGGTGGTGCTGATGATTGTAAAAGACAGAACGGGAGGATTCCCACCACTCGTTCCCACGGCTGCACGTGCTGACCGCCAATAATTACCCAACCAGTGAAGGTCAAGTTTGTTCCGCGGAAAGTAAACTGCCAGGACAAAGATATTAGATAGACTATTGACCATATTGTTTCCTCACAGCTCAACCACCGACACTGACCACGGCCGCCGCTCCCGGGACCGGCGCCGGCGCCGAGCCCGCGCCGCAAGCGGAGCTACGTCACCACCGGCACTGGCAGCGCGTCCTGCAACTGGTGTCCGGCATGCATCCCTCCACGCTGCCGGCGCCGCTGCCCGCCACCGGTATGTAACCACAACTTTGCCTGATGGGTTCAAGCAGGCCTGTTCATCTCTCCGAGTAGGCATCGAAGACAAAACACACGCGGCGTATAGATTGCTTAGATAGGGAAGCACGGGTGCGGGGAGTTTGATCCGAGCAATGAGAGCGTCATGACTCATGAGTGCACATGTGCACTACAATAATGACGCTCTGCTTTCCTTCGACCAAGAAGCGGTGGGGCGCGTCTGTGGATGAAACGATCTGTATCCACCGACGGGTTTAATCCACAAGGGATTTCCGACGTAAGCACGCGTATTCTTCACGCATTGTAAAAAAAATATTTGCTATGGACAGAAGTAAAAATACGCGTGTGGTGCGCTAGATGGCGCCACAGTAGCTTCTTTGTAACAATCAACCTTACCGATCACTGACGTATGTCAACGAAACTGTGCTCGACTCTGAGACAGGCTAAAACACCATATTGTTGACGACATTGAATTTACCATACTAAAGCCCGGTCTGTGAGCACGTAGAATTTTGTCCAATGACCCCAAGCTACCCATCCTTGTCGCTCGCGCGTAATTATATTGCTGTCGCGACTGTGCGACGGGCGCCCGCAGTGAGTGTGCAAGCGCGACAGCAACATAATTACGAGCGAGCGACAAGGATAGGTAGCTTGGGGTCATTGGACAAAATTCTACGTGCTCACGGACCAGACTATAGAGAGAGACACATTATTTAAAATATCTTCGAGAAGAAAACTTTCTAATCGTAGTTATTATTCTGTGGTACTTGTAACATACTACGCAGCAAGTCACTCATCTCCTGTGTTCCTCCCCCAGGCACGGTGCTGGGCGGCACGATGGAGTTGCACGGCACCAACGTGTCGCTGGCGTGCTTCCACGGCAACAGCTTCAAGGCCAAGTCCTGGGCGCTGTTCAGCCTCAAGGACCCCTGCATCAGCTTCGCTACGGAAGCGCAGCAGATTGCGGACGAGGAAGGTTAGTACAATCAACTTGTGCAAATACCAAAAAATAACACACTAATGCATCTTCGAATGAACTTGTTGCTAATAAAATAAAATAAATGACTGTTCTGATGTCAAATTTTTTGTCTTAAATTATTCACATTATGAATGAGGGGAAGAAAAGAGGACGATAGGTAGGTGATGGGCGTACCCACAACGCTGAGTGCGTAACTTTATTTATAACTTGTCTACATTTACACATAATAGTATCCTTCTCATTCATATTATCCAACGGTAGTTTTCCGTATAGAATCGTGCGGGTCGCGGTCACCCACGCCGCGGGACCGCCTGCACGCTCTGAGATCGATTCTTCTGTACAAGTTTGCAACCGCAGAGGCGCAACTGTGTAACCGTATAGAACTCTCGTGATTTTTAAAATAAAATACCCGCGTCCGTGTTGGGGTTATTTTATTGTTAGGAAAACAAACAGCATTATATTTCGTACCGGAAGGTGATGGACGTCCACCCACAAGGACCGACGACCTCATAAAGGTAGCAGGAAGGCGCTGGACACAGGCCGCTACCAACCGGCCATTGTGGAAATCATTGAGGGAGACCAATTTTCAGCAGTGGACGTCCTATGGCTGAAATGATGATGATGATGTGTAAATTGGTATGATGATATTACGGATACGACCTGCAAGCTTTCCAGAAGAGAGCGTATCTTCACCTTAAAGGTCGGCAACGCACCTGTAACGCCCCTGGGTCTGCGGGTGTTTATGGGCGACGGTAAAAACTTACCATCAGGTGATCCGTCTGCTCGTTTGCCTTCTGTAACATAAAAAAAAATGTGTTCTGTGCAGGTGAACTGGACGTGCACGTGGTGCAGAGCCTGACGGCGAGCCTGGGGTCGGGCGGCGGCGGCGCGGGCGGCCACCAGTCCATGGCCACGGTGTGCCGCATGACGCGCGCGCTGCTGTTCCCGCCGCAGTTCAAGACGCTGCGCGAGTGGTTCCATTACGCCTTCGCCAACAGCGAGATTGACGGTATGCTTTCATTTTATTATTATATTTCTGATGTTTCTTTGGTTTCTCTGACATGAGGTAATTTATCTTTAGGTCTGGGTAAAAATATAGGTTCGTAGTCGACGTCGCAGCGATACGTCGTTTTATTCTGCGGCTGCATGAAGTCGGCTACGAAATCACACCTTTACAATTAAAAATATTCTCAGTTTTTAAGCATCGAAGCAGAAGCAAACGTTCAGTAATTCTACTGAACGGTCTGAAATGTTGAGTGAACTATCAGTTTACAGTTTCTGCAGTTAACTATGACAATCGGGAACCCCTTGCTGTTCTTTTTGCAGATTGTTTCAGAGATTAGGCAGCGATTCTAATAAGTTTTTACCTTAGTACACATTCAGATAATGAGCGCTTTGCGCGCGTTAGCATGTGTACTCCGAGAATGAAATTCATGTAGTTGTAAACGCGCGTTGAGCGCTCATCATCTGAATGAACGTCGCTTTATTTAAAACCAAAAAATATTCATTTGGCAGCAATTGAGCTGTTCCCATCGCTGGAGCGCGAAACCGGCGGCGGTGGCGGCGGCGGCGGCTCCGGCAGCGTGGAGCGTGATCGCGAGCGCGATCGCGAGCGGGAGCGCGAGCGCAAACCGGGCGGNACGTATTTACAGACTTACAGCTGGGTATCTCTAATTCCGAGGTGAACTTACTATAATGACTGGACTATATCTGAAGGTGGCTTTAGTTAAGACCAAAAAATCGTTAATTGACTAAAGTTAAAATCTTAATTTGGCAGCAATCGAGATGTTCCCATCCTTGGAGCGCGAAACGGGCGGCGGCGGTGGCGGCGGCGGCTCCGGGAGTGTGGAGCGTGATCGCGAGCGGGACCGCGAGCGCGAGCGCGAGCGCAAGCCGGGCGGNCTACCCCCGGAAGCAGCGCCGGCGCCGAGCCCGCGCCGCAAGCGGAGCTACGTCACCACCGGCACTGGCAGCGCGTCCTGCAACTGGTGTCCGGCATGCATCCTTCCACGCTGCCGGCGCCGCTGCCCGCTACCGGTATGTAACCACAACATCATCGACATCGGACTCCTACCATCGCCCGGCACCCAGCATAACTAGCCATTATTCCATTAGTTCATTTTGCTTCATTTTCAAAAACCTTGAGCACCATCATCGCCCGGCTGCCATCCAAATGTCTCCTCCAACGCACTTGATTTATTTTTCGTAGATATTATTTACCGCATCATTTCAAATTAATTGTTCGACTTTAAAATTGTTAGTCCATTTTTCACTATCACATTTCACATTATAATATTTATGTGCACAGCACTGCCCTAAGGCAGCACTGGCAGGGTCGCCATGTAATGTGGGGACCAAGGAGATGGAATAAAAGATGTTATTTCAAAGAAACGGTGCTCGACTCTGAGACAAGCTAAATTACACCATATTGTTGACGACATTGAGTTTACAATACTAGAGACACTATTTAAAATACATTCGAGAAGAAAGCTTTCTGTACGTAGCATATTATTATTCTGTGGTACTATAGTCTGGACTGCGAGACGCGACTGTGTGACGGGCGCCCGCAGTGGGTGTGCGAGCGCGACAGCAACATAATTACGCGCGAGCGATAAGGATGTGTAGCTTGGGGTCATTGGACAAAATTCTACGTGCTCACAGACCGGGCTTTGGTAACATACTACGCAGTAAGTCACTCATCTCCTGTGTTCCTCCCGCAGGCACGGTGCTGGGCGGCACGATGGAGCTGCACGGCACCAACGTGTCGCTGGCGTGCTTCCACGGCAACAGCTTCAAGGCCAAGTCCTGGGCGCTGTTCAGCCTTAAGGACCCCTGCATCAGCTTCGCTACGGAAGCGCAACAGATTGCAGACGAGGAGGGTTAGTACAAGCAGTTCGAGTGAAATTAAAAAAATAATGCATCTTCGAATGAACTTGTAGCTAGTAGAGGTTATTGAAAATAACTGTTCTGATGTAAAATTTTTAGTCTTAAAAAACTGTATTCACTATTCACATTATGAGTGACGGGAAAAATACAGGATGATGAGGTAGGTGACGGGCGTATCCACAACGCTTCGTGTACAACTTTATTCAGGACTTGCGTAATTTACACAGTTAATTGGTATTTGGTACCCTCCTCCATTCACTTCCAATGGACAATTATAGTTCTAGCATTTAGCTCAAACAGTACCAGAGGTATAAGCACGGCACTCCCATTCCTTAGGCACAAACTGAGTTTAGCGCTAGAACTGTAGACTCGTATGGGCCTCGTTCACCCGTAGTCTCGGAGAGTTGCGCCCGCGCGCTCTTCGATCGATTTGAACGAGGTTCTTCTGTGAACAACCGTACCGTAATTGATAATCGCCTGCCTGGTTTGCGGCCAAAAATCGCAATCGCGGCGGCGCTGCTGCATAACCGCACTGAGCTCTGGTTTCGTGAGTTACAAAATAAAATGCGCTTCAATCTCGGGGGACGTGGTTACCGCTTCGCGAGTTCTTAGCCCTCAGTACTAAAAATTGTCTTATATGAGGTAAAATATTATTATACGCATGCACAGGTGAACTAGACGTGCACGTGGTGCAGAGCCTGACGGCGAGCCTGGGGTCGGGCGGCGGCGGCGCGGGCGGCCACCAGTCCATGGCCACGGTGTGCCGCATGACCCGCGCGCTGCTGTTCCCGCCGCAGTTCAAGACGCTGCGCGAGTGGTTCCACTACGCCTTCGCCAACAGCGAGATCGACGGTATACTGATGTTTCTTTGGTTTTTTTTCTGACATGAGGTACTATTTTAAGATATTGGTAAGGATACAAGTTTGAAGTCGATGTCGCAACAATAGATTGTTTGTTGCTGCGGCTGCATAAAGTCAGCTACGAAATGATGCCTTTACAACAACAATAATGCAATACAATATGAAATAACGCCCCTATTGCCAAGTTGAATACACGTTTTACATTCGTTTAAAATGTCATTTCCGTGTTTATTTATTTATTTATTTAAAGGCACAACCACAGAATACAACTCAATAAAATTACAATGATAACTTAAACAAGTGTTCAACGGGTGTCTAGCTTTTTGTGATAAGCTCCTAAGAGTTTTTATGGAAGTAAAGGGAACTGCCTAACGTTCTGAAATTACAGTTTATCAGCAATTTAACATTTCTGCAGTTAGCTATGACAATCAAGAATTACTGGCTCTTCTTTTTGCAGATTATTTCAGAGATTAGGCAGTTATGCTAACAAGTTTTTGTTTAGATAATGAGCGCTCAACGTGCTTTTACAATTACATGAAACGAAGAAACGCGCGTTGGCATGGTGTACTCTGAGGATAAAATACATAATATAATTATAAACGTGCGTTGAGCGCTCGTTATTAGTCCAGTCATTTAAGCTTAAATTAGGTAAGAATCTCGGAATTAGAGATACCCAGCTGTAAGTCTGTAAATACTTGTATTTTGACACCCTAAAAGTTGTCTCAAAACCTACATATGGTAGGGTGTAAGCAACTATTAAATTTTAAGGTCAAAGGTCACAAAAATCGGTTTTTTGCGCTTTTTTTGGAAATATCTCATTTCCTATGGGTTTTTTGCTATTTGTATTTATTATCAATATTGTAGAATACTAAATTTTCTACAAATTTTGTTTAAATTTTTTTTTTATACGGTGAACCGTTTTCGAGATAGAAGGCGGAGAGCGCGCGGTCACTGCATCACTTCAGGTCTACTTAAGCGGCTTAGATTTTTCATACAAAAGGATTTTCCCGCTAATTCCTGTNGCGACGCGCACGTGCGCGAGGTGATCTTCGCGCTGCCCGCGCTGCAGCTGCACCTGCGCACGCAGCACCTGCAGCGCCCGCGCCCGCCCAGCGAGCACGGTACACACTAACTGTACACACTATACGAGCGCGAGCCGGGCGGCGACGCGCACGTGCGCGAGGTGATCTTCGCGCTGCCCGCGCTGCAGCTGCACCTGCGCACGCAGCACCTGCAGCGCCCGCGCCCGCCCAGCGAGCACGGTACACACTAACTGTACACACTATACGAGCGCGAGCCGGGCGGCGACGCGCACGTGCGCGAGGTGATCTTCGCGCTGCCCGCGCTGCAGCTGCACCTGCGCACGCAGCACCTGCAGCGCCCGCGCCCGCCCAGCGAGCACGGTACACACTAACTGTACACACTATACGAGCGCGAGCCGGGCGGCGACGCGCACGTGCGCGAGGTGATCTTCGCGCTGCCCGCGCTGCAGCTGCACCTGCGCACGCAGCACCTGCAGCGCCCGCGCCCGCCCAGCGAGCACGGTACACACTAACTGTACACACTATACGAGCGCGAGCCGGGCGGCGACGCGCACGTGCGCGAGGTGATCTTCGCGCTGCCCGCGCTGCAGCTGCACCTGCGCACGCAGCACCTGCAGCGCCCGCGCCCGCCCAGCGAGCACGGTACACACTAACTGTACACACTATACGAGCGCGAGCCGGGCGGCGACGCGCACGTGCGCGAGGTGATCTTCGCGCTGCCCGCGCTGCAGCTGCACCTGCGCACGCAGCACCTGCAGCGCCCGCGCCCGCCCAGCGAGCACGGTACACACTAACTGTACACACTATACGAGCGCGAGCCGGGCGGCGACGCGCACGTGCGCGAGGTGATCTTCGCGCTGCCCGCGCTGCAGCTGCACCTGCGCACGCAGCACCTGCAGCGCCCGCGCCCGCCCAGCGAGCACGGTACACACTAACTGTACACACTATACGAGCGCGAGCCGGGCGGCGACGCGCACGTGCGCGAGGTGATCTTCGCGCTGCCCGCGCTGCAGCTGCACCTGCGCACGCAGCACCTGCAGCGCCCGCGCCCGCCCAGCGAGCACGGTACACACTAACTGTACACACTATACGAGCGCGAGCCGGGCGGCGACGCGCACGTGCGCGAGGTGATCTTCGCGCTGCCCGCGCTGCAGCTGCACCTGCGCACGCAGCACCTGCAGCGCCCGCGCCCGCCCAGCGAGCACGGTACACACTAACTGTACACACTATACGAGCGCGAGCCGGGCGGCGACGCGCACGTGCGCGAGGTGATCTTCGCGCTGCCCGCGCTGCAGCTGCACCTGCGCACGCAGCACCTGCAGCGCCCGCGCCCGCCCAGCGAGCACGGTACACACTAACTGTACACACTATACGAGCGCGAGCCGGGCGGCGACGCGCACGTGCGCGAGGTGATCTTCGCGCTGCCCGCGCTGCAGCTGCACCTGCGCACGCAGCACCTGCAGCGCCCGCGCCCGCCCAGCGAGCACGGTACACACTAACTGTACACACTATACGAGCGCGAGCCGGGCGGCGACGCGCACGTGCGCGAGGTGATCTTCGCGCTGCCCGCGCTGCAGCTGCACCTGCGCACGCAGCACCTGCAGCGCCCGCGCCCGCCCAGCGAGCACGGTACACACTAACTGTACACACTATACGAGCGCGAGCCGGGCGGCGACGCGCACGTGCGCGAGGTGATCTTCGCGCTGCCCGCGCTGCAGCTGCACCTGCGCACGCAGCACCTGCAGCGCCCGCGCCCGCCCAGCGAGCACGGTACACACTAACTGTACACACTATACGAGCGCGAGCCGGGCGGCGACGCGCACGTGCGCGAGGTGATCTTCGCGCTGCCCGCGCTGCAGCTGCACCTGCGCACGCAGCACCTGCAGCGCCCGCGCCCGCCCAGCGAGCACGATACACACTAACTGTACATATTAACAATGCTACATGAGCATGCGGATATTAGGCCCGACGATGTAACGGCACGTGTCTTATACATAGTCACAGAGCAAACGCACACCACATAAATATGAATATTTATTCATCATTTCATATTCACATGAATGAAACGTGTTACAGCTGCAAAAAAATTTATCCGGCTCGAAGGACCATGTTTATACAGGCTGCTTAAATAAGTAAGAACTGAAGTTTTAATCATTTATTGCGACTTTTTATCATCAAACCATTTTTATTTTTTCGTTACAGACGAGAAGCCGGTAGTGGAATGCAGCTTCATAACGGAGTTCGAAGACCACATCTTCGTGTCGGTGGACGCCGAGGCGTTCCTGTTCCTCCACGATCTCATATCTTCATACATCAAGGAGAAGGATAGACTGGTGAGTGACATTATTATTAAGTTTATTTATTTCATTGATCATTATAATGATTAAAAGTAATTTTATATGCTTTCTATATGTATTATACTTCTAGCGCTAACTCAAGCACTGTCAGACAGTGCCTGAGATATGGGAGCGGGGAGATGGGAGCATTGACATAATATTACGACGTGACAGAGCATATAAATCTGTGGTTTCGCTGACGTTTGACATTACAGACACCCTTCTGTGCCGCTTCTATGCCTCAGGCACTTCCTGAATTAAGCGCTACTAGAACTATAATTCTCGTGTTGGCGCAAAACAATGATTTCCATTGAACGAATAGATATATTATTTTGCGTACACTTCACAACATTGCTAATGGAGGACGGTGTTATGTCACGGTGTGAACTGTGCTCTTCACCTCAACAATTCGCTAATCAGCACAGTAAATGTATAGGAAAATCAATTCAAAATGAATATTTTTCTCACTATCCCAGTGAATTTTGATTAAAACCGCTTGGTTTTGTTTAGATGCCGGGCGGCGCGCGCGCGGCTTGGGGCGAGAACGCGGCGCGACGCGCGGAGGGCCCGCCGCAGGACTACCGCGACTACCGCTGCGTCACCTGGCACCTCGAGCCCACCGTGCGGTGAGTAAGCAGAGTGCGCAGGGTAGGGGTTGTATGCCCACCCCACTACTCTTGTCGTCTACGAGCGGTACGAAGGCAAGAGACGAAGGAACCAGTTTTATTTAAGAACTAGCGGCCGCCCGCGAACGAAGTCGCGCGTGGATCCCGTTTTACCCCCTTCATCTATCTTACACGGTTTAGATTTTTTCATACAAATGTTTTTTCCCGCTAACTCCCGTTCCCGTGGGAATTTTGCAATATTCTGTTGTAACTAAGCTTTAAGTTTACTAAGGTACCTGCATGCCAAATGTCAAGCGTCTAACTTAAGCGTTTTAGATTTTTCATACAAAAGGATTTTCCCGCTAATTCCCGTTCTCGTGGGAATTTCGGGAATTCCTTTCTTAGTGCACCTCTGTGGTACCTAAGCTACGTCCCTTCCAAATTTCAAGTGCCTACGTTTAGCCGTTTAGGCTGTGCGTTGATATGTCAGTCAGTCAGTCAGTTTATCCTTTTATATATTTAGATTGTTGAGGGAATTCTAACGAGGTGTGTTCTTCCAGGTTGCTCTCGTGGGCGGGCAAGTCCATCGAGCCGTACGGCGTGGACTACATCCTGCAGAAGCTGGGCTTCCGGCACGCGCGCACCACCATCCCCAAGTGGCTACAACGCGGCGCGCTCGATCCGCTCGACACGTTGCTCGCGCTCGCGCTGCGACGCCTCGTCGCGCTCGTGCCCAGCAAGTGATAACAAGTATGGACTTTCAATACTCAATACTTACACTTAATATTTATACGCGCACTATTATTATTATTTATGTATGTATATTTTATGCAGTATAGGTTAGTGTCCGTGACTCCCACTCGGCATGGGGCACACTGAAAACCAGCGTCGTGGCCTCCCTCACCGGGGGCCATGGCATATGCTGAGTGGGGTCCCATTGCGATGGACATCGCTGTGCGACAGGGTGGCACTGCTCAGTTTTACTTTCACTTTCATTGTATGTTTTATTTTATGTCACCTATGTCTTATTTACTTTTTTTTTCTATTATTTACATCTTTTGTCTTCTGTGATGTCCATGGCAATAAATGTTTCTTTCTTTCTTTCTTTCTTTCAGTGTATTCCGTTAGCGTGTAACGCGCGCACCACCATCCCCAAGTGGCTACAACGCGGCGCGCTCGATCCGCTCGACACGTTGCTCGCGCTGGCGCTGCGCCGCCTCGTCGCGCTCGTGCCCAGCAAGTGATAACTGCACCACCTGCCCAGCATGCCCAGCAAGTGATAACAAGTATGGACTTTCAATACTCAGTGTATTCCGTTAGCGTGTAACGCGCGCACCACCATCCCCAAGTGGCTACAACGCGGCGCGCTCGATCCGCTCGACACGTTGCTCGCGCTGGCGCTGCGACGCCTCGTCGCGCTCGTGCCCAGCAAGTGATAACAAGTATGGACTTTCAATACTCGGAGATGTAGTCTAGTGTGTGTTGCAACCATAAAGTTAACATTCCTTCGGAATAGAGCAACAACCACGAGCTGTCAAACGAAATCGATTCAGGATTGATGACACTGGATGTCATTGGTGTGTCAGCGGTCAGAATTATTTCACTGTTGTAACAAATCAATCACTGAACCCGTCACCACGTTTCTCAAGCACTATTTCTCATAAACATCCACCATTTCACTCACGTAAAATCTTAAAAAATCAGAGCTCATATTTTTAGCGTGCCAATGAACTGCCAAATAGTTGCAAAACGGCGACGGCATCACACATCTCTTTTTATCACACAGTGTTGCTGCTGGTGACATCTCGCTCGCTCAGTTCTTTGTTGCTCTATTCCAAAGGAATATTAACTTTATAGTTGAAACCGAGCAATACGTTGCGTTTAAGGCGAACAGCTATGACACCATATTCTAGATATTCTCATGATCTGTGCTCTCCGTAAAACCCCTTGTGACTGCTGCACGACGTAAGCGCAACGTTCGGTAGTCTGACCTTTCACGACACGACGAAAGTCATATAAATTCGTGCTCGTTCACTCTGGCTGTAACTTTAACACGTGCGCGTATACATACATACCTTTACAACTTGTAGCTCGGTTGAGATGAGACGCTATAACGATTGCTTTATTCAATAGCACGAAAACTAGCGCGTTAACGGCTGGGCCACACACATCGCGACACCGAAGTATACGCGAATACTTGGCTACACATATCGTGATAACGTGAATATTCGGGTTATCGTGATGAGTGCGGCCGAGGCATAACACGAATAGTTACCGTGATTATACCGTCATCCTTAAATGGCGAAGGTATTCCGTTAACCACTTGACGTCTTCTTACTTTGGTTCGTAATTAATTATATCTATGAAATGACTTTTTCGTATTCGATTCTGAAAACAACACTGCCACCAATGTTCTACTCAGTTGTGGCTATCACAATGTTTTATAATTTCATGTAGCAGTGACAAAACTAGATGGACTGAAGCTTCAATTATTTCTACAACTTTCAAGTGCGAATACTCGGATTTGACATATTTACTTACATGGTAATTTATAAACGTAGTTAAATAAAAATGTATCACTTTAATTATTACGATATTTTAATACAATACAATAATTTAGTTAATTAATTTTAATTGTCTTACACTGGCCAAAGGATTTCGTACGTTGGTATACTGTTGATTGAAAAATAATCGAAAATTTGGCAGAAGAGACCTAAATTCTAAAACAGAATCATAAAACTAAACTGATTACGATAGATTATCAGTAGCAAAAAGTTAGGAATAGGTCTTGACAGATCTTGTCATACAGTAATAGGACGTGCGTGCCCGACCGAATATGAATTTTTATATGACAATTTATTGAGAACAAAGATAATGAATAGATCATTGTTACTCACTCGGACTCTTGTATTGTTTGTTCTTCTCAAAAGACTATTACAGACTTGGATGAGTTTACATTCGAAATGCTCTACAGATGCATTATTCTGATCGGAAGCAAAGTACAATTTTCAGTCTTCTCACTTTTGAGTATTTTTACAGTATTAAACGACAAACATCTTCACTTTACTTCGATGCTTCACGATGCAATGTATACTCTTGACAACGTACATATTCTGCATTATACGATCGCGATAGTAAAATCGACGAATATAATGACAGCATCCCGCATAGTCGACATAGGCTAGCTAGACAGAGACCATATCTATTAGTCACCTATTGTGCATGTGATAAGACTTGGGCTTGTTGCATTCATTGGGAAAAGAGAAAATTAGATACCCGGCGCCGGCGGCTATCTCTAAATACATTTTATAAATCTTAACTATATCAATCNTGGTGTAAATTGGACCTTGGTCCCCGAGCACAACACCCGCTCGGAAGGAAGCACTAACATCTAGCTTCCTTATTGTGGACGAACATCATATCCCACATGGCTACAACGCGGCGCGCTCGATCCGCTCGACACGCTGCTCGCGCTCGCGCTGCGACGCCTCGTCGCGCTCGTGCCCAGCAAGTGATAACAATATGCACCACCTGCCCAGCATGCCCAGCAAGTGATAACAAGTATGGACTTTCAATACTCAATGTATTACGTTAGCGTGTATTGAAACAGAGATTACGCTGCGTTTACGGTGAAAACCTGAAATAGACTATTTGACACCATTCCCCAATAATTCTATACCACAACTTTTTTAAAAAGACACCATTCTGAAGTGGAATTGTGTAAAGCAATCGTAATCATTTGACAGTTCATAACGTACGATAAAGTCAGTTAAACAAAGCGTTTCACAGAATAATCATACGTTATGAACTGTCAAATTATTAAGATTGTTTTACACAATTCCACCTCTGGTCTTAAATACTTAATTAATTTTAAATTGCCTGTAAATTAAGATTTTGGTTGCATTGTAACCGAAAAAAGTAATTTGAGTTGACAAAACAGTGACGTCACTTGCTCGTCTTGACAGTTTTAAAAAGTGCGTCAATTGATTGGTGGTGTCAACACGTCTATTCTCTTGCCATCGAACACTGACAGAACCGGCGTGACTGCTGCACGACGTAAGCGCAACGTTCGGTAGTCTGATATTTCACGACACGACGAAAGTCATATAAATTCGTGCTCGTCCACTCTGGCTGTAACTTTAACACGTGCGCGTATACATACCTTACCAACTTGTAGCTCGGTTGAGGAGAGACGCTACAACTATTACTTTATTCAATGGCACGAAAGCTAGCGCGTTAACACGAATAGTTACCGTGATTATACCGTCATCCTTAAATGACTAAGGTATTCCGTTAACCACTTGACGTCTTCTTACTTTGGTTCGTAATCTATATATATAAAAGAAAGTCGTGTTAGTTACTCCACTTATAACTCAAGAACGGCTGAACCGATTTAGCTGAAAATTGTCAGGGAGGTAGTTTAGAGCCAGGAGAAGGACATAGGATAATTTTTATCCCGTTCGAAATAAAAAAAAAATCTGCTTATTTATTGCCATTAAGGCGCAACAAAGTTCGCCGGGTCAGCTAGTTAATTATATTTATGAGATGACTTTTTCTTATTCGATTCTGAAAACAACACTGCCACCAATGTTCTACTCAGTTGTGGCTATCACAAGGTTTTATAATTTCATGTAGCAGTGAAAAAACTAGATGGACTGAAAGCTTCAATTATTTCTACAACTTTCAAGTACGAATACTCGGATTTGACATATTTACTTACATGGTAATTTATAAACGTAGGTAATAAAAATGTATCACTTTAATGATTACGATATTTTAATACAAGTTAATTAATTTTGATTGTCTGTCACTGGCCAAAGGATTTCGTACGTTGGTATACTGTTGATTGAAAAATAATTGAAAATTTGGCAGAAGAGACCTCAATTCTAAAACAGAATCATAAAACTAAACGGATTACGATAGATTATCCGTAGCAAAAAGTTAGGAATAGGTCTTGACACAGTAATAGGACGTGCGTGCCCGACCGAATATGAATTTTAATATGACAATTGAGAACAAAGATAATGAATAGATTGTTGTTACTCACTCGGACTCTTGTATTGTTTGTTCATCTCAAAAGACTATTACAGACTTGAATGAGTTTACATTCGAAATGCTCTACAGATGCATTATTCTGATCGGAAGCAAAGTACAATTTTATTCTAGCGTTTACTTTAAAATAAAACTAACAGTTTGTACTTTAGACTATTTCAGTCTTTTCACTTTTGAGTATTTTTACAGTATTAAACGACAAACATCTTCACTTTACTTCAATGCTTCACGATGCAATGTATACTCTTGATAACATACATATTCTGCTTTATACGATCGCGATAGTAAAATCGACGAATAGAATGACAGCATCCCGCATAGTCGACATAGGCTAGCTAGACAGAGACCATCTCTATTAGTCACCTATTGTGCATGTGATAAGACTTGGGCTTGCTGCATTCATTGGGAAAAGCCAAAATTAAATACCCGGCGCCGGCGGCAATTTCTAAATACATTTTATAAATCTTAACTATATCAATCTGCTGTATGTCGCCGGCGTTGGAATCCAACCATTATCATCGTGGCACAACAGTGCTGTAGTGGGCCAATCAGCCCATAAATAAACGTGTATTTTATTGTTTTCAATGCCTGATAATTATTTATTAAGAATTCTATTATTATCTCGTTAGTTCCTTTTGTGCACTGAGTTATTATCATCGTAATATTATAATTCCAATTACTTTGATATTATTAATGTTTTATTTGTAGTAATGGATAGGGTGTCTATTTTATACGACTTGCATGATTGCATGAAATTATAATTATTAGTCTTAATGGCAGTTTATAACGAAAATGGGAAATGGGGAGTTGAGGTAGAGGAACTTGAAAAAAGTTTAAGAATTGTGGTTATGGATGTGAAGTGATATTTTGAACATACAAAACATAGTTTCAACCCTACACAAACGTCGAAGCCGCGTTACTTATTATTTAAATATTTATGTGCATAAACTACGGCTGCGGTGTTTGGCGAGGGAGGGAATAGATCGCTTATCGAGATTAAAATATAAAGTTGATTTTACGTTTAGATGTTCTGTGATTTATTATTGTTAGATAAATGTTAATACCAAATTAAGCGGATTTCGTGCTGTCCCAGTTATGTACCTTTTGAAAACAGCTTTAAATTATTCGGAATAATAACACATCATGGGTGCTACCTATCCAGTACTGTTTTCTTGAAATTTTTTAAGGATACACAACCAACCAGTTTTATAGAAACATAGAATTGTAATAATTGTTGTAGATAAAAATTTGCGCCTACATTCCTCCGAAAATATTTCATAATTACATAGCCAATAAACTAACTCTTCGAATAAGTAGTAAATTATGTATGTCACCGAAAATTAATATTAGAGAAATGACCTGTTGTTGGCGATAAATAGTGAATTTGAAATGTTTAATATTATTACCAGTTGTGTTGCAACTGTAGTGTATTATTTTGTACATTGCTATGTAAAATGAGAATTATTGTATTTATAATGTAGTGGGCTTTCTTATAATGTGTACTGATTATATTCGTATATTTTATTATGAGAAATGATGATTTGTACATAATGAAAGTGATATGTATATGAATAAAGGAATTTAGAAATTCTATTAAATTTTTATTTGACAAATAAACACTGGAATACAAAATAAATAGAATTAATTTCAAATAAAAGACGCTTTATAGCAAAATAATTCATTGAATATAAAATTATTCAAACTTAAATAATACAATATCATATACGATGAAGTACTGCTCTAACGCGCAGATATGAAGATAATCTTTAAATTATGTACTACTTTACCACGTTGATATATAAAATATTGGCAAGGTTTACACAAACGTTTAGCGTGCTTAGATATTTTGTTCATAATAACTTTAAGGCTGAGTTGCTCCACCTAACTTTGACCGTAACGTAACGTAAGCGGTTATCGTTATAACCGCCGTTTTTTGTATGGATTTTGACAGATTTTTGACGTTTGTCAACGTTAAAGTAAGATGGTGCAACCCAGCCTAAATGTACGTGACATTTAATCTGAAGCTATACAAATCCAAGTCCAACCATGGTTGTTATTCGTCTTTTTTTGGGAATGTCCCGAATTACATTGAGAGACGTATACACAAAGACGTGAACAGAATGTTTGTGCTTGCAATTATACGATATACGGAATGCACCTTTCAAATGATAATGTTCAAAATATTTACATAGGTACAAAGAATTTACGATTCATTATACGAAAATAAACTTTCAGATTATAAAAAATTACGTAATATTTCCGAAAGTCTACTTTTTACTAAATGCCGAACATCATAAATATGAAGGAAATGAATATGAAACATTTAACTTGTAAGGAAAACTTATAAATAAAACGTAAAATAACGATCAACATACGAATATTTGTACAATTTGTTTACAATAGCTAAGATTTTTGGGACTTATTAAAATGGCATTCGGCCTAATGCGAATAGTGGCCGAACGTGTTAAATAGGGCCCAAGCATAGTGGAGAACTGCCAGCATCCGCCAAAATGAGCAAGTGAAATTAAAAATTACATCGACTTAATTATTATATCTTCTAGTAAAACAGACAGTTACTTCAGTTTTATGTAGCATCTTTTATGGCACCGTAATTAGCAGCCTGCATTTAAGATTCCCACTTTATGGGCAGTCGAGACGAGTTACGAAGACACAAGTAGCAGTAAACATCATAGTACTGGCAATTTTACACTATCCTCGAACTTGAATAATATCTTAGGACAGTCATCAGGCATATCAACAGGCCTATAATATACTAAGGCCTGATGGGAGACATCAATTGTTAATATGAAAGTGTGCTTTTATAACACCGAAACGAAGCGATGCGAATTGCATTGATATAATTCGGAGTAACATATATGTAGATTGATTCTCAATCTCACGCAAAAATAAAACAGAGTGCGGGCGTAGCCGGGGGCAGACAACTAGTAATTGTATAAAATCTAATAAACTGGCCTATAATACGGACACGGCGGGAAGCGCGTATAAATGCTACTATAAAAATTGGGGCGTATCAATACCTCATTATTAACTAGAGATGTGTCAGCATCAAAGTTAAGATTTATTCGAAATTTCAAAGCGTCTACTTCTTGAGCAAATATTTATCTTATTGAGGTGACATGTAACACAATTGTTTTAAATCCTTACTCCCTTACTAATAAAACTTACACGCTCGTTGAACAGTGTTTTAAAGTGACGTTTAGTATGGAAATGTCATTTTAAAACAGTGTTCAACAACTGTAACTTTTTATTAGTAAGGGGGTTATTGTTTTGTTGCTGATAGTGTCTAGGAAACATAAATAAAAATAATCTTACTTTAGATGCCGTGCACTTCAATTCCGCCATATCCTAAAGCTAGCTACACGTAAAGCTATGCCTCAGAAATACTGCATACAGTTTCGTGCCCAACTCAAACCTCGTTTGCACGAAAGTGTATCCACTCTGAACATTTAACTCCATACAAGTATACGATACGACTATCGCCGTTTCGTCGATATCGTGGGCGGGGCTAGTTCATGGCGAAGTTCTGCGTGAAGTCGTATTCGATGGTGGGGATGACGCTCTGTACGAACTTCAGGAAGACTATGAGGTACGCGTGCACGCCCATCTCGCCGCCGCTTTCCGTCACCGTTTCGATTATCTTTTTCATCACTTCGGCGTGCCTGGTGGGAGGAAGTTTATTGATATTATTATCCTGACAAGTTGAGCACTTGAAGATCGCCAGTGACTATGATTTCTCACGAAACACGAACACTACACGACCTATAAGACGAACTAGGTTTCGATGAAGAAAATATACTTTTTATGTTACTTTATAACACTTTTTGAACATCGTTATTAAGATTAGTTGAAGGGCGAGAACATTACTACAACTGGTCGTGTTTTATCAATTAAATCCAATAGCTCAAATAAATTACCCTTTTGACTAATAATTTACTATACGTAATACCCAAAACGTCATCAACTACCCAACAGCCAATAAGTATCACGCATTTAAGGAGACTGTTGATCCACGAGATGAGCCTTAGAGCTCTTTCAAATTAGACGTTTTGAGCCGGACTTTTAATAATCTAGTTCTTTAAAATTAGTCCTTTTGAAGCGGACGTTTGTCGTGCGTTTGCAGGACCGCACATGGTAAATCGTATGGCAACTGCGTCGGAATAAAATTGTCAATTACCAATAAGTTAGTGTGCGGTCTTGCAAACGCACGACAAACGTCCGCTTCAAAAGGACCAATTTGAAAGAACCCTTTCAAGTATGGCGCTGACCTGCAGGGGTGCACGGAGGCCATGCTGGGCCCGGACAGGTGCGGGTGCGCCTCCATGGTGACGGTCTTCTTGGCGTGGTCCTGCGACACGTCCTCGTACATCTGCTCCACGCTCAGCAGTGTGCGGTCCTATCACAAACGTGCACGTGTACACACAACCTTATTTACGGCTTGTTCCCAGCGATGGGACACGTATAGCCTGGTCTGTGAGCACGTAGAATTTTGTCCAATGACCCCAAGCTACCCATCCCTATCGCTCGCGCGTAATTATATTGCTGTCGCGACTGTGCGACGGGCGGCCGCAGTGAGTGTGCAAGCGCAACAGCAACATAATTACGCGCGAGCGATAAGGAAGTGCAGTTAGTAACAGTGTTACTCGTTTGAGTGTGACTCGTTGGGAACAAGTGAACCTTACTTCCATTTATGTAATAGCCAAATCTGTAATGTACCACATTACATATTTGGCTGTAAATTACAGCCTGTAATGTACACAGTGCCAGTCCGACATCGGCGACATCAAAGAGCGAATACATAATAATAATTGTGCTTTGGAGTTGTGGTCACTGGACACCAACAACAGATTTACTGGGACTCATTACAAACAAAAAGTTAATTCAAATGCATAATATCTAATTATGCAGTTTTTGCTTTTACAGAAACGGCATCGAGACTTCCGCCCCTAAAACTAGCTGTTTCTTAAGTTTCAGAATCGGCCAACCACACATGTTTGATTTCCTCGACTGACATCGGTGATCAACGTGGCGCGTACCAATATACACCAGTCCTATGTAATCACCTGCATCTGCTGTGTTGTAGTGCGATGCTTCATAGAACTAGTGTATATTCGCATGTCAGGAACTGACATCAGCTTAAGAAATCAAGCCTCATCATCAGGATCAGCTCACCTCGTCGTAGCCGATGAGCCAGAGGCGCGGCGTCTGGTAGTACTTGTCGTAGGTGATGTGCAGGTCGTAGGTGCGCGTGCGCACGATCTCGTCGCCCTCCGCGCCCGCGCCCGCGCCCGCCCCCGCCGCCGCGCTCTTCGGCTCTTTGCGCGGTGCTAGGTCTGTTGACTGGAAATAATCTTTATTTTTACCTGGTTGTTTTGTTATTGCCATAGCTCGCTTGTACCCTCAAAATACTGTGTTAGTTACATTTATAACAATATTGGTTTTATTTAATTTAGATTAGAGAAGAAACAGTTGCTGTAGTAAATTACATAGCTGAAAAAAAAGGAACGATGGCGTTTGGTGCATCAATGACAGATTAGATTTAGATGAATCAACATTGCAGACTATTTCAGTTTCAATCAAGTTGTGATTATTNTAACTTAAAAACAATGCGATTTGCGTCAATAGTTATTTAACGAGATTAAATAGAACAATTGAACGATTTAAATTATACAGGGTTACTATCTAATGATAATTAATACTTATAGGTTATTGATATGTGGTATTTAACGGGATTAAATTCAAGAACTGAATGATCTAGATCATACAGGGTTACTATGTAATGTTAATTAATATTTATAGGTTATTGGTATCTGATATTTAACGAGATTTAATTCAAGAACTGAATAATCTAGATTATACAGGGTTACTATGTAATGTTAATTATACTTATATATTATTGACTTGTTTTTAAATACTGAGAAAGTTATTTAAACGAGAACTGAGTACTGACGAGACAATTACTATGTACCTACTTTTTATCTATCTATTGGAAACCTAACTTAGGTATAAAGTTAAGCTACGAGTAATTGTTACTGGCCTTGTTCAGCTGGTTCTGGATTTGGCCGCGCCTCTTCTTTCTCCCCGGCCGCCTCCTGGTCTGGTCCTCGGCTCGGGTCGGCTCCTCTCCAGGGCCGGACTCGCGCCAGTTCAGGTTTTGTGGGTAGTCGACGGTGTAGACATCGAGGATTTCGGTCCATTCTGTGGACCGGTTTGATGATCTGGGTAGTGATTTACTTGGGTCTGTAGACACTGCGTTCCAGGGTTTGCGTGCGTTGCTAACTTGGCAGATTTTGCAGTTCTTGACGTACGTTGACACATCTCATATACATACCGGGCCAATAATATCTCTGTGATATTTTGTTCAGTGTTTTTGCTGTTCCTAGGTGGCCTGCGGTTGGTGTATCGTGGTTTTCTTTCAGGATCTGGTTTTTTTCATTGTTGTTTATGCATAATTTCCAGTTTGATGATGTTTCTGTTCTCGGTCCGTATGCGTGGTTTATTATTTTCTTGTATAATTTTCTGTTTGACATTTTATAATCTTTGTTTCCGTTTGTCTGTAGTTCTTGAATTTTCTTTTGGATCCAGTCTTCTTTTGTTTCTTGTTTTAAGCGTGTTACGTGTTTATTTATGACTTCTTGATTTTTAGGGTTCCGTGAATAGTCTTTTTTCTTGATTGGTTTTTCGTGTGCGAGTTTGATCTTGTGTTTTTTCTTACTTGGTGTTTCGGCCATTTCGTATGTAGGTACGATGTTGGCTTCTGTGTTTTTTCTTGACGTTGTTCCCACTTGTTCCGCTTGCTTGGTGTTATCTTTGGGCCATTCTATTTTGGCTCCTATTCTATTTAATATGTCCATGCCGATCAGTATACTCGTGATTTGTGGATGATGTAATACTTGGTGGTTAATTGTTTTTCCTTTTATCTTTATTTCCAAGTCTAGTGCTTCTTTTATTTGAGTTGTGTGCCCATCTGTCATGCTAGCCGTTATGCTTACTGTTTTCGGTTTCCGGTTTCTTTTCACGAATTTGTTGTACACTTGGTCGTTGATGTTGATGTATGATCTTGTAGCGCCGGTGTCTACGAATGCTTGATATTTTTCGCCTAGTATCGATACATCTACGAATGGACGGTTATCTTTAATTTGCGGACTTGTGTTTATTGTCATGGATTGTGTGTACTCACTTGTTTTCTTACAGCACTGTTTACTCATTTTGCCGATCTTGCCACAACCGTTACAAAATAGTACCTTTTTGCTTCTGCAATCTTTCATCGAGTGTCCGTGTTTTCCACAGCTCCAGCAGCAAGTATTTGTGTTGTAATTGTGTATGTATGATGCCGTCTCCTTCTGTGCTTGTTTTGGGCTTGTTTCGTGGTAGTTATTTTGTGGTTCTCGTTCTGTGAAGCTAGTTTGACGTTCTGCTGTGACATTTTCATAGTCGTTTGCCAGTTGTATTAATTTGCTTACCGAGTCTGCTTCTGATTTCTTGATATAGTACTTGTATTTTGCGTTCATGTTTTCGTAGATTCTAGTTATTTCTTCCTCTTTTGACATTTTTGCGTATCTGCGCATGAGTGTTTGATCATTTACCGTCATCCGCAGACCAACCCCCCCCCCCTAATTTAGAATGACGTAATATATGGACGGCCCCTAAGCAGTAGGCAATATTATTGTCTAAGCATTGTTATAGTGTGCTCCACCATTCGACCTGAGGAAACACGCGGAGGTTTCAGTGTTTCAGTTTCAGACATGAGGCTAAGTTCCATTCATCAAAATTATTCCGCATAAACCATTGCTATCCCGAGTGCACAAGAAAGGCTGCAGTGCGGGAGGAATGGCGACGGATTGTGAGGCTTGCCACCGGACCTGGTGTGACGAGCACGGCCACTCTGGCAAGAGTGTGGCGACGAAGAAGAATCCCTAATGCAATGAGTATTCGTAAAGTATTTTTCTGCTAAACAAGGCTAGCCAGCACTTACCGGGTCGACCTCGTCCAGCAGGCCAGACTCCTGGAACTGCTCCATGTCCTCGGGCTCGCCGTCGTCGTCGTCGTCATCCGCATCGCCGCTCGCCGGCTCGCTGTCACCCGTGTCCGCCGCTTCCAGCGTCATTTCGCACACCTGATGGTGAATTTCTCGATTTTCAAGTCTTATGCTGGTTCAGACACGTGTCACACGTGCGACAACCGCGCGGTTTCTGAGTGAAGCTACCTATGGCGAGGCACTGAAGTGGTTTCATGTAAATGTACGAGAACTCCCCTGTAACTGCACGATTAACGCTGCGTCTAAACCAGGCCTTAGAAATTGTGTAGTACATTGACAGAATCATACTAATTAGATTTTTTTAAACTAATTCGTTTGCCATCAGATAAAAAAAGATTTCTAACATAACAGTTAAATGAACACTTAACAACAAGTGTAAAATAGTGTATGCAGTGCTTATTTTGTGTAGCAAAGATAGTCTCCTAAGTTATTTATCTCTATTGTTTAATAGTCATTAATTTAACTAACAAAAAATTTACAAATAAGAATTTGTAATCACCAACCAACTTATCAAAAATGGTAAACAGATGAACTAAGTGTGTTGATTTACCTTTTCTTCTATAGTGGGGGAGCCAGTGTTGTCGTAGTGATGTGTATCCACCCATCCTCCATCTGCATCATGCTCATCTTCTATCACTTTCTCTTTGTCTTCACAATATTCTATCTGAAAATTATTTATTTTACAAATAAAGGTCATTTCACACATAATAAAAAAGATTGAAACTTCAAGGATTTACAATAGGGGCTCAAATTCTCCAATCACCAGAGTCGCTGCAGGAGGCCTGTTGCGGCCTAGATAGGCTGCTTGCTTTCTGGGGCATCTGGTGTGGTTGGAGTAGGAAGATAAACCACAAATCGTGCATAATGGCCCAATTATGAGGCTAAGTGTGACATTTGATTGCCCTACAACACTAAACTAACAAACCCTATAGGTGTTATTGCACTTTACACTCTTCTTCTTTCTCGGTCCCTCACTGATGAGGATTGTGACCACAGATAGTGTTCCTCCACAGGCTGCGGTCATACGGTTTACACTCTTACTACCTTTTATTTCTCATAATTAACAGCACAGCCTCTACCTGTTTGCATCGCCTGTAGCATGGCACATTCCTAGTGATGAGGAACTGCTTGTCGGCAGGCAGGTAGGGCCGCACCTTGGCCTCCTCGCCCTTGGCCCACTGCCAGGTGGGGCAGTGGTGCACCAGGTGGTCGCCCGCCGCCACAAACTCCTCGGGGGTCAGCACACCAGTCTCGTGGAACTTGGACTCCTGTTTAAAATTAAATTGTGGTTAATAGTTTGTAGAAAAATGGTAATTTAGAATAAATTAAAAAAATTAGTTCAATAATACAGATTCATTCTAATTTCTTTTACATATCAACAAAGAAATAATAGCTGGAATAGGGTTATAAATAAATAATACTAGGTCATGATAACTTACATTAATCTTAATTAATTAATTAGGTACTGGGAAGTTTCCTAAACTCTTTGTTTAGGAATGCAAAGGTAAACAGAGTTGTGTGCGATAACATGCATGTAATTCACATCTACGCGACTAGCTGACATTGTAAGGATGGTAAACAAAGATAATGATGAATAGCAACAACGTATGCTGCACGAACCTTGAGCACCGGAGTCAAATACCCAGCCACCCCCAGAGCGGTGCCCTTTACTGTATTAATTACACTTTGCATTGTTTTAAAAAAATTGGTAAATATTAAAGCACCAACTAAAAACTCCAAGAAACGTTTTAAACTGATAGCACACACTCAAATCACAAAGAATTAAAATAATTTGGGTGCCGAAAAAGATACACGAAATTGACGTGACGAACGAAATTTTGACACTGACACATCTGGTCTGGGAAATTGACAGTAGTGACATATAGGAAACGTTCAGGAATAGAAGTTTTTTGTTGTATGGAGTCTACTAGTATTCATAGGCTGAACTTGGGCTGAACTAAGTATGCCTGTGCCTAAAAAAGAAGTAAAATAATGTCAGCTTGACAGCTAGTAGTGTCAAATAAATGTCACACCGACAAAAAATTTGGATTCGATTTTTGTACCATAGTTTTGGAAAAATAATGCACCATTTAGTCCAATACGAATTAGTTTAGCATTTTCAGTAAATTGTTTGTATACATCACTATGGAGGACGTTCTTGATGAAGTTGTATCTTCGGAAGATTTGCAAGTAAGCATTTTTGAAATGTTGTGCGTACGTGACTCATTTCTTGCGTTGTTTGCAATCATTGTTTCTTTTCATTATTTCTTTTGTCCTGTAGAAGTTCGAGAAAGTGTTTCATGAACAACTGCATCAGGGTAAAGTGACGCATAAGGCGCAGTTTGAGTACGCGTGGTGCCTGGTGCGCAGCAGATACCCCACCGACATCAGGAAGGTCTGATTCAACATTGTACTTTGTTGCTTAACACCACGTCATATTGATCCAATATTAAGTTTAAGTTGTAAGAGTGAAGCATACAATTATACATTAATTTCATAATTTTACAACTTATGCAGTTATTTATTTTGTTAGTTCTTTTGTTATGTTAGTGCACAACCTAAGTGTGTCTCATCATTATTAGTCATTATCATCTTATACCTAGCATAAATCTTGAAGGAAAATTGAATCAAATGAAGCAATGACATTCTATTTGGAATTGTACATTGTACAGAATACTTTATCCTAAACATTACATTTCAAATTGTAGTGTTTGTAATTTATTGTTTAAACAAACCAATTTTTAACCAATCTAAAAGTCCTTGGCAGAGGCAAATACACTCATTCCAACCAAATACAAACTTACTTCAGGACACAATAACTTCAGGACTTCTACAGTACCTAAATGTTGTTCATAAGTGCCAAAATATTTGTCTAAACTGAATAAAATATTTTGATTTGATTTGATTGTGTATTTCAGGGTATTCTGTTACTGAAAGAGCTATTTAACTCGCATCCGGATGGCAAACGAGACTACCTGTTCTACCTTGCCATTGGCAACGCAAGAATCAAGGAGTACAACAAGGCCCTGCACTATGTTAAGTCATTCCTTGAAATTGAACCAGCGAACCAACAAGTTTTGGCATTAGAGGTAATTTTATTATATTTTATCAATTTCTATGTTTAATACAACACCTCTCTCATTAGTCAGAGCTTCTCAAACCCTGTGTCAAGATTTCCCAGGGGCTTCTTTTATATTGGTTTGTGAGTCCATATATCTATGTAATCTAAGGGAATAACTGTAAAAATACCTTACATGGACAAACAAAGTTGCAAGGCAATTTCCTTTTCTATATACAAGTCAGTTTATAGAAGAGGAAAAGATGTGTTAAAATTTTATTGGCATCAGAAAAATTTAACTGACTAACTGCTATGTTTTTATGCTTTTGGTTGTTGGTATTGGATTTGTAACTGACATATTTGATTTTATATCAAAATTAATATATAACATAATATGATAAATTTATATTAGTCATTATTATCTTATCAGTTCTTGTACATTGTACAGGTGCTGTTGTACCATAGTACCACAGATAATATAATACTAGTANCCCTACCGACATCAGGAAGGTCTGATTCAACATTCTATTTTGTTGCTTAACACCACGTCATATTGATCCAATATTATTTTTTTAAGTTGTAAGAGTAAAGCATGCAATTACACATTAATTTCATAATATTATTAATTTTACAACTTAAGCAGTTAGTTGTTAGTTCTTTTGTTGTTATGTTAGTGCACAACCTATGTGTGTCTCATTATTAGTCATTATCATCTTATACCTACCACAAATCTTGAAGGAAAATTGAATCAAATGAAGCAATGTCATTCTATTTGGATTTGTACATTGTACAGATACTTTATCCTAAACATTATGTTTATTTATTTATTTAATAGGTACACCAACAAAGTCACATACATAATACAGTTATAAATTTTAACATGGTTTAACACATGATACATACATATGACCTCAATTACAGGTATACACAGCATTTCTTTTTGCAATGTTAGGGTAATTATACACTAGTAAAAACAAAAATCAATTGAATAGAGTTTAGAGTTTAATGTTTCACATTATAAAGTGTTGTATTGTTTAAACAAACCAATTTTTAACCAATCTTATAGTCCTTGGCAGAGGCAGATACACTCATTCCAACTTACTTCAGGACACAACAATAACTTCAGGACTTCTACAGTACCTAAATGTTGTTCATAAGTGCCAAAATATTGGTCTAAACTGAATAAAATATTTTGATTTGATTTGATTGTGTATTTCAGGGTATTCTGTTACTGAAAGAGCTATTCAACTCGCATCCGGATGGCAAACGAGACTACCTGTTCTACCTTGCCATTGGCAACGCAAGAATCAAGGAGTACAACAAGGCACTGCACTATGTTAAGTCATTCCTTGAAATTGAACCAGCGAACCAACAAGTTTTGGCATTAGAGGTAATTTTATTTTATTAATTTCAATATCTAAGTCAGAGCTTCTCAAACCCTGTGTCAAGATTTCCCAGGGGCTTCTTTTCTATCAAATAAAGGTATCAGGTTTATGATTACATTTTATGTGATCAAAGGGAGTAACTGTAAAAATATTGGGAAAGCACTAGCAAAGTTGCATGACCAGACTAATTAATTCCAAAAAGTCTAATGAAATGGTAAGTTAATAGAATAGGAAAAAGATGTATGTATTTATTTTACTGACATTGGCAAAATTATTATAATAATTCTAACTGCTATTTTATGCTTTTTTTTGTTGGTATTGAATTTGGAATTTAGATTGTAACTGACATATTTGACTTAATATCAAAATTACCTAATGTACCTATTATAATAATGATAATTTATTTCAGTCATTGTTATCTTATCAGTTCTTGTACAGTCACGGAATGAAAAGGTTCGTCAGTTTTCAAATTGATTCCTTCAACGAATCGCGAGCACATATTACCTTTTGAAACTATGTTACAGAATAATCTCGAGTTAGAGAAAATAATCTTTAACTGTTCGTCAGTAAAGTTCAAAATTATTCAGATCAAAATTGTTTGACGATTTATCTTGTCAAGAAGATTATTATGATTGATAAACTAAAACCTTCTTGTTGGTTTAACCTGCCATTATTATTTCTTTTAAATAAAAAAAAAACTATTGTCAATTGGTCCATTGCATTGCACTGATGGGATAGAAAAATAAACAAGCAAAACCTTATTCGTTAGTAAACGTCATAATTATTTATTTAAATGTTAGCAGCACTGTTTCTTGCACTGTTATGTTGGCAGGTTTGACTCTTACAGTACCTAGTGCAAGCGAAAACCGACACTAAGGTGACGAACCTTTTCATTCCGCGACTGTACATTGTACAGGTGCTGTTGTACCATAGTATTATTTATCAAACAGAAGCAGTTTATTGCATTGTGTTGTGCATTGGGTATAGTTTTTCAATCACTATTCTATTTTTGTATTAATCAGTCAGTCATGAACTTTTATTTCCAATTCTCTTTTCTGAACTCTCTTGATGTTCATATCAATGGTGCTAAATTAAGTGCTGCTATCGTTATTGTACTTAGTATTGTAATCCTACGTGTCCTTTATAAGGTGCTTGCTTTTGCATTATGATGCAATTTATTTAAAAAATATACACATATGTACTTTTATTGAGCGAGTTTAGTTAGACTTTGTGTTGGACTCACTCCTAGCAAGCATAATTTTACTTGGAGGAGTTATCACGGATATGAATAGTTTGTTTATCACTTAGATAGATATCCCAGTTCCTTTTTTAACTAAGAGATGGCGCTGTCCACACGCTACGCCGCGGTGGTGCGTGACACTTATCGTGTGGCGCTTGTTTTCAGCGGCAGATCAACAAACGCATGGAGAAGGAGGGTCTGATCGGCATGGCGGTGGCGGGCGGCGCCGTGTTGGCGCTGGGAGGTCTCGTGGGGCTCGGCATCGCGCTCGCATCCAGCAAAAAATAGCATTTGGCCTTCCTGTGAGTAACATTGCCTACAATAGAGTAGAATCTAATATAGATGGTAGATAGATACCACATTAATTGTTTTAGTTGGTGGTGGAAAAATCTTCACAATTTTTTAAAGAAGCTTTTAGAAAACTTTTGCAGTATTTTTTGAACAAACTACTTTTAAATTGCGACTAAACCAAGTTTTTAACTAGATTTGGGTTCAACAAGTTACTCTTTTAATTATGAGTTCTCATTTGCAAAAAAAAAACAAGTTTCATCTATGAATCACTTTTTTTTATATTTTTATTTTGCTTCAACTCTATGCTGTTAATACGAAAGTGATAAAGTTTACTTACTTTTATCAACTTATCTTAGTAAAAAAAATATTCAAGTTTAGGCAGATGAATTGACAATACCTGGGAATTGTAGAAGTTGTGTTGGTAGTAGAGTAGTGATGTAATGTAATACTTTGTAGATTTTGAAACAGATGTCGCTCTTTTTAAGGACAATGAAAACTCAATCAATAAATGCACAGCTTAATTAAGACACGGTTGGTACTAAGTATACGTATAAGAATACGCTCTTATTGCGATAGGGTTTATTATAACATTAAATTAGTTAAAATAAGTAATATTTAACGTTGTTGCAGTGTGAACGCACTCATAGGCGTTCATTGCTTCCTCAAAAAGAAGAAAGACACCAAACCAGAGTAGAGGGCGCCACTGTCGCAACATCACACGTCACACAGCTTTCAGTGTGCATTAGAATAGACTTTTTATTGTACAAATATCACTTAAGATTTAAAAAAATACATAAAAAATGTTCTCTACGCAAACCAAAACGTGTTTCTGTCGATAAGGGTAGTTTAGTATTTCTATGAATATTATAGATGTTATTTATGTGATAAATGTGAAATGTATTTATTCCTTTAGCTTTAGGCACTACTCTATAATTTAAGAGCATGATCGATTTAATATTTAAAAGAAAATTGTCAATATTCCATTAAATAAATTTGTTTTGTTTTAGATAGATGTTTTATACTTTCTTGTATCTTGGTGATGGGTTATATCAAATTGTAGAAAGTAGATTTGTAATTTTAAAAATAAACCTTATTAAAACCAATTGAGAGCTGGACTGAAAATCAAACTACCGAATTTCAAAACAATTATTTTTATTTATTCTCGTATAATAATGATGTGAAGCGGCGTACAGCTAGTACACTAATGTACACAATGGCAAAGGCGTGTCCATTCGTAAAACAATGCAAATTAACACGTTACCTTCTGCGTATGGCTAGGGTCATTACGGTGCAAAAACAAGGATTATCTTATTAAAATGGCAACTTATAGCAACGTAAAAGTACCCTCGTTTTCAATATAAGTTATCCCTGCGCCTCTGTTTGGCGTCGATACAAAACAGAAGAAATGAAAACGCATGACAATTTAGTAAATTATCAATTGGACAAGACAACAAACAAAAGATTTAACGAGATCACGAAATCGAACTAAATCAATCAACTGAGTATTGAAAATTTAGTTTTCATTCATATGATTTAATCAGAAAAAATTAAGTCGCTTAAAATTACCGGTGGTAAATATTAAGTCAAAATGTTGAAATCAACTATCTATTCAAATACACCAACCAGGGTTAAGATAAATTTGTGCTCGCTATGAAGCGCTAACGTTTGTGTCGCGCCGTGTCGTGGCATGGGTGTTACATATCGCAAAATCCCATAAGTTTATACAAATTATGATTGTAGAAGAAATGTTATTCAACGTTCAAAACGACTAAGATAAACTGATGAAATGTTGCGTGTTTTTTATGTAACAAAGATACCACAACAGATTTAGCAGCAACATTATAGTATAAGAAATGTAACAAAATGAGTTTTACATGAGCAGTCATGCTAATGAGGTATAGTTGTACAATAAACATAAAAAAAACTAAATGCGAACTTCCAAAGTTCTTAAGGTAACTAAAAATAAGTATTATACAAGACCGTAAAGATCGACTTAAAGTCTTAACTATTATATGTTTCACTGGTACAATAATATTTTGCAGAGTCAACAACTGTACAGTGCGTACAAGTTACATCGAGTTTGATTCGTGGTCAAACAAATTTGACCATAATTATATTAAAACAGCGTCTGTTTTTCAACATTCGATGCAACTTAAATATTTGGCACTGTAACTTATTTTATCTGTGAATGAGTGTGTTCTGAAAAAATATATACGTATTTATTTCTTAATCACATTCTGGTAACTGACTATTGGTTAATATTTATGTATGTCGTGCAAATATCTATTTTTTATTCGTATTTGTATTTTATGCGGTTACACACGGATTATTTTGGTTGCAGGATGTATTTAGGGTAACATTCACACTAAAATAATGTAAATGTTGCCCTATCATCTACTAGTATTTTTGCATCTGCTATTATGAAGACGAGCCAACCAAAGCAACACGTATGTAACAATATTATAATAATGTACTCACAGAGCAATCTAAATAAAGAAGTGTATTCTATACCAACTAAATAATTAATGAAGCACTCTTCTCTAAACAATCAAAACTTATATACAGTCAAAAATCACTATGGCAACACTGTAAACTGTCAACAAGGTTATAATAAGTACGCAAACCAAACAGACTTAACTCGACAAATCTCACTAACACACTAAACAAAATTATTAACCCGTAGCTCTTACACTAGGATGCACGTCTATGAAGTCTTTGGGGACACTTCCTGTTACGTAACTGTGAATACACCCTTAGAAAATATACTTAACAAGATGTATTTGAAATATTTACTGTTCGGTATTAATTGGGAAGACTGCTAACTAATTTAATTAAATGTCCCTTAATATTGTTTTTAAAAATAAATAATTTATCGGGACTAATTTATCATTTAATCTCTATTATTGTGTCACAAAAAATTCATAGACGTCAAATATCTCTCATATAAAAGGTTAAATGCTTCACCTATTGCTCTAAATGCTTAAATAATGTGAATTCTAATGCTTAGGGAAGTAAATATATTCTTGTGACTTCACTTACAAATAATCTTACAATATACTAAATAACTATAACATTGTACTCTAAAAAATATGTATAAGTATTGAAGGCTAACTTGAGATTGTAATCACAGTAATTGTTATTTAAGTAACGAGCCCACATCATTACCACAAAATAAACCTTCTTGTTACTATTACAAGGTTCATATTTGTTCGCAAACCAACACAAACCGTTCACTACCCACAATCTATTTACACGTATCCGAAGGCAACATCAAGGTATACTTTATTTATTGCTTTTGTTTCTATTTGTTTATATTATTATGTACTATACATATCACCTCATTTTATATACATTGTCATACATGCTCAATAAGATTTGTCAACGGTCAATTTGAACTTTACACGTATATGCGCGGGCGCCTGCGCGCGGCGCTCCTTGGGTATACTCAGTCTCAAGGAGTTGAACTAAACGTTTGTAGATGTCAAAACATGATCTAAAAATTTAATTCTCATTCATTTATTATCGTTAAAATTATTATCGTGGTATAATTTGTAATGCGTCTCAACACACGCACTTATTATTTAACAATATTAACATTTTAAGCTCTGTCATGTTCTTTCGTATACAAAGATATCAATATAGTATTAGTTAGTGTGCTTGATATAGAGGGTATGTAATACTCGCTACGTGACACAGACTACCGTCGTCTAGTGAGTGCGCTTCTATACAAAGTAACGGTTACCGAGTATCTACGGGCAGCACTAACAATGACCTAATGACTTGCATATATTTACCTACGATATACTCTATATAGTATATATATAAATGCAATCTGCAAAATGCATAAAACAACAGTTATTTATATCTATAAATTGTATAAAATATTAAATAAAATCTATTGAAGTGAGGTAGATGGATGGAATTTCACAATTTGTGTGGATATTTTTTTTTATTTATAACGTCGCCGCATTGGCCCAAATGCTGAGGTAGATGGATGGAATTACTATGTAAGAGGCCCTACTATGTGACAGGGACCTTACATTCACAATACAAAACACTACTCACTAGTTTTTTAAACTACTAAAACAATCTCACGAACAAGTGGCGAGTCGACGATACTATCTAGTGTGTACTCGGGTCTACGTGACGAGATGGGTCTGTGACGTCGATCAAGTGCCCAAAAGTGCACTAAAGGCAATTGCATCTCAACTCCTGACTGAATGAATGCGACAACCTATTATCCAACAAAAGTATCGCCGACGAGCTCTGTACCAACACGCCTTCTAAACTTCTCATCTGATCCAGCAAAACATTTGAACAAGAACCAAACCGACATCTGCCGCGGGCTCACACCGTATATCCTAACGTTTAATTTACATTACATTATTGGAAATGGCACCAACGACATTCCACGGGTCAACAATTAAACCGCAAAACGAATCAGCTAATGACCACAAAACATAACACTCAAGCACCGTTTGAAATACCTTCAACAAAACATTGTCCTATCTGTGTTACTCGTAGTCTACGCGACTAATCCAACACGCCTACCGTAGCATCGGGATTTCATGAGGACGCGTTCTTCTGCTCGTCCTCGGAGTAATCCCCCTCGTCCTGCCCGCTGTTGTCGTGCTCCTGCTCCGAGTTGTTCGTCCTGTTCCTGTCGCCGTCATTGTAGTCTTTGCTCATTTCCCTGTCAGTCATGTCGTTTTTGTCGGTGTCCATTTCGCACATGCTGTCGTTCCGCTGGCGCTCCTTGCCGAGGTCGAGGGGCTCGTCGGAGTTGCGCATGATGTCGGGTTTGCTCATGTTCTCGGTGTACTGCCGCTGCATCTGCTTCAAGAAGCGCTGGTGGGCGAGGGTGTGCGTGTGTGTCGGAGGCAGGGAACCCATTTGGGGAGACGGTTCATCGTAGGTTTTCCTGTCCATGTTTATAGCTGTCATTTGTGCTAGTTTTGCTGCGTTCATACCTAGGAATAAAAAAGTTGATTAGTATTTCCGTCACTGTCAAAAGGGCGCTTATTTGGCGTAATAACCCCTATGTTGGTACCCGCTGAAAACCGGCTTCTTGACTTGACGACTTGTGTCATGTCATGATTTTCGCAGAGCGGGGCGCCTTTTCAGCATGGCTCAGTAATTTAACCTCTGTACATGTATGCAAATAAATGTTAATGCTGAATAAAAGTTCTATTCTATTTACAGTTACTTTGGTGAGGTACACCATACAAATCGTGTCAGATCAGAACACTAACCGAATAGGTTTTCTCCAAAATACTGCATGTAGGTGTCGAGTATGGCGGAGTTGCCGTAGTGCGGCGGGTAGTCGTCGTGCTTGAGGCCGGCCAGCCCGTGCGGCAGGCTCTCCACCGCCTTGGCCGTCACCGCGCGCACGGCAGGCACCTTCGTGATGGTCGTGTTCGCCAGGTTGTTTATATCTGGAGTAGAAAGAAACGGTTAAATGGTTTCGAATTCTAAATTATATTTTTCTCACTATTCCATGTGTAAACACGGTGACGAGTTGCAGGCATGCAGTCTATGTAGTTCGTTCGTTTTAGCCAAAGGCCAAACTACTGAACAAAGGCCTCCCCAAGGATTTCCACAACAATCGGTCCTAAGCATTCAGGTACTACCCGCGACCTTCATTCACATACACATAGTGGGAGGCCTGTCCAAACTACGCTACCATACCATTGCTGTTTCATTAGGTATTTATTGGGAAATAGCTGACACTGGCGTTAAAGACTGTCTGTTGTTCTACCTTCGTAAGATCTTCTGGTATCTACTCCCTGCGATCTTCACCAGTTCATCGGTTCATCTAGTCACTAGTGGGAAGCATGCCCATACACTACGCTACCATACCATTGCTGTTTCATTAGGTATTTATTGGGAAATAGCTGACACTGCACTGGCGTTAAAGACTGCCTGTTGTTCTACCTTTGCAAGATCTTGTAAATGATTGAGTGGATCAAATATTGGGTCAACTTACGAGGCGGGGACACGGGCACGCTGTCCTGGTAGCGCGACTGGCTGAGGTCATCGTTGTCGTTGTCGCCGCAGATGGAGCTGGTCTCGGAGGCAGCGGACTTGGCGTCCAGCTTGATGTCGGAGCGCCGCGGGCCGGTGGGTGACGCGCGCGCTCGTAGCTGCTCGGGAGACACCTTCACGCCGGCTTTGGCTAGGAGTCTGGAAGAAGGATGTGTTTTAGTGTTTGCTGGAATATTTTATATCAAGCGACACTGATTGTTTGGGTAGTCTGGAAGATAGGGATGTTTTTAGTGCTTGTTGCAAGTAGAGATTGTTTGGGCTAGTGTCTTGTTTTAAAACCGAAACCATATGATTGTCTGGATTCGTAAATATTCATTTATTGGCTGCTGGACTATTGTGGTGGGCTTACCCACTCCTAGCACAAGCTAGCTATAAATATTTTTGATAACTTAGCTAGAGGGGTGGACGTGTCTTCGTGAATTAGTATTATTTTTACGAGTACAGTAAATCAAATCACTTTTGAGAAGATTGAAATACTCGTATAGCCTTAATGATAGGGAGTTACAGCTATAACATGCTGCCATCTAAAACTGTCTCCCACTGGAAATGTTCTGAAGTGGGTTTGAAGGTCAAGGTTGACCTTTGAATTTCCCATGACACTCACTGGCTGGCCAGCTCGGGGTCGAAGCGGGTGGGCATCTGCAGCACGGGCAGGTCCTTCGTAGAGATGCCGCGGTGTTGCCGCGACATGTGCGAGTGCAGCGAGTTGCGCGACTTCGTTAACTTCAAGGTTGACATGTAGTTTCCCATGATACTCACTGGCTGGCCAGCTCGGGGTCGAAGCGGGTCGGCATCTGCAGCACGGGCAGGTCCTTCGTAGAGATGCCGCGGTGTTGCCGCGACATGTGCGAGTGCAGCGAGTTGCGCGACTTCGTTAACTTCAAGGTTAACATGTAGTTTCCCATCATACTCACTGGCTGGCCAGCTCGGGGTCGAAGCGGGTGGGCATCTGCAGCACGGGCAGGTCCTTGGTGGAGATGCCGCGGTGCTGCCGCGACATGTGCGAGTGCAGCGAGTTGCGCGACTTCGCTACCGTTCCGCAGAGCACGCAGCTGTAAAGCACATAAAAGTTGTTGGAAGCAGAAAAATATCACAGGACATTTAGTGTCTGCTGCAACAATTCGACTCTCTTCAATTTACTAGAGACAAATGGAGGAGCAAGGTTGCGAGAGATTTCAAATCTACATTTTGGTATTGCTTTTCAGTTTCTGTTTACATCGTTTGATGTTATGTGATTTCTGGGCAGATTGAGAGTAAAATACCGAGACCATTTATATTCTGGACATCACACAAGGTCAACAGTCAGAATTTGGATCAGGATATTTTAGAAGACTTTGTCAGATGCTCCTATTTCATTCATGTAAATTATTTTCCTTCTGAATGGTAAGTCCTGGTATCCCTCTAGCCAGATGACAGCCAGAATTGCAAAAACCGTGTCATTCCCATGGGACCATTAAGTGAAAAAACATAGATCGGAGTAGGATTGCCAGGTCCAAAAACGCAAAAGCCGGACTCTGTGCTTCATTTGGCCGGACATTTTACCCTAAAAGCCGGACTTGTGACTGGGGGGGGGGGGGTGCAATTAGTGTCATAGCTCACGAGTGAGTACTATCATCATCGGTTGCCCAACGTCCTGATCTGCGCTTCATATTATTCTGTGGCTCGACGCTCTTCCTGGCGCGGCAGCCTAATAAAAGCCGGACAGGCCGGACACCATTTATTTTGGCCGGACACGCAATCAAAAAGCCTAACTATGTCCGGCTTTATCCGGACGCCTGGCAACCCTAGATCGGAGGGTCTAATAATGAGATATAGCGTGTCCTCACCGGTATCCCGGGCAGACAGTATGCTTGTCCTCCAGATGCGTGCGCAGCGTGTGCGCCGAGCGGTAGATCTTCCCGCACTTGGGGCACGGGCGCGGGTCGGTGGCTCGCACGCGCAGCAGGTCTTGCGTACGCCGGCAGCCGCCTGCGACAATGAACCTTATTGTTAACATGCCTAGGGCTCAAATAGAGAGACAGTAACGGAATTAATGAGGGCTATCGTTTTAGCGCTCACCAGTTAGCGCCACTGTAGAGTAAGGTCCTGTCACTTTCTAGTAGCGAGGACAGTGGCGCCAACTTGTGAGCGCTAAAGTGGTAGGAGGACTATCGTATTTGCACTCATCAAGATGGCGCCACTGTAGAGTAAGGTCCTGTCAATCGCCAGGGGTGCCAACTGTTAAGTATAAAAACGATAGCCCTCATTGAAGCGACTCAGGTTAATCCTTACCTTTTCATCGTTAGCTACGGGTGTNCAGATTAAAGAGGCCTAAACTGCCGAATTCTAAATTATATTTTTCTCACTATTCCATGTGGAAACACGGTGACGAGTTGCAGGCATGCAGTCTAGTTCGTTCGTTTGTTCCTTCGTTTTAGTCAAATGAGCAGTCAACTGCTGAACAAAGGCCTCCCCAAGGATTTCCACAACAATTGGTCCTCAGGTACTCCCCGCGACCTTCACCATCGTCGGTTCACCTAGTGGGAGGACTGTCCACACTACGCTACTACCATACCATTGCTATCTCATTAGGTATTTATTGTGAAATAAGCTGACACTGGCGTTAAAGACTGTGTCTGTTGTTCTACCTTCGTAAGATCTTCTGGTATCTACTCCCTGCGACCTTCACCATCGTCGGTTCACCTAGTGGGAGGCCTGCCCATACTACGCTACCATACCATTGCTGTTTCATTGGGTATTTATTGTGAAATAAGCTGACACTGTCGTTAAAGACTGTCTGTTGTTCTACCTTTGCAAGATCTTGTAAATGATTGAGTGGATCAAATATTGGGTCAACTTACGAGGCGGGGACACGGGCACGCTGTCCTGGTAGCGCGACTGGCTGAGGTCGTCGTTGTCGTTGTCGCCGCAGATGGAGCTGGTCTCGGAGGCGGCGGACTTGGCGTCCAGCTTGATGTCGGAGCGCCGCGGGCCGGTGGGCGACGCGCGCGCTCGTAGCTGCTCGGGAGACACCTTCACGCCGGCTTTGGCTAGTAGTCTGGAAGACAGGAATGTTTTAAGTGTTTGCTGGAATATTTTATATCAAGCGAGACTGATTGTTTGGGTAGTCTGGAAGATAGGGATGTTTTTAGTGCTTGTTGCGATGTTTTATAGCTAGTAGTGATTGTTTGGGCTGGTGTCTTTTGTTTTAAGACAAAAACCATATGTCTGGATTTGTAAATATTCCTATATTGGCTGCTGGACCATTGTGGTGGACATATGCCCATTTTCACCATCAATCCTTAATTTTTAAACGACCCCTATGAAAACAAAATGCCTGTTATGTGTTACCATCACTTAAAAATTAGGGATTGATGGTGAAAACGGGCATTATCCTCTCCTAACACACCTAACACAAGCTAGCTTCTAAACTGGACTATTGTGGTGGACTACCCTCTCCTAAACTAGCTTCTAAACATTTTAGATAGCTTAGCTAGAAAGGTTGTATACCACACATTTCTAGGAATATTAAATTGAAGTACTTTTGAGATTTGCCACAAAATGCTGCCATCTAAAGATTGCTCCCTGGGTTTGTAGGTCAAGGTTGACCTTTGAATTTCCCATGATACTCACTGGCTGGCCAGCTCGGGGTCGAAGCGGGTGGGCATCTGCAGCACGGGCAGGTCCTTGGTGGAGATGCCGCGATGCTGCCGCGACATGTGCGAGTGCAGCGAGTTGCGCGACTTCGTTAACTTCAAGGTTGACATGTAGTTTCCTATGATACTCACTGGCTGGCCAGCTCGGGGTCGAAGCGGGTGGGCATCTGCAGCACGGGCAGGTCCTTCGTAGAGATGCCGCGGTGTTGCCGCGACATGTGCGAGTGCAGCGAGTTGCGGGATTTCGCCACCGTCCCGCAGAGCACGCAGCTGTAAAGCAAGCAAAGTTGTTGTAAACACAGAATAATATCAGCATCGGGATATTTAGTGTCCACTGCAACCATTTGACCCTCTTCAATTCACCAGAGACAAATGGAGGAGCAAGCTTGCGAGAGATTTCAAATCTACATTTCTACCTCTATTTCTATTTCTGAGTTTCTTGCGCTGCTTCTTCTCAGCACTGGCCCATTTATTGTCCTGAAGCAGTGGTAGGGCTAATACTGGGACATGTAAAAGTGCTTTTTTAAAGCGTACTTACAGAAATAAATGAGTTTTACTGAGTTTTTTACTACCTTCTGGTATTGCTTTTCAGTTTCTGTTTACATCGTTTGATGTTATGTGATTTCAGGGCAGATTGGGAGTAAAAATACCGAAACCATTTTTATTCTGGACATCGCACAAGACCAGTCAGAATTTGGAACAGGATATTTTAGAAGTTTTTGTCAGATGCTCTTTTTTGATCGATGTAGGTAGATGATTTTTCTTTTGGATAGTAAGGCCCGCCATACACGGACAGCTTGAGCAGTTAGTCAGTGATCAACATACACGGACCACTCTTGTAGTCAAGAGTCAACAGCTTGAAGCTGCCAGTGATAACTGCTCGAGCAGTTGGTATTAACTGCTCAACAAATCACAAGCGCGCGCGCCGTGGAATGAAGAAAGTGGGCGGAGGTAACTGCGTGAGAGCTGTCGACAGATCGAGCAGTCAGTGTACGGCTGGCGACTGCTTGACCGCACGATGAAAATTCACTGTGCTGTCGACCGCCCGAATCAGTTGCAACTGCTCAAGCGGTTCGTGTATGTGCGTCCATAGAACTCTGCAGTTCACTGTGCAGTCGCAGCTTGAAGCTGTCGACCCTGACTGCTTCAAGCGGTCCGTGTATTGCCGGCCTAAGTCCTGGTACCTGGTATCCCTTTGGCCAGACGACAGCCAGGAAAGAAAACCATGTCATTCCCATGGGACCATTAAGTGAAAAAATATAGATCGGAGGGTCTAATAATGAGATATAGCGTGTCCTCACCGGTATCCCGGGCATACAGTATGCTTGTCCTCCAGATGCGTGCGCAGCGTGTGCGCCGAGCGGTAGATCTTCCCGCATTTAGGGCACGGGCGCGGGTCGGTGGCTCGCACGCGCAGCAGGTCTTGCGTACGCCGGCAGCCGCCTGCGACAATGAACCTTATTGTTAACATGCCTAGGGCTCAAATAGAGAGACAGTAACGGAATTAATGAGGGCTATCGTTATAGCGCTCACCAGTTAGCGCCACTGTAGAGTAAGGTCCTGTCACTTGCTAGTAGCGAAGACAGTGGCGCCAACTTGTGAGCGCTAAAGTGGTAGGAGGACTATCGTATTTGCACTCATCAAGATGGCGCCACTGTAGAGTAAGGTCCTGTCAACCGCCAGGGGTGCCAACTGTTAAGTATAAAAACGATAGCCCTCATTGAAGCGACTCAGGTTAATCCTTACCTTTCCATCGTTAGTTACGGGTGTTAATGCCTACGATCGTGTACTAAAACAAATCGTTCTACTTGGTAGTTTTATTGTTTATGTATTTATATAAGCAGACACTTTCTTCGGGTAAAAATTAAATTATTACGTATATATCGTATCACTAATACAATCGCAACTAGTATCGTTTACTCACATTGAACATTTGGTTATTCAAGACTAATACATAATATATTGTACGCTTAAAATTACAGTAAGATATACGAGATTGCCTCTCAGGCGTCAGGAACAATTTCATCTACTCGCTAAGTTTAATAACCAATATCTTTATTATTTTGGAGATCTATGTTGCGGTTCCTATCGCATATATTTTAAAGGCAACTTTTTGTGAACTACATGCGTTTTGCGAGCTCAGTTATCTGTCAGCCCAACGCTTTGCTCAGGCAAATGATTGTTTTGAATCGTCATCAAAAATTTCGCAGTGATATTTCTGCGCTAACTCACGTTCTCCTCATGAGTGTATTGCTAGAGTATTTCTTAATTCATCGTTTGTTTTGTTTTGACTGAGAAAAACGCTGACGCTGAAAAATATGTTTAAACTCCTATTGTGTAAAACAGACACCCACACTTACAACTATTGACTGAATGATATATCTTTCGATTTAGTCCGTCGCTACACCGATTATAGTTTTCTTTGTCACTATCGTCGAGCTCCGCGCAGAACGTGCGTTTGCGCAGGGTCCGTTACTCTCGTAGAAATAGATCTTTATAAGGCTAAATATTCATTATTGCATTGGAATCGCCTACATTAATATAATTCTATATACTTATTACCATAAATATAAATGTTTAAAAACTGAGTCCAGTCTATTAGTATCTAACATTAAATTTTATATCGTTGTTTACAACAAAATGTATACACTAAAATATACTTTTCGCTTGGTGTTTATCGATACGAAAATATATGCGAATGGAATAGTCTATTTACATAAAAGTTTAAATAAATCCCTCTTGTATTTTCGTATGTTTGTCTACGTTGACTAGATATGTTTTAGATTGTGCACTTGCGTAAATGGCGTCATGAACAATTTTCGAAAATAAATACTCTATCATTGGAAGAAACACATCCTTAACTATTGCGTTTGAAGGCATTACATTTGTTACTTATATTTCGTATTGTCTTATCTATGGTCGAAATTAGAGTCACGGAAGAAGACGCGGTACGATGGCTTTCAGCGCGAACGTTCGCATGAAACACGATTCTACGACACTACTACAGTTCCTGAAGGGTTCTATTCTACGGGAGACCGACGAAAACCATGGTACCGACAGGAGAGGAAGAGCGGCGGATGTCCCGCCGGCGCTGAACACATTCGTCACTTTAAAGCTCAGTTATAAAATGTCACATACAAACTTTACCGCAAGGATTCTTCAGGACGGGACATCTCGCCGGGAGAAATAGCCTCCATAAATGATCAAGAATCGAAGCAACAATGGAAGTTAGACACTCAGGAAGTCACGAGAATGATCGACATTCTTAGTTGCACTTCGTAATCTATCAATGGCACCAATCATCACATGTCATAATGCGCTTACATTATATCCTTACTTAAACAATATTAATATCAGTCTATTCTACTACAAAAATAATTTTCAGTCGATTTATCCTACCGCTTTATACAATACTTATGAACATGACACCGAAATATGAAAATGCATCCTGGAGATCATTGACTCTGATTTTATGTGGTAAAATTATAAGCCCCACTTGTAGTTCCGTTTCACAGCCGTTTTTCAATGTAAACGTCCAGCGCGCGCGGACGGCGCCCGCGGGCTCACGGGGCCCAGCCGCAGCTCCACTTGAGCGTCTTCATGCGCTCCCACTGGCGCCGGTGCTTGATGCGCATGTGGTTGCGCACCGAGTTGGGGTGCGCGAAGTAGCGCGCGCACTCCGCCACCGGGCACACCGGGCTGTCGCGCGGGTAGTGCGCCTCCAGGTGCCGCCGCGCCAGCGCCAGCGACGCCAGCGCCGCCGAGCACAGCGGGCAGCGCAGCGCGCACCCGGCGCCCGCCTCGCCCAGCCACGCCGCCCACGGGCCCTCGTCCGGGACGCTATCGCCCGCCGGGTTTGCCAACGCGCCCCGCGCCGCGGCATCTGCAATGCCGACAGCACCATATTACTCAAGCATTCGGCGAAGCGGTTGGCAAACCCGGCGAGACCCTAACCCCTAACGACCGCAATAAACTCTCTAAAAATACGTCATATTAAATACAATATATCGATATACGGTTCCGTTACGTCTTCGTTCGCGTAGGTCCATTGGCACAACTGTTCCTATTATTGTACGAGCGTGGTGTTCCCGTGACGCCGGCGGTCACCACCAGGCGCCGAGCGGGAGCGCGGGGGGCGGGGGCCGCTCGGCGTCGCGCCGTCTCTAAGAGTTCTGCCGCTGGCGGATGCCGTGCGCTTGCAGCTGGTGGTTGATGAGGTAGTGCTTAGTCTTGCACTTCTTGCCGCAGTGCTGGCAAGGGAACCACTGGTCGCGGTCCGTCTGCGAGTGCACATTGAGCATATGCTGGCGCAGGTTGGAGGTGGACGAGTACACCCGCCCGCACAGGGGGCACTGCGGCCGGTAGCCCATCGCCGCCCCGCCCGCGAGAGCCGCCCCTGTAACACAGAGGCGGCGGTTAGACACAGTCATCCGGTAAAATCGTTTAAGCGCTATTGTGAGTGTATCGTTCGCAGTATTCGGCGGACGGGGCGGGGTCGCGCCTCCTCTGTTTGACGCCGTGTATGGAGTTCATGTGTATCTGCATGTACTGGCGCGTCTTGAAGGCCTTGCCGCAGACGGCGCAGCAGTGCGCCAGGCCGTGCGCCGCGTGCACGTTGAGGATGTGCTGCTTGAGGTTGCTGTTGTTGCTGTACAGCTTGCCGCACTCGGGGCAGGCGGGCTTGAGCGCCGGCTCACCGTTTCCGTAGGGCGGCGCGGCGGCGTAGGGCGCGTAGGGCGGCCGCTCCTCTGCCTTAACGCTCGGCTTGGCCTCCGCGCCGGCCGGCCAGGTCGCTCCTGGGGCAGACGAGGTCGCTTCAGTGCTCGCTCCTAGACCCTATGCGTGACGCCCTCAACGCGGCCTAGCCTAACTTCCATTGTTGCTATTCCTACTCGAATATTATTCATTGGGGCAAAACGATGAATTTATCTAACGGTTTATTGGAGTAATTAAGTGCTTAGGTACTGTTCTCGTTATTTAATTGTTAGTGTTGTTTACAGCATGCGTTACATGACTCAATAATGTACAATACAATTAATGATACACTTGATTTCTTTGTTCGTGAACCGTCATTATTAAATATAAGATTAGAATTTATTAATTCTGGTAATTTTAATTGCTTTTTCATTGCGGACGCGTACACGCATTTGTGGTGGGTATTTATAACTGTTGTCATCATCAAGTCATGTGAAAAGTTAAGCATTAGAGGTGCAAATGAAATGTAACTCACCATAATTATCTGGCATTCCTGACGGTCCGGGTAATCCGGGAAAGCCTGTGGGAAACGTCATAAATTAATCGCAAATCAACTTCATTTTAATTGAGGAAAAGCAATGAATGTTGTATTAGGTTTTTTCCTTTACTGTGCGTTGTTGTTACCTGGCAAATTAAGAAGTCCTGGGAAGTTGTGGGGGAGGGATCCGTTGGTGTTGGCCATGGTGGCGGGGTCGTCGTAGTCCAGAGGTTCCTGCTTGGCACGCGTCTCTCCCTCCGTGTCACTCGCACCAGCGTCTGATGATGACTCTTCTCCATCACCAGACTGTAAAAGGAACATAGTGTAAAATGCGACTTTTAACGCTTAAAAATTTTGAAAACTAGATAGATAGATAGATAGATAGTCATTTATTGTCAAAACTGTGCATACATTGTTGTTACATGGATGTTAAATAACACAGGAACCGACAGTTTGCCCATTTCGGACGTACAATATAGGATTGTTTTGTTCAGAAAAAATAGTCTCGAATCCAAAGAATTCAGATGAAGTCTGAAAACTTACCAAGTTATTAGAGACTCCTGATAAATGCGCGGTTTGCACGTTGTCTAGTGTCTGTCCGAATAGTGCTAGTTCGTGTCCGTTTGTCCCTAAACGTTCTGGACTGCCTGTAGCTGCCAGCAATTGTTCTGTCCTGTAAAAATAACTTTTTTAAGTAGGTAAACATAATATCCAGGAGCGTAAGGCCCAGAACAGACGGTGAAACGCAACTGCTACGAAACTGTAACTTTCTGATGATTCTGATTCTGAAACTTTCAAACTGGTCGCGTCATGTATGGTCTCTCAACGGACGCTATGGCAGAAACTTAGATGCAACTCAAAAGTAACTAGCAGTTGCAGTTTCGTTGCAGTTGCGTTTCACCGTCTATTCTGGGCCTAACCTTTTTCTTCAAATAATATTCCGTAATTATATGATTGTTAAAATTTACCTAGTTTTCATTTGTGCCTGATACAAGTCTGAGGATCTCGCGCGTTTCGGTGGGGGTGTGCTGGTTGAGCCTTCCTCCGGCCTCCTTGATCTTCGACCCTCACGTGGTTGAGCTTCCCTCCCTTCTCGTGAGCCTCCGCTGCCTGTCTCTGTCCAAGATGACGCCGACTATTGTGACATAAATGAAGATATTTTAATTTATTCCATACTGCAAGGAATCTTACCTAATTAAAGAAAATTTTAACTGAGTTTTGTCCAAATTTTTTTTGCGTCCTATAACTACATACATGGTGTTGTTCAAATATGTAATAAGATGTCTGTAGATTTTTCCTTACTGGTGAAGCTTTCTGATCCAATGTGGGGATTGGGGCTGGCGCTGGTACATCAGTTAAACCTCGAACTTGCAGTAGCTGAGCCGCTCTTAGAAACTCTTTTAGCTGTTCCTGGCCGATGTGCACTTCCCCTTGGTACATAAACCTGTATACAATAAAAAGGATTAATTTTCTTCTTTCTTTTTCTTAAACAATTTAAAAGAAAAAAGGACTGAAATCATACCTGAGTAAGCTTTCCATGTCTTTGTCGTGAACGTCCCGCAAGATAACAATAGGGTGTTGACAAGGATTCGCTTTCAGCAGTCTTCGGAAGTACGGACTACACGCTGATAACACCACCTGAATATAACGAGGATCATTGAATGGAGCAACTCGATGCTAGGTACATATTTTATATTTTAAATTAGTTTTTAAAATATAAATTAGTATAAAGTACATAGGTAGGTATTACCAAAAGCAGAGCTTATGTATAAAATACCTGTAGGTATATGAAAATATGAAAAAATGTGTAAATATTTACAATGTTGGTGCCACAAAACAAGTGGTTTGCTAATGAACTCACGTAATTAATATGCAATAGATGCAACTTTGGCAATCAATTGACTATCTGTGATTCAGCATACCTAATTATGTACTCTAATTATTATTGGGCGCATATACATACTTGTCATTAATTGACATGTAATGCAACTGCTCGTATAGCTCAGCAAAAGATACCGCTAACATCCGCTAGCTTGAAGGCAAAAGATGCAGCTAACATTCGCCAGCATGAAACCAAAAGCCGTTATTACCTTGTGCGCGGTGAAGGTAGCGCCGGCGCAGGGTGACGTCTACGAAGTCCTCGTCACGCAGCTGATTGGCAAGTAGAGCAACCGCTAGCTCGTATAGCTCAGCGAAAGATGCAGCTAACATTCGCTAGCTTGAAACCAAAAGATACAGTACCATCCAAGAGCTTGATGTCAAACAGCGTCTTTCTTCCATCGTCCAAAGTCGTATTCTCACTTTCTTTGGGCATATTACACGTGGAGACGTCGCTTCTGTTGAACGACTTGTCGTGCAGGGGAAGGTTGAGGGCACAAGAGCGTGCAGCAGGTCACCCATGCGGTGGACTGAACAGGTTAAAACCGCACTCAACGGTCCACTCCACGAGTGCACAAGAAAGGCTGCAGGCTGTGCGGTAGGAATAGCGACGGATTGTGAGGCTTGCCACCGGACCTGGTGTGACGACCACGACCACTCTGGTAAGAGTGTGTAGTAGTGTATACCTTGTGCGCGGTGAAGGTAGCCCCGGCGCAGGCGAGGGTGACGTCCACGAAGTCCTCCTCATCGCGCAGGCGCCGGAACGACGACACCATCGCCGAGTGGAAGTCGTTCCAGCGCAGCGAGTACTGCTGCTCGCCGCCGGCCGCGGCGCCGCCTGCGCACAAGCAAAAAACAACATTAAAGTTAAATCTAGCAAGGTTCATGTTGCGGTAAGAACCTTTGTATACCAACATGAAGCAATAAAGAAAATTTGAATTTGAATCCATGCGGCAGTGACCATAGGGCAATGGAGAGTACTATGGTCGGAGTTTCCCTACGTGATCGAATCAGAAATGAGGATATTCGCAGGAAAACCAAAGTGACCGACATTGCCCGCAGAATTGATAACATCAATTGGCAGTAGGCGGGGCACATAGCTCGTAGAGCTGCATGATGGTTGCTGGGGCAGAAAAGTTCTCGAGTGGCGATCACGGACCGAAAGACGTAGTCAGGGCAAACAATGGAATTTTAAATGTTTGTAATTAATCAAATTCAACACTCGTCTTCAATCCTGCAATTCAGCTGAATATTTGAGCTTGATATTCAAAAAAGTAAAAAGCTAATACGGTATTAAGATCGATTGCCAGATCGATATTATAATATCCGCGCACGGCAAAGTGAAACCTTCAAGTGCACACTTGCCTCAGTCATGAATCACAAGATGCAGCCAAATAATTAAGTATCAAACTAATTTTAGAGTCTGACTCCAATGATTTTGAGTGCAAAATTGAATTAGACTCAAGGTCAATTGTGATTGATCGTCTTGACTTCCACTAACAATTATATTTATTAGGTCATTTTACCTTACTTGATGATCTCTGAATGAGTTCAAGCTATTTGTTTTGACTTTATTGCACTTCTGTCGCAGATTGTATCGAAGATTTATGGATCGACTTTAATAATGAAGGTCTCTACATTGTTTTGACACTAAACTTAATATTAAGTTTAAATTTGGTCTCGTTAGTGTATTTCTTCATTATATTTGCATTAAGTATTATTTTTTATTTTCGCGAATATTTTAACCATTATGACTGTCGAAACTTTGAATCAAGTGGGCTTGGTATTGTAATTAATTATTTATTATATGGTTTTTTCATATGCGATAAATACCTAAGACCTAAAAAAATGACATTATAACGGTAACCAAAAACACGCTTCTAACGCTAAAGGATGATCCGGCAATGAGCAAATGTCAAGGATTTGAACAATCGCTGTGACTTATTTGGCCAAATGAAATCAGCTCGGTGCGCAAGATTAATAATTTTATGACTCGGTGTTCGAAGCAACCATGATTAGTTATTATAATATTGCAAAAAAGAAGGAAGTGAAACGCCTAAATGACCTCTCTGAACAGACGGGTTATGCTTCAGTATTAGTATGCACATATTGGAATATTAAAATCGCGCTTACGACGATTATGTTCTTTAACATATTTGGCAACAGACAATTGCGTAATTTATAAAAATAATGTTCATTAAACTTTTCAGCTACGTCATCCATTCGTTCTTACTTTCTTTAAATGAGGTTTGAAGCGATTTGCTGATAGCCTGAAACTTCAGAGTTCCTATCAATGTGTGCCAACCCTACCGATACAGATGTCGTTATCACGATCCTTATCATTGAACTCGCTAACCAAATGTGAGCCTTCGAGCATAAGAAGTGTCGAGGCGTTTAATTTGGTGTATACCATAAATACATTGCGCCTGCGACCGCGAAAACAAGCGCTCGCAAAACGCGCAGATGTGCTGCCGTATCGAATCAGTTTGTATTTATTTATTTTGTCCCTTGGTTCCCGCGTAGCGTAAAAATAGCGTAAATTAACTTCACTATTTTAATAATATCCTGAGTTATCATTCACTAGTCAACCAAAACATATTAAAAAACTCTTATTAAACGATTTTAGTTATCTATTTATTAATATCGATTAAAACCAATTTGATCGTAGATATTCTTTATCGTTCGCCACACACCTAAACGTTTCAGCTTTACAATATACTTAAGTATCGATAAAAAACTATTATATCCACTAACATTGAGGGAAGATAAGTATAAGGTTTTCCTTTCAATCTAACTTAAAATTCAAAATTTAATTAAAATGATTTATTTATACCAATAAATCCATAAAACAGGTCCATCCATCTAGGATTTTATAAGAAAGTTGCATTGAAATCTAAAAGCTCATTTCATTTAACATACAACAAAGTGTTTTCTATTAAGTATCTAACTGTATCTCGCAATAAACGATTCTTCGAAACATAACTTTTAATTAGGAGGTTTTATTACGCTAGAAAACATAAACTTAGCTATAAATAAAAACTGTATCTCACTGTTCACGGTTATAAATTAGACAACAAATTGCAGCGATACTTAAATTACGTAAAGCCATAATAAATAACTCAAGGCAAGTTAATTCTGTCGAACGTGTGTTTTTTGAACTCTACATTATTAAAAATAAAACAAATTAGGTATAATGTTAAGAAAATTCCAAATGAATTCTGTAATTCTTCCTTTAATTGAGTAGAGTTTTGATACGTTTAATTATTCAACTTCAAATGGTATTTTAAGCCTTAGTAATGTGAAACGTGGCGTCTAAAGAAATTTATCTTTTACGCAACACAAGCCCGAACTCTAATACCTAAGATGATTCATGCCCGATACGAATTTACGAAAATCATACAATATGAATAAAACTGAATAAAATATCAATTTCTTCAGCGAAGGAAAACAGTCCGCGGAGAGCCGGGGCGCGCTGTCATTTTTCATCTCAGCAACATACTTATACATTTTTACGGAGTTTTTCTTAAAACCAAATCAGCGTTTTTGCGATTTTTACGTTTGAAACAATTTACGATGTAAAACTCTAGATTTTTGAATTGTATTCACGATTTCCAATCATGTTAATCTTCCTTTTCAATAGAAAATATGTATACAATATTAAATTTAATGTCTAATTGTAAAAAATTTAGTGTTTGTATTTTGTTTGGGTTCGGAAAGCCCAAAATATAGAAATTCAATCTAAAAAGTTCATTTATCCTGTCTATCAATTTTTATATTGATCGCTACCGACCCTTGCTTCATTACTCGTAGATTGCAGTTGATTATAACGAAATCTGATATTTTGTTTAGATTTCCTCGATCAAAACTTTACGTTTACTTTCAATAACTTTTCACAAATCTAACAATGATAAGGAAAACCCATTGAATTTAAGAAGCCGTCGCTCGAGTCACAGCCACAAAAAACTAAATTTAGCCGAATTTATTTGAACGACATTATGATTACTTGCGCGTAAACGATGCAAAAACATCTCAGAAACAACGGTCGTCGCGTTTTAAAATTAAAATCGCGCCTTGAAAGATCGCCATACATTATTAATGCTACTTACTGAAACCGCTTTGCATGTGTCAATAACTCCGAGAGATGTATGAAAGTCACCACGTAACGTTACGCCTCCTATTTCTCATTCATTTTTATATTTTGATACATTTTTTATAGACAGAAGAGTGAGTGACCGGAAATGTAGGTCATATTTTCCAGTTAAATGTAGAGCCTAGCGGATGCTTCAATTTTATTGTTTGATAAGTTCATAAGCCTTGATTTTGTCAGTCCGTTAATCTTCTTTACTTTGTAAAATTTCATCGAAATCTAATCTCTTAGATTAAATTGTGCCGTATAATTTTTGTTTTGTTTTTTCTTTTCTTGTCTTGTGTACAATAAAGTGTGTTCTATTTATTTATCTATCTTAGTAGCTGTTGAAATATAAACAAACATTCATCCATCTTACAAACTACCGTGTCTATACGCGTCCAGGATACAATTTCATCATATTTTCATTCATAACTCACATGCGCAAGTAAAGAAAACACGTCCAGTTAATATATCAACAAACCACTTAGTAAAAAATATGACGGAAAAATGAGTGCTGCGGCGAATGATTTGTCACTGTACAATTATATTTGTTCGGAAATAGACGGGCTCTGGAAGACATTGCGATATTTGAGGATATTTTATAACTGTATTAGCGCTGGTTGTAATGCTAAATTACTTTTGGTTGTAATGCTAAATTACTTTTAGTATTACTGTAGGAATGATGTTGATGCGGTGTATTCCATGTTTTTGTGTAGAATTCGCAGTAGTTAAAATAAAGTATTTTTCAGTACGTGGGGCTTTTTTGCTGTCCTTCCGTTTAGCAATTTTTAAGTGACTAGTCTTTTTAGTTAAGATTTATGCTTTTAGTAATTTATAATCGGTGGTAAAGTTTTCCAAGTCTTCAGTAGTGCTGCAGAGGGACTGTAAATGTTCGCAGTGTTGATGTGAGCCACCATCGGGCCCGCGGGATCGAACTGTAGCTCGATTAGAGAAGTAATTTATACTAATAGCATTAATTATCGTGTACGATCAACGGTAATTAATACCGATCTAGATGCGACGAGAAAACGGAAACCCTAATCAGATAAACGAAATTAAATACCAAAAATCGTGAACACGACACTTCATTTATTTTAACTCATATTTATTTTCATTTCGTAATTTTAGAGTTCACTATGAAAACAAATTTCGTAAGTTATTTGAAGGATGAATGAAAAATGCAATAATTCAGAATGTCCAGCGAAGACCAACAAAACACATTTGTCCCGTAAATAACATTAGTGGGATTTCTGCAGCCGTAACGCGTCACCCGCGAAAACATCTGCTATTTATTTCAATGTTTTCATCGTCTTTGTAGACGCAATCTAAACGTAGTAAATAAATTAATAAAGAGGGCGAACTTATAACCTCGACAAATGTTAGCCCTCGCATGCAGTGTTATTTGCACTGTGCCAATATTTCAGATCTTCCTTCTCTTTCACTTGCAGAGTTTAGATTCATACAAAATATAGGAACGCTGTTAGAATTTGTCTATCAATTTGTCTGTAATCGTAAAATGTAGTTTTTGCTGTATTGTCCACTGTCCAAATTCCCCACCAAAAGCCCGACGTCGTAATACGCACTCGAGGAACACAGTTTTGTTCAGAGGCATTGAGTTATTGATTGTTCCAGCTTAAACATTAAGTCGGGCTCGCATAGCTGACCGCGTCTAAACACGGCTGCAGAGAAGAATGGGTGAAACGTCCCGGCGCGAATCGGGAGACGAACAACTTTTAAATTAAGCCCGAGTTGGAAACTTCGACGGCGGATTGTCGCGGTTCGCTCGCTAAGATTTGGAAACCTAATTAATCTCAGGAAATTCATTTAAGACGACTTCGATTTATTTGCACTTCGAAAGACGGGGAACGCAAACTATGCGGCGAGAACTGAAATTTACTTTCAATTTTGAGTTAGTGAAATCGATACGCAAATGCTGGTTAAAAACGAGCCAATTTTGGTAATGTAGAGTCTTTTATAACTTTATTTAACAGTTAAAAAGCTAGATAAATTGTTTATTGACTCGGTTTTGTTGTTGCCTAAAACTTGTGTAGTAATATTATAAGAATGAAATGCATTTTGTTCTGTAATATTTCGCCGGGCACGTTGTCCGCCCCCAATCAAGTCGCCCCTCGAGCGTGTGCCGCGGTAGTGACTAAGTCACTTTATAACTCGCACGGACCGTGATTTATTGTCTCCACGTTATAAATTGTTTTAATATGATTTTGCTCGTTTAATGATGTCGTTTGTTATACAAAACAAATGAAAAATCACGTAGCTTATAATGGACAGGTTGGATATAGACTTAAACTCTCTTCTAATATTTAATCTTAATTAGCCTCAGGCGTTATATTAGTTAGATTAACGTTAGCATTTGTTTCCTGCTGTAAAATAAAAACAAAATCCACATGATATTACGAGTACACTCATAAAATTATGGATTTTTATGACACAAATTAATAAACGTGTACTTTCAGATGTACATTTTCATCTTAAAAATAATCTTAGAAAAGCATAAAATCACACTCCGTAATCTTGAGTAAACGACAGCAACATCATTAAACAAGAGCGGCGGGTGTCCACCCTCCCAGGATGGGGGGATGATCCCGCAGGATCGGGGGTGGGGTGAATATCAACGAACTCATGTTCGTGTGTGACGGGTGGACGACACGTTGTACGTATAGATTCTGTTGGTAAACAATTCGGCCTGTTTTACGTAAATATTGTAATCGGGGGTTGGTTTTTTATTTCTGTTCCCGCTTCGGGTTGCGGTGCGGGTCCGAAAATTTTGTGGCTTCAACTTAGGTATGTTGCACACGGATTGTGGGTTGAGTTATACTTATATGTAGAGACTTTCTACCCTTCCTGGCACCTGTTTTGTATTTGTATGCGGCAGTCTCTAAATCGCGCAAACCCTATTACGCGTCTAAAACTAGAGAGAAAACTTAAAGTGGCTAGTTAATTATTTAAAATCGTTTCAAACTCAGACCTTAAGACGCAATAAAACCTTAATAATTGATTAATTAAGAGTCTTTCTTAGAATAGTCACTGATTATGTTTTTACGAGCAATGAACTGAACACATTAAAAATACAATTTTAGATAGCTTATTAGATTGTTATAAATAAAAATGCACATTTATTATTTTGAGATCAATCAAAAATATCGCAGTCTGCAAGTATTGTGGCTGTGATATCTCGTCAAAAACAGATTTTCCACGACTTTTCACTTAGATCTCGATAGGTGACTAAGAAAAATCAGCATTGCTTAGCCTTGAATCAATTAAAGTTGTTAAACTTTACTATACCTACTACGATTCATCATCATCATCATCAACAGCCCTTTACAGTCCACTGCTGGACTATGAGCCTCCTCCACTATAGTGGAGGGTTTTGCCATAATCTCCACGCTTGGCAGGCTGGTTGGAGATCGCAGTTTAAAAGATTGATGTTTTTCAGAGAGCGCTGCTGCCCATTCTCTGTTTGATGTATACTACGATTATTTTTGAATTGTCTCTATGTTTTATGTGCAAATTTTGTGCATTTTCACGGCGTGGAAAGCTTACGGCTACTCACCGGTGTCGGTCGCCATGGCCGGGTGCTCCGAGGGCGGCACCGTGTCGGGGCGTGCGCGAGCGCTGTACGCGTCGACGCCCGCGCATTCCACGCGCGCGCCCACTGTTGCCGCCACTTTGCTGACTGACTACCGAAACACACTCCAACCTCCTTCCTTTTTTCTTTTTTCTCTCCAATTTCTTCTTTTTCCACGGCGCGCGATCCTTTTTTGTTTTATTTGTGCGTCTCTTTTGTTTTTGAATTACGAATCGCGTTCAGTTTAGTGTTTTGTTTATCTGTTGAGAAAACGATGTTTAGTTCGATGTTTCGATTTTTGGTAAATCGCGCATGGATCGAGCGGTGCTGCACCCGGAATCACGATTTTTTTCTATGCACTTTTTTCGGAAGGGCTAAGGCGGCGACGTTTACACTGAGTTTAATTTAATTTGCAATAAAATAACTGCTATTGCAAACTGTGCTAAATGGTTGTTATAAGTACGTGTGAAATAAATAGAACCAAGAAAAATCAATTTCAAAATAATCGGAATCGTTAAAATGCAATAATCTAAAACACCAAATAAAACACATTCAATTTGAAAATTAATTTAAAACTTTGAATGATAAATTAAAATACACTTGAAAATAGCTAATGTAATGTTAAACACTAGAATTAAAAAAAAACGCACTGTAATTAAACAAATTGCGTAATAATTTGTCGCACTATTTGAGGAAAATATTGTGGAAAAGTCATAAAACAAAATTAAACTGCACTTAGCCAGCAGACACAAGCTAATTTATATTGACTCAATTTATTACATCTTCAATTAACCATCATCGATACACAATTAAATGATTAACGATCAATTATTGAGAATCCGCGAGTCGAATGTGCATTATTGTCGAAATTAATTATCTCACGTACTTACAACCACGTGACGCGAGAACAGTTCAGTTAGCACACACACGGTCACGTCCACTGCATCGATTGCGTTCTGTTAATTTAGAGGGTGCAGCGATCGATGCCGCCCTGCACCGCCACAATAAGGGAGGAGCGGCCAGATAGAAATCAATACGATGTCCATCATCGCATGCACCCTCCCCCCGACCCGCACCGCCTGCGCCTTGCACCCGTCGGGAAATGCATTTCTGCCACACCGCCGCCCTGCTCCCTTCCGCGACCGATTTTCACCCACCCGCCGGTTGAAACCCGAAAATTACGATGATAGTGAATTTTTGCAATGTCCGGTATTGGATGCACCGCTCGGTCCGCTCGAGGTTTACCTGACGCACGCGTGCGTACGGTCTCGCGTCACGCGGGCGACTGGCGCCCCGCCAGTCGGGCCGAGAATAAACAGCGTGGGGCGCGCGGGGCGGGGCGGTGCAGCGCTGCACGCCCACAGCGGCCGCCCACGCCGCCGGACACCGCTCGGACGCCGGACGCCGGACGCCGGAACGCCGGACGATCGCTCGCAGGGTTGCTCGATCCCTCAATCCTAATTTGACGTGGTACTTGATAATGCAATGGATTTTAGCGTATCACTGGATCGGTTAATGATTTGCAAATGAGTCATCAGTTTATTAATTTAAATTAGTGAATGTTAGGCAATGAGGAAAAACAAACAAGATACTGCATTTTGTATTTTTCTAATAACATAAATCAATTGTTTATTATTGTTAAGAATTTCCATATTGCAACTTCTTAAAAGCATCATCTTCGAAAAAGTCTTGTAACTTTCTGTGCCTAAGTGCCTGACACCCCTGCCAGGAAGCTCGGCCGCAGGAAGCGTGACGTAGAGCTTTTTCAGGACGCTGGCTCGTCCGCCTCGCGGCGTCACCACTCGTCACCCGCGGCTTAGCGCGTCACGCAGCGGACTGATAAGCCGCGCTCGTCATATGGGCCGGTGGTATTACGACACACTCCACGAATCCTTAATCCCACTATACTGGAAATCTCACTTAATTGTCGCCGAGGCTATTGACATTTCAATGTCCTTTCTTTAATTTATTCACGATAGATACGATTTGGTCAGCTAAAAATAACAATCAATGGAGTTTGGGCCTTTATGCTTCAAGGAACACATATTTATTACTCTTGTAGAGTTACTCGTATGAACACGACTATCATTTCCTTTAGTAGCTATTTTTATATCGATTTATTTCTGGTTTTAAAATTTTTTGTCAGGGAGTCTTCATGTAGGTACTACCCCAGTCTGAATCAAACGGAAAACATTGGTCTTTTAATATTTTTTTAGTACCGAGATCCGCATCTGAGATTTCCTGCTCTAGTTGTAGCGAATCAGACAATAATTATCTGTTTTTTGTTTAAAGCGAGGTCTAGCATGAACATCGAAAGATTTTGCGTAACGTTGCTTCAATTTTGTTGATAAAAACGCCGGGTTCTTGAGACTGCGTATTATCGGCGACGAAAGCAGGAGGCTGCGAGGAAGACAGAGGGGCGAACGGAGATAAATGACTCCCTCCCGCTCCCTAAGGAGGAGAAAACACGATCAAAAATGCAAGATCTGATTGTAATGTCATATTTAAGGGACGGTTTTAAAATGCAAATTTGAATAATTCCGTTTAAGCTTAAATCGGAAAGGCATTGCATTAATAATGACGTCTATTGAGTATTTTTAAATGTGCGAGTGTTTTGTCGTCATCAAAATGTTATCGACTTATCAGTGCAATCAATGTAATCTGTGTAGGTGGTAGTTTAATTGAGCTATTAAATATATTGACTTATTCTAAATTAGTTTAACAGATATATTTTGTTGGCTTCAAATTTGTTTGCTCTACGTCGTAGTATGACTGTGGTACTCGTAGCTGCGACTCTGCAATGTGCGTCGCAATTTTCTTACATGCGCCTTACAATGATACCACATTATAAGGCGTGTGTAGCCTGAAATATGTTGAGGTAGGTAGAGCTCTTGAGGTTGGCATTGACGTATAATCAATCTACATTACGGAGATGTTGTTCGTTGTTTCTATGTTGTTAGGTAGGTAAATAGTTGTAGCAAAAGTAGTAATACGATTCTTTCATAAGTAAAAAGTTTCGTTCTTGTATGGCAGATTCAGAAACACATTTGCCAAGTCACACATTTCACACATCCTCACAGAAAAAATAGGATTTTTCTTACAAAATATGTACAAATGTCAATTGAAATTAGTTCCATACAATTTGCTGGTTATTGAAAAATCGTCCCTGAAACCTTTCAGCTATCGGTTGCACAATTGATTGCTTAATGAAGAAAAGTTATCAAAGAAATCAGAACTTGGAAACTCAGTTATTGTTATTGTTTTAGTAAAATACGGATTGCACAAGAAAGACGTGTATTGTCTTACAGTTACAATTTAACCTTAAGATAGGCTTTCATTTGCGTTATTAGTCACCCCTCATGCGTCAGAGGTTTCGCGGGTATAGTCACTTATACATAACACTCGTATAGCACATTTTAGTATACTCATGTGGAATTTCTACATTTGCGTATTCATGCGACATTATGAATGAAACTGGTATTATTGACTGTATCGTGCGACCGAATGGGTGTTAAAAAAATCGTTACAAGTCTTTTATTTCTAAACTATCAAGACATAATTGACCTATAAAGTATAACAATAATGTTCGAGATGATCTGTTATTCCAATTGTTCGTTTGTTTTTGAATGCAATATTTTATTTCGAGTAGGTAGGTGTCTTTTGATCATTTTCATATTTAAGTTTTTTTTTTCAATATGCTACTAACAATTTGGAAAGTTTCAAACGCTACAATGTTAGAACAACAAAACACAGTAAAATGGTTATGCATTTCTCATAATGGAGGGCCGTTTTATAAACTCCCCGGCTATCGAAGTGGAATAATTTCGTGAATTCGCCCAAGTCCCTAGTTATTCGTCTTTTAATCGGTTTGCCCGCGCCCCACGGCCCCGCGGGGTTCCGTACGCCCCGCTATGGGGTACTTATGGACACCCTATTGACCCACTCACCTTATTTTATTGAAGATCTTGTGTCTGATCGCAGAAAAGATGTGTATTAAGTGTAGACGTTCTTACTTTGAGCTTTAGTTAGTTTGATTGTTTGTTCTTTTGCGATCTCTAGTAGAGCTAAGCTTCTAAAGCGTGGATTGTGTAAAGAATGTAATTAAGTTTCTTTTATTTTCGTGTACAAAACTCATCTATTTGCTAAAATAAAGTTGTCTTATAACTACTAACTACTACGAAATAGCAACTGAAATCTGAAGTTAAATGTGGTCTGTAAAACTTGAACTTAAAGTAGGTCACGTCTGTTTTTCGCATCATTCAAGTCTTGCCTCACTTACATAAAAAAACATGTTTTACCCTATCAATTATAGGTAATATTAGTGTTAATATAAAATTGAATACAAAATTTTCTCGCGTGCAATTTTTAAACTGTAATTATATTTGCAAAACTGCAATGTATCTATCAATCAGAGCGTCCATCAATCCCCACACCCACCGTTCTTTGTCTAACAATAGGAAAAACAAAGCAACCCAAATAATAATACCCGAACGTTTCCGAAGTGCACATCCAATACAATAGCATGGCCAGCGTTTGACTGGCCATCATCCGTCAAGCGGGCCGGCCGCTGTAAATCTTGTGGGGGCGCCAGGGGGCCCCGCCCGCGCCCCGCGGCGTTGCGTAACATCCGGAAGTGCGGATTAGGAATCAATAGTGCGCCGTAATGATAGTTGTATCGCAATCGCGCGCTGCGCTGCCCGATGCGCGAATTGTTTCTGCTGAGCGATGATGGAATTATTTTGCCTTTTTTACATTTGTTTGCTGAAATTGCTTTTTGTATTACACAGGATTATGTTGTTAAGTCAGTTTGAAAAGTAAAAGGCATACCAAAACGTAGTAAACAAAGCTGAAAAGTAGTTTTATATTGCAAAACTCAGTTTTCAGGAAATACGAAACGAAAGAACGCTGGTTTTCAGTGACAACTAGTATATCACTGAAAACCAGCTTGCTTATGTAAATTCACAAAATAATTCACAATTAAATATTTTTTCTTAATTTATGGCAGTTGTCGATTAATGTAGAGATCCCAGAGACATGCTGCATTTTATAATATTGCCAGAAAACCCAAGAATGCTTTTCTAATCTGAACCATATGACCTTTGACGACGGTGCAAAATGCTACTGTCATTTTATCGGCAGCCTAGCTCTCAGATGATTTTATTACATCTTACGTCCTTCAACTTGAGAAACTGTAGATAAATATTTTTTCTTCAAACATTAGAATTTAATTTGTAATTACGGGATGTAAAACAAACACGCTAAAAATATCATGGTTTAAGCTATGTTTAAACACTAAGCATTAATTTAAAAATGTATTTCTAACTTTTGTTTTCCCGTAGTTTCCCGTAGCGCGAGTAAATTGAAGATGTAGTCAAATTAAGTTTTCGTGGCTGAATGACGGGGGTCGTCGTAGTATGTAAAGTATTTTTTCAATCACTATATTTATTATGCTGTAATATTACCTATTAGTGACCGAGTAGAATAGATGCTTAGTCAAAGAATATAAAAACAGAAGTGTCGTCGCAGCGGCCCCCTCCGCGTGTCATCGCCTCCTCATCTGTTACGTGACCGGGTGACAAATGCCCCGCCAGCCACTTTATTAAAGTTGCCGACTTGCTAGTTGCTGCTACTTTTAGCTGCAGAATAACGTCGACATAAGTAACATGCAGATGGAAGAATGCTGCATCGTGAATGTGTGATTTAATTTTGTTTGTTAAAAGCAAATAAGTTATCAGGTTTTTTCCTTTGGACGTGGAAAAGAAGTCGGTACATTTAAGATTACGTTGTCACATCGTAGTGAAAATTATTAAACTTTTGGTTTTAATATTGATCATCATCAGTTTTCTTTCTTGAAGATGCTGTTAATAAGTTGCATTAAAAATTTCCATTATTCTTCATGAAATAATTCTGCTACTTTTATCTTATTCATGAGAAAGCTTTCTATGGAAACCCTCTTATGCTTATTTTCATAGCTCTATTATAGGGCATATTAGGTCGTTTAGTTCTAAATAAGTATCCTGTACCAAGTGAGCAGTGAACAGTTTGTGCTCCAATCCGCGAGCATCCCTCATCCCTCTGCGTCATCCATCATGGGAGGAGGCAACA